AAGGAGGCCGTCGATAATAAGGAGGCCGTCGATAATAAGGAGGCCGTCGATAATAAGGAGGCCGTCGATAATAAGGAGGCCGTCAATGAGAAAAGGGGGTTGTCAATGAGGATGAGGAGGACTCCAAGTACTTCCCACAATAACAGTGCCCAGCATCTGTGCTCAGTGGGCAAAGCATCCCATTATCGGCATTAACCTCGATGTGGGCCTGCTTTGTTTTCTGTCTTTGGTTGCCGGATTTGTTGGTTCTGTCCGAAAACTTCATGGACCATTTATCTGATGACTTTTCAGCCTGTACTCTAGGCGAGAGGCTTCCAGAAGTGAATTTGGGAGAGGCCGGGTGAAGAGGTGGGGCTTTGAATCCGATGATAGCCCATCCATTGAAAGGTGTAACATCTGGTAAAGGTTTTCCTGTGGGAGTACTGCCCTCATCCTTGAAGGGGAAGCCTACCCAGAAAACCTATGAAAGCGGTCCCGAGGCGAGGTCTCAATAGACTATGGGAAGGCTTCCAACTCAATGGCCAGATCTCAATAGACTATAGAAAGGCTCCCAACTCAGTGGCCGCGTCTCGATAGACCATAGGAAGGCTCCCAACTCAGTAGTAGCGTCTCGATAGATCATAGGAAGGCTCCCAAACCAATGGCGAGGTTTCGATAGATCATGGGAAGGCTCCCAAATCAATGGCGAGGTCTCGATAGACTATGGGAAGGCTTCCAACTCAGTTTCATTTCGGTTCCTCAAGGCCAAAGAAAGAGAGTTGTCAATGCCCGCTGCTACTTGCCTAGTGACAATACCAGAGGAGACAGCAGCCCAACAGACCTCAAGGGCCATGAGATGGACATACTCAATATGATGGAACACATAAGAGGGCGATGGAAGCAAGATGAAGCAAAAAGGGCATTGTGCCTTACTTTGATCCTGCGTAGCTCGGGATTTTGGAACGCTCAAGTGTCGCAGAAGATGATAGATACCATCCGTGAGATTGACAAAGTTCCATTTTGCGATGTTTTTTGGACACAAGGGACACTCTCGCTGATCCGGGGGTGATACTTGGAGGATCTTATAAAGAATATGGAAAACGACCTGGTCGAGTCGTGTGAAGAGTTCCGGACAGTTGTTTTCGGGACACCGTAGCGAACCTAGGACTTTCTGTAGAGTGTACCGCTTTTCCTCTTGTCGTCTTGTTACTTGAATAGTGGCCGGAAATCCGTCCCTCCCGACCGAACAATTCGAGTGACTCACGTCGCTGGGTCCATATCCGTCGATAAGAATAAGGAGGCCATTGATAAGAAATGGAGGCCATTGATGAGAAAAGGAGGCCGTTAATAAGAATAAGAAGTCCATCGATAAGACCAGGGAGGCCATTGATAAGACCGAGGAGGCCGTCGATAATATCATAAGACCGAGGAGGTTGTCGATGAGATCAAAGAGGCCGTCGATGAGACCAAGGAGGCCGTTGATGAGAACAATGGCGGATACGGATAGACTTCCTGGAACAAGACTGGGAGATATTGACAAAGGGGGGCACTTACTTCACATCCAAATTCGCAATGAATCTTCCGATACTCCCCGTGGAGTCACTCTCGGGATACCAAAACCTGGATGCCACACAGGTTGTCTCCGTCATGCCCCAAACTTGATTGAAGACGCCGTCGGGGGCCAAATGCTTTTCGAACGCCCGCTGATGCACTTTGCCCAACGGCGCGGATCCGGACCTGCACCATTTGACCGATGTCAGGTCGTAGCGGTTGAGCAGCGGACTTGCCAGAGCCATGACCACGACCGGTGGACTGATGGACAGGTCGGTGATTTTGAATGCCTGGATCGAGTGCAGCCACTCCTCCATCTCGAACCGTCGCATCACGTACGTCTCGTGGCCTGCCTTGAACGGCGTCGTGTGGCCCACGGGTACGATGGCTGCATGGAACATGGGCATGTACAAAAGGCGTCGGACCTGCATTGGAGATTAGCAGGAATATTCTCGACCAACAAACGCCTTCGTGAGAGTGGCCTTGAGGGTCTGGTGTCAGCGGAAGAAGCCTGGCTTCAACCCTCACATAGTGGCGGGATCTATGGCGAAAAGAACTGACTTCTTACCTGCCAAGGCACCACATCGGGTGCAATCGCCAGAGTGTGCTGGGCGACCAGGTTATGATGAGATATCACCGCTGCTTTTGGAAGGCCAGTGGTGCCCGAACTAAACAGAAATGCTGCGGGGGTGCTGCTGGAAATCTCTTCGTCGTCGAATCGATCCCAGTCTTGCTCTCCATGCTGCATAAGCTCCGACCAGGACTGAAACCCCTTGGGCACTGCTTGGCCTTTGATATTGAAGATGCGGATATTGGAGTCAGGGATGCCACAGTCGCCGGACACAGCCCTGATTGCGTCCAGCAATTCAGGTTCAGTGACGACGTACTTTGCGCCTGAGGTCTTGAGGTGGTGCTTCAGCTCGAAAGGCGTATAGGCAGGATTCGTCCCCACGAAAATGCCCCCTGCGGCGAGGATCCCCAAGAAGACGACTGGATAGTAGATCTAAGTTATGAAACATCAACTTGCGAACGACTTGATAACACTGATCAGGCTAGAAAGAAAGCCACTCACATCATTGAAGGAGTGAACACAAACACATTCCCCCTTCTTCAGTCCAGCGGCTTTGAATCCAGCAGCGAGCTTGCGAACGATCTGCAATCCCTGGTTCAGGGACAGTGTTCGCGAAGGGTTTGAAGTGTCGATATAGATCTGTTCAAGGCGGGGATTGTACGGTCAGCCTCTCTTTTGTAGAGCTGGCATCCTCATGTCTTTCCCCATCACGGATTGCTTACTGGTTTGTCAGGGTCATAGTCTGCCTTGTCGAAAATCCAAGACAGAAGATCTTGAGTCGGGACCGGCAACTTCTTGTGAGCGAGAAACGGCATGTCGATAGCAGGCGATTGATAGATCGCGAAATGCCTCCCGAAGGTAAATCAATATTACAAGCCCAGAGACGATTTCCGCGTGGTTGGAAGGTCGCACGTCCTCTGAACGTGATGGTCCCGAACACAAATACCCCCCTAGAGTTTAGCGTCTGAAACAGCCTTGCTTGAGGTACACCCCAAAATGTCGGTTTTAGACCCTTCGGATGACTCCGAGGCCTGTGGTCTACTCTTTCTGTTGTTGGTATCGTCGAGTGCGCTCGGCTCAACAGAGAGGTGCGTGTCTTAGTATAACCGTCTGCAGAAAGTCCGAGGCAGGAGGAGAACAGGGATGTATTGGCTACGGGTCAACATACAGCAACGTCGCTTCTGCGCAGGGTATGATGGAGGTTTCGATCTTGCCAGTCTCTTGCGTAGATATGTGGTACACGGCAGTACTAGTATAGCCGCAACTCCGGATCCGTTCCTATAGCCAGGCTGGTGAAGCCGATTGGCTCCTACAGGGTACCCACTGTCTCCACCCTCCAGGCCCATTCATGGTTTGATAATGGATGCTCCCCAGGGATAAAAGCTAGGTGAGCATGATCTGGGGCCCCAGTCTTCCAACATCTCATAATAGGGGTTATCAGTCGGCAAGCTGTTTGGTTGTATATCGATCAGGATTATTATAGGCAATAATCATCCACCCAGACAAGGAAGCAAGACCATGGACAAGGACGTCGAGAAGTCCATAGGGCTTGGTCAGTGGCAAGAAACGACCCAGTCGTGTGAAGACGACATCGGCAAATCTCGCAGGACCGAAGAAGCAGAGTTCGCTGACGAGGACGCTGAGAAGCCAAACATTGTCAAAGGCGACGATTCGGATGGTCATGTGAACTGGAGCAAGCGACAGATTTTGGCCACGCTTTCCCTTTCTGGCCTCTATGTCGGTACGTGTTCCTTTATGCCTGATTTCCTGAAGAGAAGGAAGCGCGAGCTCTAGCCTCACAACCTGACAACGTATCTTGCAAAACAGGTTCACAGTTACCACTGCTGCTCGGCGCAGGAAGCCTTCCGTACATCGTCAAAGACATTGGCGGATCGACCATCGACTCCTGGTTCCCAGTTGCATACTCTCTGGCCATGGCTTCTGTGTCGCCCTTCAGCGGATATCTACAAGACGTGTTCGGACGCCGCAACATTGCCCTCGTCGGCGGGTCTATCCTCTGCGTCGGGATCATCGTGGTTGCCACATCTCACACCATGGGTCAGGCTATTGTGGGAATGGCTCTCTCAGGCCTGGGAGCAGCCATAGGGGAATTGACCGCCCTGGCTGGAACTTCTGAACTCGTGCCAGTCAAGAGAAGAGGTCTCTATCTGGGTGCCGTCACTGGTTGTGTCTTGCCCTTCTCTCCTTACGCGATTTACACCACTCTCTTGGGCACGCATTCGACCTGGAGATGGGGTTTCTGGATCCCACTGTATGCTCTTTGACGCCCTTCTATGGCAAGCTGGCTGACTTGACAATTTGCAGCATGTGGAACGGGTTAGCGGTGACTGGAATTGCTCTGACCTATTGGCCTCACTCGCAACTTCGCGCAGAACGGAAGACGTTTTGGGAAATCCTGCCTCAAATCGATTTCGTCGGTGGTCTACTTTCCACTGGTGGATTGACACTGTTGTATGTTACCCCTTGCCTCAGGGATGGGATCCAAATCTAATCATTCACAGCCTGGTAGGGGTAACAGCAGGTGGCAACCTCGCTCCTTGGGCCAGCGCCAGGGTCTTGTGCCCCCTCATCTTCGGTGTCGCTCTCGTCGTCGTGTTCGCGGTCTGGGAGTGGAAGTTTGCTTCCTTCCCAATGCTCCCTCACGAGCTCTTTGCTGGTCAACGTGTGGTCGCTATGAGTTTCCTGGTGGCATTCATCTCAGGAATCTACTTCTACGCCATTCTTAACTTCGGCCCAGTCATATACCTGGATATCTACAATCCAGATCCGGTCAAAGCAGGGATCAAAGGAGTTATCATCAGCCTTGGCGTGACAGCCGGTGCCGTCATACCCAATATGCTTCTATCAGTCTATAAGACGCGCCAGCGGGAGATCCTTGCAACCTGTGCCGTTCTGGCCACTGCTTTTGGTACCGCCTTGGTGACAACGACACCCGACAATCCAGTGCGTACCGTCGCATTCTGTACGATCAGTGGATTTGGGATTGGAGCCATCGTGGCCTGTGCGTTGACAACCGCCGTAACCGCAGCACCCGACAATATCATTGCTACTTGTGTAGCTCTTTCTCTTTCCATCCGCACAGTCGGGGGTTCGGTGGGCACGGCGGTCAACTCGAACGTCCTCGACAGCAAGTTGAAGAAGAACCTCCCAATGTATATCGCCGAATATGCCATCGCAGCTGGGCTCCCAACATCTTCGGCGACCGCATTTGTGGAGCTCTACCTGACTGCGCCTGCAAAACTGAGTAACGGGGCAGTCCCGGGAGTCACTGCAGCTGTCATGCAAGGAGCAGTCATCGGAGCTCGCTGGGCGTATGCAGAAAGTCTGAAGTATGTCTGGTATACCATGCTGCCTTTCGGTATCTTGAGTTGCGCTGCATGTTTGGGACTTGGGAACGTTGGGAAATTCATGACGAACCGCATCGCGGCGAACATTCGTCACTGATTCCCAGGATCCCGGGATGGCGAGTTGGATCAGGTACACACAATGGCATGGGAGATTTGTGTATATTTTCGGGACTGCACGCGTGCGCAGGGATGCTATCCAGTGCTGGTCAACATTCGGTGGCGTCCATGTCCCCAATGTTCTTATCAAATATGCTTGAGGCCATTCACACTGTTCTGCCCGGCAAGCAGAGAAGGACTGCGAACGCGCATTGGCACACGAACCCCAAGGCTCAAGCTTTGGAGCTCAGTTTCTCTCCCACATTAGGCAAGCCAGTCTACATCGGTGCCATCCCAGGGTATCATGCCATCGACGTTCTCGTCGAACCCATCGATGCCGATACTGCCAAAATTCCACTGTCCCATCGAATCGTGGTTGTCAGGATTGATCTCGGAGTCCCACAGGCTTTCATCTCCGCCGATGTCGAAGGCGTGGTTGGCGCTTGGATCGATCAACTCGTGCCAACTATCAGTCTCGACAGCGGCACACTCGGTGACATCGGTACTGTGCGGGTCTGCCAACAGAGTGGGATCTGTCCGTAGGTCATGGCTTTGCTGTGCATTAGCCGCGGGGGCAAGCGGCAGTGGTTTGTCCCTCGCGGACACTATCTTGCAAGACTCTGCTGGATCAAATTCGACGTCCAATTCGAAGGCTCGCTGTCTAGTTCCATTTCCGGCATATAGTCGGAAGTGACTGGGTTGGGGCACCAGGATCCTTATCCTAGCATGATTAAGCATGGCCTCCACCAAGAGCGCCACCCAGTCTGCGGCTACGTATACCTGCTGAAGAGTCTTGAGAGAAATCAACAGGCTATTAACATTGTCTCTCGCTCTGGCCATCTCCTCGTCGTTGTCGGGCGCAGGATTTCCTCTGCCGTGCCGTGATGATGCCTGGACTATCGACTTTTTGATGCGGAGAGCATTGCTGATGATGCTGGGGACCAGCATGGTGATGGCGGTTACCGGGAGGTAGCGTACGAGACCTCTGTGGTTTAAAAAGGCAGAGATTTTGGCGATGTTGCTCGCCGAATCTGACACTTGATCTTGAGAGTGGCGAGACTTGTTCTGGGAGCGATGCAGTGCGGATACGGCCGTGTAGTAGCACATGTGCAGGATGGCGCGTTGGATCACCACGCTCGGTGGTCTGGAGGCGTCCGTCCCTATTTCTTGACCGTCCCTTGCAGGTTGGATGTCTTGGATAACATCAGACCACATTGATGGCCGCCGCAGTGATGGCTGGGGGTCCCAGAAGCAGACTGAACGAGGTAGATTGTCGTACCAATCTTTGAGTGTCGACTCGAGGGGTGATATAGTAGACTCTGTTGGCGTTGCGGCAGTCTGCTCCGAGTCCGGACTGTGGACAACGGGGAAGAGCATTGCCGACAGAGCCGACCTTGCAGCTCTGTTTCGGGTCCCGGAGGTCGGTCTAAGGGGAGAGTACTGCGCGGACAGGATGGTTCCTATCACGATGCAGAGCTTGAGGAAGGAGATGAAAATCTCTGCCAACTCAACCTGCGTGGTTCGGTCGTAGCAAGACAGATGGATTAGTCGACGGCGGTGCGAGCAGCACGCGTGCGAGCTCAGCGAAGCAGAGGAGGGGCTGTCAATCTCCATGTCCTCGACGGTTGGCAAAGGGACGTCGAAATCCTCTCCCTGGATCCGTAACGGACGACTCAGGTAGAGTGCAATGACTCGATCGCGCATGAAACAGCACCACCACAGACGTTTGCGCAAACTCTTCTTCGTTCGCGGCAGCGGCAGAGACTCAGGATCCTGGTTCAGTCCGATCGTCTGGGCAAGGGAGATTGCGACGTTGACCCAATGCCAGGTTTGTTTGTGAGCGTCCTGAGATTGCCTGTCGGACCAGAAGCTCATGAGCAACACAGATTGAACGAGAGTAATGCTGTCGTATTCAAAGTCGATGTCATACAGAAGCTATTCCTGCGTGAGCCCGATCTTCTAGCAGGAGTGGGGGACTAATGTGGGATATATATACTTTTGCTTTTTGAAAGAATGCCTTCCGGGCGATCTTCAGGTTGGCGTATCCTGCTTCCCTGACAAGGCTCTCGTCAACGAATGGGACCGCGGCAAACATTACGCTGTGAAATAGCAGTAGACTCAGTTGTGGCCCAGAACAATGATGGCCACTGCTGCTGTTATCAACCACTATGAGGAGCTGCGCCGGATCGAGTAAAGGCAGAAAAGGATGAATGTATTCAAAGTAACATCGGACCGTTTCATTTCGAAGTCTCTCGTGAGGTATATCCAGGGCACCTTTGCTTCTGATATATGCTATATCTGCATCGGTGAAACGCTCGGGACACGGCTGAATGTACGCTGGTAATTGTCGTGGAGATATTTTTTCGGGGAATTGAGCTAATGGAGGAGATGGTATCTGAAGTCTGTCCAGTCCAGGTGGCACGTCTCCTAAGGAAGTCATCGAGCTCAGGACGGCCATGGCGTTAGTAGAAATATTGGTGGACGGCCGAACGCCGTCTTCATTTCGGGCTGCATAGAAGATATCCTCTTGTTGTGGTCTCTGGTCCAAGGGTCTGGCGAGGCCGTGCTCGCGGGATGGCCTGGTCAGTCCCATATACCATTCTTTGTGCTTCCTGCAACGACGGTCAATGCGGTCCGCTTATTCCATCAATTACCCACCTGCCGCGACGGCACTGAGCCATGAGACAGGGTGTCTCGTCAACCTCGCAATTGCGGCACGGAGAGCCACGAATAGTGACATCGCATCGGACCTTGCGTGCACGGCAGTTTTCGCAGGCTCTTCCTGCTCGGCGTTGGCGGACGGGGTTGTGCATCGAGACGCTCAGTACTTTCTGGGAGGAAGAGATCATTGCAGAAACAGACCTGTTATGGATTGTGCGTGAAACTCTGCAACGTACATTGTAGCCGCCTGGGACCAGAGGCGAGGAAACAGAGTCGGCGACGATGAACGAGCGCACAGAGTTCACACACGGGATGTAGGAGCCTTACACGTCCACCCAATCCATTCATCCAAGCTGGTTCCATCCCCCGTGGGTGCCCCGCATTCTGCATGCTTTGAGTTTTTTGTATAGCCGATACCCGAGGGGCCTGGTCCTGGGGAACGCGCCCATCCTCGGATTGGTATGGTTCGCGCTAAAAGGCCGTGCAACTAAGCCCGCCTTGCCTGATTCAGACTGAATATGGAGACGGTAAGTATTGGACAGGTGGAATAGCCCATCCAGATTATATATTTCGTTGTGGTAGGCAAGTCCGGTCTTGGACGGGGTGACATCCAGTCTTGCACCACCTGTCATGGCAGACTTCTCGCATTACGGAGGTGTATCATCGGACTGGGAACGGGTGATTGCTGCAATTCCTCCGGAGCAACTCGCGGGGGCAATACCTGTCGCAGTAACTCTCGACGAGCCGTTTCTCCTGAAGGTGCAGGAGAAAACAAATCGAGAGAGGGCGGCTCGTGCGCAAAGTGCTCTGAAAGTCTTGGGTAGGTTCCACAGTTGGTCTATGCTCGGGACATGCACTTGGACTGACTCATCTGCCTTACCTAGAGACGGTCAGGACGAATGATTACACCTGCTCCACAGTCGACAATGTGAGCGTGCCAATCCGTGTCTATCGGCCTGCGTTGAAACAGAATGGCAAGGCTCTCCCTGTCTACATCTGGTTTCATGGGGGCGGATTCCTCTTTGGCTCACTCGACGGAGAGAACGCCCATTGCACCCAGATCGTCCTTGAAAATGCTGTTATTGTCGTCAACATCTGCTACAGACATACTCCACAATGGAAATGGCCCACTCAGCATCGAGACGCAATGACGGCGGTCGATTGGGTGTTTGAAAATATGCTCATACTCGGTGGAGATGAAAGCAAAGTCATCATCGCGGGGCGATCTGCTGGTGCTCTTGTCGCTGCCAGTACGGCACTTGGGGATTTGAGGGCTGTAAGTTTGGTTGAATTGTGACAATCGCAAGGTTTGGCCGTTAATCCAATTGAGCAGCACGGGAGATCCAGATTCTGTGGACAAATCCTCGACATCCCCTGGCTGTGTCACTCAGCAGCTTTCCCTTACGAGGCGATTGCGCAAGGGAAAGACTCGTATTCTGAAAATCTCACAGCACCAATCCTGCCGGGGGATCTGCTTCACCTGTTCGAGACGCTGGTAACTCCAGATCCAATGGATTCGACCTTCAATGTCCTGCTCGCCGAAGACCAAGCACTCGAGGGCGTGCCGCCTACGCACTTCCACATAGCAGGGCGGGATATGCTGCGAGATCAAGGCATCCTTTATCAGCAAAAGTTACAGCGATGCGGGTAGGTACTGCCCGAGAAGATTCGAACGACTCGTACTCACTGGATGGTTGTAGGGTTTCGACAACCATCAATATATACTCTGGTGTGCCACATGGGTTCATGTTCCTCGGTGATCTCGAAGCAAGCCAGCAATGGGCTAGAGACCACCGCGAGGCTATACACCTGCTCCTCCGATATGTCCAAGGACGACCAAGCGAGTAGCACCGCAGGTAGCGTCTTTTCTGCAGATTGAGGCTGGACCACATGGATGCGGACGAGCTGATCAAGATCATGGGCGACGTACCTAGGTAGTTTCGCTGAAGTTTGAGCCAGGCTCTCAGCTCCTCCTTCTCAGTGTATTTCAGCACGGCATGGTAAACATTAACTTGACCGTCTTAAGAATGAATGTTATGCATACGTGCTTGTTGCTGGAAATTGTGGAAAGGGGAGAAGAACGAGGACTCGTAGGGGTCAGGATCTTGGCAGGTTGGATTTAAGCTCAAAATAAATTTAGATTAGTGCTTAAGTTTGCGGGGCACCATGCCACTTTCGGAATCCCACAATACTTTTCCGGCTGCTACACCTATCGCCAAAATCGCCAACACCACCACCAAAAAGACAGATCAAGGTCGAAAAAGATTCAAAAAGATATCAATTCTGTGTGGAGAAGCTGGGAATCGAACCCAGAACCTTTTCCAGCCTATGAAGGCTGATGCTAAGGAAACGTCATACCACTAGACCACTGTGACGGTTGTTAGTTGGGTTTTGAGCTGAACTGGGCTGCTTGTAGGCACTCACCATCCCCAAGTGTTGTGATTGTTGGAGAGATTTTGGTAGCCCTAATTTATGACTTTCGATTTTTGTTCAGGTTGCTAGTTGAGGACTTAGCGTGATCAATATTGTGGAGCGAGGAATACGGAATACGAGATACCTAGGTACCTAGGTAGGTAGCCATTGCGCTATCGTAGGCTTAGCCAATCTCCACATAGATAAGTACTAGGTAATTGACCACAGGTACAGAGCAGTCCATGTACCTGGCCCGGAAGCCTAATACTCGTCGGGATGTGGAATAATCGCATGCTCGTAGAACTCGTCGTATGCCCTCTTGTACAGTCGAGCTTCGTGCTATTTGTCGAACTCCTACGTAGATGAGAATCCAAGTGAATGGGCAATAATCCACTTGCTGAAGGTGCGATATTGCTTCTCTTTGTCGAGATCACAATCGTACTCCATCTTGCCGCCTTCTGTGGGACTTACCTCTCCTGAGCCGAGCTTGTCGAGAGAATAGGCGGAGATACCATAGCTGTGATGTGTGGGATACATTTAGGGAGATCCAGTTGTAATTCAAGAGACCCCAGTCGTGATGGGTTAGGCTGTAATCGTCGCAACGAAAAGTCTTCTGGCGAGAGCCTTCAGTTGGACGAAATACAGGTCCTTTGTCTTCGAATTTAAAGTTGGCTATATGTTCAGCCGTGATACCACGGTGGGACGACTTTCAGGGCAATTTCCTGATCTTGGTTGGCATTCGGAGTCATTTCGTGGTCATGAGAATAGTCAGAGGTGGCCTTAGATCAATATCCGTTCGTACTGCAGTCGCCAATACCGGACCTAGGTAGTAGGCCCAGACCCAGAAACACCAGGTCTCGCAGCTTTCCTTAGCCTCTTATTCGATACGACAGTGCTCAAATAGATGATTATGGCTGTTAGAAAGTCCCTTACTTATTGTATATGTGTTAGATACAATAGGACCGATTGAAGAGGGGGAGGGAAAGCTATAAAAGTTGTAAATAGTGGAATGTTCATAGCGATATATCCAGAGCAGACGTCAGAAACAAATAATATAGGGCCTCGAATCTCACCAGGTCTACCCCGTCAGGGCGGCATATTCATACTGGCGGGCCATTCAGGCAGATCCGCACTCTAACTATGAGCGAGCTGAACGATAACCCTACCTGCGTCATCCAGAGCTAAGTCGGTAGGGGGCTCCTGAGCTTTGAGTAGTTTACGGATGAAGAGCTGTTGTCGCTTCAAGAGCTGATCAGGAGGCCGATCATCTGTCAATGCGAGCTTGATCGGTTTGAGTGGGTAGGTGACTGTAGTGCCGGTGCCGGCGTTGTCCTTACCACGTGGTCGAGAAGCACGGCCATGATCAAGATCCATATCATCGCGGGGGCCTGTTGATAAGTGAAGCTAAAGCGAAGGTGATACTAATTGTGGGATCTTATCCTTTCGCCGCTGTGGCACCCACTAAAGTCCTCCTCGCCCCGCTCTCTGGCTCCAGAAAGCAGAATTGAGAGAACAGAAGGACCGGGTAGAGGCCGAGAAGGCAGGATTGAGCAGACAAAGAGAGGAAGGAGAGGCTGAATGTTGAGGGCAAGCACTAGAGTATATGAGAGGACGCCCTACGCAATAGGGAAAGTGATGGTGAAAGCGGTTAATGCCACCATCGCACGATCGGTTCGAAGCCCTTTTTTTTTACAAGGAAGACGCCACTATCAGCTGGAAGGTTGATTAAGTGACACAGCATCCTTCTCATCCATAGGGTGTAGCTTTTCTCAGTATACTCAACATGAGCCAGCCCCGTAACGACCTTCGGCCTTCAGTTTGCCCTTAATCGTCTGACCGTACTTGAGGATCTTCTTCTGTCAAGATCTCCTTTAATTGAGTGAGGATGCGAGTCTGATTCGTCGGATAAACTTTACATTCTCATATTTTGCGGCCACGTTCATGATGAGAGTGTGTTGTCAATATCGACACTTAATATCGGAATTTCCAGTATAAGATCCTTTCCCGATCACGTTTACTGATCTCCTTCTCCAGTAGACTATTCCAGTATCTTTGAAAGAGAAACTAGCGCCCATCTGGCAGGGTGTGCCGAAGATCCGCGCCCAAATGGAGTGGGTCAGAGAAGCCGCCGTGGTCTGCCAGAAGAAGATGGTCATCTTCTACTCCCTGCCTGGGCGGCAAGTGCTTCTATCGACCATTTTCACGGCACTCAAAAAGGCTTTGCCGACTCTTCGGCCATTATGGCCACCCTCCATTTACTTGCTGGCCCGACACTATAATCTGGTAGCAATGTCTCCTTTCACTACATTTTCGGCCTTTCTCTCAGGCTGAAAGCGATCCTCAGAGGTTACCTAGTACCGCGTCCGGTTGTGCCCCGCCTTTCCGTCCTCCGAACGCCATGCATACTCGTCGACTTCCATCCTTTCACCACCTATTTCACCCTCGTCCACTTGGTTGTGCCGCCTGTCCAACGATCAAGCCGAACCCGACACCCTTCCCCCCCTCTCCTCGAGCTCAGGCTAGATAGGTACACCGTTGTACTTCTGTCCCATACGTATTTGGAGGGTGTGCCATTCTACGACCTCTGTGTCTCGGTTTCTACTCTTGGCGGACCTATTCTTGCTGTCGTTGCCGCGAGCACTGGATCGCTCTTTGATGCAGCTGGCCTGCAATATTTTACAAAAACAAATTCCGATTGGGTGATCCTGGGACCCCGTTCGAGGCGCGGGCGGAGTGCCTAGCGGGTGAAAACTTCTACATGTTAACACCCGTTGATACGATAACAACTTCTGGAGAGGTGTGCCAGTGACAAGACATTGGTCGAGTTGATGCTAAAATCTACTCAAAATCACAAAAACAGTATCGGCTGGATACCGATAATCAAAGGAACTCAAGAATTTGAACATTGATACACAACAGCCAGGATGCAACATGAATATGGTGATTGTATTGCTGGGGAGCAGCTGGTGGTTCAGGCATGGTGGAATTAATGCATATGATGGTCGAGATTATTTTGATTTCCTAGGGAATGCGTCAGGTGAAGAAATGAATTGTCCATGGGCGCCTCAGCGTACATGTACCTATTTACACCCCTTCAGCCTTTGTGCTATGCCTTCGACGCGTCCAGCTGGCTGGCCGACACTCGAGGAGCAATGGCATTGACTGCGGGATAAACACAACTCCCTTTCCCCGCGAGTCTACCACTGGCAATTTCCATGGTGATTGCAAATACATCGACCACTCCATATCAATCAGACCGTATTATACGGCCGGTATGATCGTCTTTTATATGTCGAAAGAGAAATGGGTTGGGAGAGTTGGAGGTGGTTGTGCCGCGGGCACTCGATCCTGCAGCCCCGGAGCGCAACATGATGTGGTTGCACTTGCCCCTCCCAGGCACTTTTCTAGTATACTTGCAGCGTCAACCAAGGCAGCCAGATCTGCCGGGCGGCCTCAATGCGATGAAATAGCGCACCATTGTCCTTCGTGGAAGAGATCGAAGAAGATGATTTGGAGCAATTCATATACCATGATCCGGCATACCGAATGTTTCGCGCCTTCTGAGACATCGACCACGAAGGAACACCAACACTACGTTACGACGAAGAGGCCCGGGTTCCATTGCAGTCCCGACACAACGGACTCATTATGTGTCCCGTGTCCCATTGTCAGGCTACAGCTCAAAAGAAAATTGATCTTATAGCGCACCTCATGCACAATATCGATCGAGGAGTGTGCCCATTGTGTCCTGCGACCGAGAAACTGTTACGGTACGACCACAAGCTAGACGTCATTCATCATATTGAGATGCATATCACGACCCCTTCTCTGGAAAAGACAGACCGGCTCTATGAATGTCCCTTCTGCTTCAGGGTCCACCCAGGCCGAGACGTGTCGTTGCATCACATTCGGGTTACCCACTTCCGGTCATGCGAGATCCTTACTATGGCAGAGAAAGCTGGGTGTATGCCGGCTCCTATGGCATTTTTTGAAGACCACGTTGTTGTTATGCACCGTATAGCCAAAGAGGTGACTGTCCTTCGTCTCCCACAACCTCTCAGAGACGCCAAATATGAAGGTTATATCGAAGGCAATTCCTTGATGATCGACGAGAAAGGGCTTTGTGCGTTCTATCTGGAGAACGCCCTGGGCTTGAACATTTCTAACCAACTATATGACTCTGTCGATCTCATGGGAGCTGGTAACCGCCACAAACAAAGTGAGCAGGTGAGAAGATCGTTGTCCGCTTTCATGGAGACGGGAGGTTTAGCTGTCCCATTAGGGCAATGTCTGAATGTTCCGTTGGCGTCGGCGAGACCCACTTGGTGAATTCGCGTCCACGGTGTTGATATACCCCTAGAAGGTGACCAGCCTGCCTCCAACCACTGCCAATCCCACTGGTTCGGTTGGAGTTCGTGCTGTAGGAGTAGGTCATGTCTGTGTTGATTGAGCTGATCCCCACGAGCACCCTGCTCTGGTACAAAGGACGGACATTGATGAACTTGAAGTCAAGGTATTCTTTGCCGAAGGCTAGTGGAGTCTTCCGGTTTCATACATATATATAAAAGTGTGTGTGTGTTTGTTTGGCAAGTATGCCATGTTCATCTTCTCAAGCTCAGAGCAGAAAACGTCCAATTTGGAAGAACCGTGGCCTTGAAGTCAAGTTGACAGAGAGGAGGATATCCTCATCTTCAACGGCTGACACGAATCATGGTTTGATCTGGGAGTGCTTCACAGCAAAAGCTCTTCAAGGCGACTGGCATGGACCGGCCGCCAAGGGCAGGATACCACAGAGGTGGCCGCTGGAGTGAAATTGCCGCCATTGTGAAAATCAGCGTTGGCGCACAAATGGGTAATAACAGTCGGAATGTAAAGTCACTCACCTACTTTGTAGACTGGAAAGGAGGAGAAGACTGAGGAGGATAGCTAGCTAGCTAGCTCGTAGCACGGCGTCCGTTGAGAGCTCTCGTGGTTGATGGCATTTCTGCCCAAGCCGACTGGACATCAGATATTGTTTCGAAGGGCAGATAGATATTCGCAAGGCTGAGGGATATAGGGGGGGATGATGAACAAGAGCCACCTCTCTGTCGGGTTCTGGTATATTCAGAGAATATCAGACTGACAACATTCCATGAGGCTGGCTGTCTTTTAAGATCCAAATGGCGGTCAGAGCAAAACACGATGAAACCTGTTTTTTTGTTTGCTCAATTCCTCCGAGGCCGAACCCAGCTGGGGGTCGAGATGGAGAATCACAGCAAACATTGCCCTACACTCCCCTCAGTACTTTTCTGTAGAGAGATTGCACCGAGAAGGGCTGGCTCGGTAGCACAGACATTGTCATTGATGTCGCTGTACTCGGTACGCTGCAGCAGCATGTCTCTAGGCTAATCATATATGTCCCTCTTACATATCGGCCTGGCTTTGGATATATGTGGCATAGGTCCCAGTGACGAGAAGGGCGTACGACCGGGTGGTAAAGTAGAAGTGAATTACCATTAGTTATAGGGTTAGCATCACTTACAAGTAGTATCCTATCTACTAAGTATAGCGGGATCCCTACACTCATCATCAAGTATTAGCTGTTTTTTGTATATGGCGGTCTTCTCGTCGTTAACTGTGTCAGACTATGCTATTTTATTTCTTGACGTCGGCTCGACATGTACCCAACGCCTTCCCTTTCCAAAACACCACCCATCCCCCGGCCGACTAGGCACTCTCCCGTGTCTCATTACCGTCCTCTTTTGCTGACGCTGGGGGATCCGCATAACTGGGCGGCGAATCTGCCGCGCTGCTGGCCTCGCTGATGGCCTCTGTCGTAGGGTCCTTATCCCTCTTCCCACTCTTGCCACTTTTCGCGCTCTTCGAGCTGGAATGGCTCGTCAACCTGGACAGAAACGACCCGGTCTCCTCCTTGTCCGGATGATCACTGCCAACGCTTGACCGCGTATCGACCATCTTCAACTCAGGTTTCATCTCGTTCCACCTAGTGAGCACCTCCAGCTTCTCCTCCTCGGTGGCCTTGCTCACCTCCTCAAACCCTTCGATATACCTCGTGGCAAGGATGTAACTCAGCGTTGGATCTCCGTCCAATCTCTTCTTAATCACTTCGTACAAGGCCCTGACTCCGTATGCAGCGTGGCCAATGACCAGTCCTCTAGGGGGGAACAGCAAATTCCCAATGCCCTTCCCCAGGCCCTTTCCAAAGCCTTTCCAACCGCCGAATCTGGCGCCCTTGTAGGGTTCGTAGACAACGCCACCCCAAGCCTTGGCAATGTTGATGGGTGTGTGCACAATTCTAGAAGTGATGGAGCCCACGGTGCTGAGCATCGGATTGGGCCCGGCCACGTGAGAACTAATAGCCCCATACTCGACGGGGTATTCAATGTGGCGGTACATGGCAAGCTGGTTCACGTCAATCAAGCCTTCATTGCCCAGCACCGTCGCCGCGAAAGCGCTCAACCGGATATCTTCCGTGCTGGATCCTTTGGTCTTGACGGACCAGACGGCTGCCCGGGACGGCGCCAGCATGCAGCGAAGGCGGTCAAGATTCATTTGCGCGTGGAAACTCGCCGCGCCGACTTCGGTGCCCTTTTCTTCCTTGATGCGCTCGCCCAATTCGCGTGCCCGTTCCAAGGTCCCGGGCTTCAGCGCCTCGAGGATCGCATCCGCTAGTCGATCTGCTGTGAGTTCTTTGGACGGGACGGGCGTAGGTCCCGCACCGGCTCTGGCCACCATGGCTCCCCAGAATGGCTGGTCGCCAAAGAAGGGGACGATAACCGTTGGGCGGCCCAACGCGATTCCAGCTGCAGTCGTCCCGGCGCCACCGTGATGCACCACGCAGGAAACGTGTTGGAATAACCAGTCATGCGGTACATTACCCAGCATATACACGTTATCAGGTTTACCCATGTCGTCTCCACCAAGACCACCCCATCCCTTGGACACCAAAGCACGTTGTCCAGTCTTCTTGACCGCATCGAAGATGAGTTTCGTCATTCCGTTGGGATCGTCCACAACGATGGAACCGAAGCCGATGTAAACGGGCGGTGGACCTGCTGCGAGGAATTCAGCTAGAGCAGGGTCTGGCTGGTAATTTGACGCCAACGAGAGGAAGTAGAAGCCTGCAATAGTTATGTGAGGGCCCCAGTCTTTGGGCTTCGGAATGAGTGCTGGAGACCTAGTGATCGACTCATCAACAGAGGGTCCACTTGCTCCAGATTGACACTTACCAGCAATAAGTATAAGGTATCCGTAGACGATGAAGCATATCCGTTGCGGCCGCCTGGGAAAGCATATGCAGCCCTAGAGTCTCTTTCCTGAACTTGTTCGTGATGTCGCCCAGGCCCTCCCAGGTCATCATGTCGACAAGCGTATAGCTCATTTCGTTGGTCATGCTTCCACTGGCCTTTGACGACTTGATGTTCGCGATGGGTTGCGGAAACTCTCGCGTGGGCGACCAGGGCATCCTAACATCACCTACACTCAGCAATGTTCCGAAAGAAGCAGTGGACAACCCACTTACGTGAACATCAAATGCAAGGGAATGCCCAACTTCTCGGCGCAATGGATATGTGCGAAGCTTGGCGGATTCGCAATGATAGCATGAGCGACGAACGGTTTCTTCTTGGGCGCTGCTGCCGTTTCCGTTCCCTCCTCTTTCACCTCGTTGAAATCGGCGCATGACCTCCAACACCCTTGCAGAATCTCAGCCATGCCTCTGCGTCTCTTCCCGACATCACCTTCCTTGATGGATTTCACCCCTGGTATCAAGCCGGGGTTCTTGACCATGAAGGCCATGAGTTCTGCCGGGTCCCCACCGATATCGAAGAATTCAAGCCCGTTCTCCTCGACGAACTTCTTGAACGTCCCGTGCGTCGCCAGACGGACGCGGTGGCCGTACTGGTTCTTCAGAACGAGCCCGAGTGCGACAAACGGCTGGACGTCGCCGCGCGACCCGACGACTTGGACGACGACATTTAGAGGTGGGGGGATTTGGGAGGGTCTGCGACTCGCCTCTAAAAGGCTATGGGATGTCTGTGGAGGTGCAGCGAGTCCCTCTTGGACTCGGGAGAGCTGGAGTTGTTCGATCTGGTTGGCAAGGAGCTCGTTGATTTCTTGGATGGTGATGTTGACGCGACCATCGTCTAGTGATCTTGTCAACTGATGCCGCTGCGTAAAGGAAGAGCATAACAACTAACCTCCAAGTTTGGACTGTGTGGTGGCTCCATCCTGCTGCTCGTCAAGAGTTCCTGCTGCGTCAACCGCCGGTTGTGGTGGTTGCTTCACGTCGGACGCCATTTCCACGACTGAGCGATCGTCTTCAGGATGTCTAGAAGCCGTTTATGGGCGAGACGCCGCGTGCTCTGCTGTCATGAAAATGGTTGTCTGAGTCGAGAGACGGCCATCTTTTGCTGCTCCATGCTCCATCCCCGAAAAGGGTGATGGTTTGAGAGTCCCTTGCAAGTACAACATCAAGGAACAGCAAGCGATAAGGTGTGGGAATTGGAGGGGCAGCGCAGGCAAGGCGACGAGGGTCAGTCGAGGACTCGAGGGTGGACTGCAGCGATCTGCTCCCACCATTAAGCACCATTTAGCCTCACCAAGCCTGCTTTAGCCATCGATCGCACCGTGTGCCGGGGCCTTGGCCAATCCTAATACATACCTCGCTGGCGCCCACCCGCTAAGTATCCATCTCCGCCTCGGGAACCATCCCTGAATGATCCCAAGCAGGCCTGGCGAACTCATCCAGTGCCTGAAACCTATGGCTTGATTGGCTTTGCAGGTGGGTGGCAGGAGCTTGAAGCGGGCTTATTCAGCACTGCGGCTTTGGACTGATTGAGCAATACGAGCAAGAAATCCATGTCCTTTGCACTACAGCCTCACTGCGTCCTACCCCAAAACGTCGGTGTGACAAACAGGGAGCACTATCACTCGCACTCGACATCAAGGTGAGATGAATTGAATTGGTCAAACAAGTCAAACGAGCAGCTGGAAGAAGCGACAGTCAATAACTCAACTTCTCACCACCCTCGTGTTCCTCCGGCGGAAACACCTCGTCCAGATACTTCAACAAGCTCACTTGGGCCATGTTCGCATGCACATTCATGCCCAGCTTCTCCGTCAGCTCCTGCGACAGCTCCTTCTTGACCTCCTCGGGCATCTTGGCCGTCCAATTGACTTGCTGCCTCAGGAACGGCACGGTATAGTACCCAAAGAGCAGCGCCCGATCCTTGTCCTTGGTGATGTTGGATCCCGAAGTGTGCCAGACCCGTCCGTTCATGAGCACGATACTGCCCGCCTTGGCCTCAAAGGGCTTTAGTAGGGATCGTGCGTTCTTGGGGATATCCTCGCGGGTCGTCCACTTGTCGCTGCCCGGGATGAAAAGCGTCGCCCCGTTCTCCAGGTACACATCGTCCAGACACCAGATCACGTTCATCGCCCACGTCGCTGTCCAAGGCTCGGGCATCACCAGCGACTGATCGCTGTGCAGGGCCATGCTCTTGGACCCCGGCCGTGCGATGTTGGCCGTGAAATTGCTAATCAGCCAGTTGTCGCCCAGCACTTTCTCCACCATTTCCACAGCAACAGGATGCTGGATCAGGTCGCGGAAGATCTTGTCCAGCGCCATGAGGTAGAAGACGCGGATGTTGGAGGCGTTGGGGTCGAGGATCGGCATGAACGTGTCGTCCCCTTGCTTGCGGAACTTGTCGGCCGCCGCCCACAAGTGCGAGAGCACGAGTGCGTTCTCTTCTGGCGACAGCACGTCTGGGATCACGGCCCAGCCATGGTCCTGGAGGTGTTTTTGCGCGGCGGTGATAGTCGACTCGGGCGTGCGGGAGGCGAATTGAATCTCAGATGAGGCGTTGGTGGTGGTGTCGATGGAGCCCATTTTGCCCACAAAAGACGCTGACAACAGCCTGAAGCCGGAACGATTGTGATTATCGCTATTAGTGCCTCACTATACGGCTCTATTCGTTGTGCGTTCTCGTCAACTCTCGCTTGATGTGTATCCCATGCAGATTCGTCCCGGAACAGGGCAAACAGGCACTGCCAGCGATTCAGTAAATCACCTGCGCCGTGATCCAGACACGTCCAAGCTGCTGCTAGATTGAAGTCGTCGTTTCCAGCCGCAGAATTTGAAGCCTTCGCAGACGGCCACTTGATCCTCGAGCATATAAACACGCGTCTCCTCCCCGCATCTCCAGCTGGCCTTAGTCCCCAGCATCTACAGACGTGCCCCGGATAACTCCTTGCGGCATAATCGGCTTGGTCCTCGGCTGAACCATTATGATACACTTCGGGGCATACCACTGAGGGTGCACGGAAGCAGTGTCGATGACTAAGGGGAGGTTGACTCAACGAACACAGCCCACAGACACCAGCAACAAGTCGACTAAAAGATTGTCGAATGACTCGAGTCAGACTCGAAATGAGTAAGATTCGGCCCTGTAACTATCCACATCAGGGTATACATGCCTAGACAATCAGAGATCGATACAATCTCTTCGCCCCAAACTTCACCGGGTTCGCAGTGTCTGTGGATGACCCTGGATTGACCCCCACCAATCCAGCAGAGTTGGAATGCGTCAACTCCTTCTGGATAGACGAAAAATGTGCCATTCGCTTTTATGAAGCCCCAGCGATGCTCGCATCAACCTGATGGAAGCGGGTGTGTCCAGCCACCCAACACGCTCCGCCATGTTTGCCAACATTGCTAGAGGGGTGAATGCAACTCCTGCCCAATGGTCGCTAAGAACACAGAATACTCGACCCTTGACCCCTTCGGTGACGACTATATACGACCCCATGCGCTACCAAAGTTCACGCTGTTTCTCATTCTCAACCTTGGCATGTCATCGTCATTAGCAGAAGACCCTCCCTGTTGCTCGCTCGCTTTCTCTTCGTCGTTGCTCCCTGACAAACTGGACTCGGCCTTGTCCTGGTGTTCTTTTTCTTCAATGAGCTTACCATCGAGGATGTTCAAAAATGCAACAGATTCCACGGTCTTGGCGTTAGGATCAAGCATGAGTGGTCCTTTCAGTGCAGGATCGTCGTGAGTCTCGTGCACTGGCTCTGGCTCCGGCTCTTGCTCTGAATCCGGCTCTGGCTCCTCTTCTAAGGCTTGATTCTCTTGTTCCTTTTCCCCTGGGGCAGAAGAGAACGAAAAGTAAGAGTCAGAATGTTCCGAGGGACGGAGAGGTGGTCGCGTGGTGGAGGCAGGAGCGAGAGGTCCCTCTTGCTTTGGAGTCAATGCGTTACTAGCGACCTCCGAGGACAAAGTGCCATCGAATGCCATGGGGGTATGGCCGGCATGTCGTTTCAACTTCTCATCCAGCGGCGATATGAGGGAGTTGACATCGAGTCTTAGAGGCTCCTCTTTGGTGGTGTGTGGTAAGGGTGACAGGGCGGGACTAGCGAACTGCGGACTGGCGATCTCCTTGTCAAACGAGGAGGTCAAGGCGGCCGACTTGAGGGTAATGCCATCCAGAGTGTTGTCTACCTGTTCAATCGGTATCGGGATGTTCTCTTGGCCGCCAGAAGTGGGTGAGACCTCCTTGGACAGAGCGGGCATGGCCTCATCCTCCGAGATGCTTGGAAGATGGCACACTTCGTCCTCGCTGGCAAAGACTCTCGTTACGGGAGGAGTGGTTTCAGGACCTTTCCAGACCGGCGGCTCTGCAATGGTAGGTTCGGGAGATATTCGAGAGCGGTGTTTGCCATTGACTCCAAATTGCTGAAAATCTGATTTGAAAGAGCGAAGACTCGTGGCCGACGAGTCATTGCTGGATCTCCTCTTAGGGTCTCTGCTCTTGTTGAGTTTCTGCTCTAGTTCCCCTATACGAGCTTTGAGCGCAGTTCGTTCAATGTCCCAGGCTCTCCGCTCGCTTTCGTGAGATTGTCTCAGCTGCGTATTCCACAACCGGCACTGCTCCATGTAGGCCGTGATGTCCACTTCGGGCGTGGGGTTCGTCATTTGAAAGCTATGCTTTGGTAGTTGACTGGCAGAAGATATGGGAGGTAGTAGAGGCACATTTGTGGTGGCTATCGAGTGACGGCCTTTGATTGGCATCGAGGGAGGGTCTGAGAAACGAACCGCTCTGGGGTCGGCGGACGAGCTCATTGTCCGGGGGTGGGTGAGAGGAGAGTAGTTGTCTGGGTCATGTTCGAGGGCCGGAGTAGGATCGAATGCGTGTGTTGGAGATCGGGGAGCCATCTGTGGGCTGGGACAATATAATGGTGTGTCAAACACTTAGAATGTGTGTATTGGAAGGATTATATTTTCAAGATATCGACCGTCTGTACACCGTCGACGTGTGCCCAAGGAGTGTAGACCTGGCGTCGTGGGAGAACAAAGTCGAAGAAGACCTGGGGATGACGTCTGCGATGGAGGAGCGCCGAGGCCTAGAAGCGAGATGACAAGCAAATGCAGTCGAAATTATAAACAAGATTGCGGATGCGGACGTGATGAAGATGATGAAGATGCCGATGCTGATATTGACGACAAGTACATAGGTAGAAACGAAGAGAGGGAATCAAGTTGGAGACGACACGAGAGTGAGTGCGCGAGGTTGAACTGGTAGGAGCCCAGAAGGTGAGGTTAGGATTGTGGGCAGTAGCGACTGGTGTTTGAGCGCAGTTATTTTTTGTGCTGGCAGTCGCAGTCCGGATGGCGCAGGGGCCCAGGATATCAACTCAGTGGAGCGCGATAACCTATGTACGAGTTTTCGCAATGACTAGAGTCGCAGATGGGAAAAGGAGTGGATTGAAGCGATAAACAAAAAGCCTCGTGGCATCTTTCTCATCTCGCCTCTTTTTTTTCGGGATGACGTTGGTCTGTGCCTGAAGCCGAGATGGAGTGGATTATGTGTGTGTGTGGCATATTTGGAGTGGAAGAGACTGGCTCGCTGGGTCACTTTTTGCAGCCGCCATTTGGGTGCCAGAGGAATTTTGGAGCTTGGACGCAATGGGCGGAGCTGGGGGCGACTAACTGCACCTAGAGGCGGTGATCTGCATGGGTACCACCTGGATCCGTCTGCCCGAGCGAACAAACAGGAGGCCAGGGGGTCAATTGTCAGGGAGCCCACCTCCCTACCTCGTAGGTACCTAGGTGGGTGCTAGGTACCGTTGGTGGGGAGTCTAGGGACACCTACGAGGCCCCACTGGTTGAACTTGTCAGGGTCCAGCAGTGTCTCGGGCGCCAAAGCCGCGAAGAACACACGTTTGGCGCCCTGTTATGGGCTGCTCAGCGCCTGCCAGCGAATATCTGGGAACTGCCGATTAGTGGCCGCTCTGGCCGCTCTAACAAAGGGAGAAAAATAAGGCCCGAGCGTAGTGGCTCCCTCAATGCTTCTTACCCCTCTCTTTACTGGCACGCTGGCAGATTAGGTCCGTGGTGTATTACTTAGGGATGCTCAGGGAGCGCTCAGCGATGATCAGCGAAACGCTCAGTTAGAGCGCAGGTTAAAGGGGCCTTTGCTCGCGACTAATAGAGGTAGTATCGAACGAAAAAGCCGGTCGCGCTTCTTCCCATTGTGATTAGCAGCTCGGCAAATGCGTTATGACGAGAAAGCCACCGTCTGAACACATTTAGAAGCACTCTATACGTATTTCTCACTTCTCCTTCGTCTTCTGCATGGCATTTGTCATGATCTTGATCGTAGCACTGACAAAAAGATGCCTGAACGGTTCCTAGAAGATGACTTCGCTCTCTTCTGGGTACTTCAAGGCTGAAATTTCGCGTAGTTTATCCATGACTGTCATGACCTGGATGGTTTCCTCCAGTGGCATGGTAGAACTTTCCAGCTTCCCTGCGGCAATATCGCGAGCGACACTGTCTACTTCCCAACCCATCCCGTAGCCCTAGAATATAGAGTCAGCTTGGATCAGAGAGCGATAATTGTGAAGATTATCCCTACAGTAATCGGGAATGTGTATGTAGTCTTGAGGTTTTCTTGGTGGACTGTGAACTCGGTAGGCCTATAGCACGGAGCTGGGATTGTGATCGTTCCCTGGGTGCCCATGATTTTTGTAGCAGGACCAGCAGCACCATCTTCACGACGGTCTGTGTTGCTAGTCAGGGATGTTGATGCCACGGCGACAGCTAGAGGATATAGCATTAGAGCTGGTCAACCATCCGACAGTCGACCTACCATCAGGCCATGCGAGGACCGCTGTGGAGTGGACATCAAACCCACGCTTTTCCAGTATCATACTGCCAGAAACTCCCGGAGCCAGCTTTTCACTACCACCTTTCCAGTTGTAAAGGGGCAGGAAGCACCATAACAAGGAGTAGTGGCCTGCAGAAAGAATGCGTCGATCCGGTCAGCTCTACATGATGAGCATTAGCCAGAATTTTTCAGCTTACCCAGATCCAGAAACCCGCCTGCTCCTTGATACGGGTCGACGAAGCGGCTTGTTGCTGGTGTAGACGCATCGATAAGATCTCTTCCATGGTCTGAAAAAACACGTCGAATACTTCCAATTTGGCCACTTGTGATGATTTCGCGCAGCTTAGCGACAAGTGGAAAGAATCGAGTCCATGAACCTTCCATCAGATATCTGTTCTTCTCGCTTGCAAGACGTGCGAGTGCTTTGGCTTGTGCGGCATTCATGGTGAAAGGCTTCTCGCATAGGACATGTTTTCTCGCCAACAGGCAAAGTTTAACATGCCGGTAGTGATGCGAGTGTGGACTAGATTAATCATGGACAGTTAGTGATCCTATTCCTAGATTTCAATTTCCATAGGTCTTCGGGGGCAGCTGACGTGGTAATGTAAACGACATCTATTGTCTCGTCGCGGAGAAAATCTTCGTGTGTACCATAGCAACGAGCATCTTTCAGGCCAGTGACAGCTACAAAATCTTCCGCTTTCTAGATCGATGTCTGGCTACCGACGGCAACAACTTGATGAGTGATATCGGCCCTACTTATACGTACCTAGGCAGTATCATGCGAAAGATTTGTCCTCCCACCCCCGGGCCTCGTAAGTAGCTCGTAGCTTTACTGACCTTCGGCTCACCTTCCACTTCCTGAGTCGAAACGATCTCTCCGTTCAGATGGTTAATTATAGATATTACTAAAGTAATAAATAAACTCTAGGTACTCATGTTTGACTCACCTCGCGTGTTGTTTCTTGGTGGTGGTGCTGGCATGAAACTCTCCGGCACTCTAGGGACACGCGATACATATCCCAAATGAAGTTCTCAAGCTGACAGGAACCAAGCCATTCGGCAGCACCTTTCGTCAGCCCAGAAGAGTAGAGACAAGTGTCGGTCGTCACGACACCACACCAGATCCCGCACATTCATGAAGGAGGAGGACTGTCGTTTCAGAGGAAAAGAGTGAGAAAGCATTTGAATTCCAATGACTATTTACCGCATTTATATCTGGCGCGGATTACCATCGGCACGTTGTCCACGCACTATGGCGCAAACATCTGGAGTACATTTCCTCCTAACCCAGGCCACTATCGTCCGCCTGTCCAAATGAAGGCAAAGGCACTTAAGTTCTACGATGTCCTCCATTACTCAGCACTATTATCATCAGTCTAGATGCCTTCCACGGAAGCATGAGCGTGCTGGCCTTACCGTCCTCTTATTCTCCCTCAGAAGAGCCCCACAATATAGGATACTCAGGTATGTACCGCCCCATCTCCCTCGTCTCAATTGCATTTATATGCATGGCCGCTCATCGTGTGGCAATCTACGTTTAGCCCTTCTGCATCCCGGAAAGGTGAAAATCTTCGGCGCTACAATGGTACATCTTACCTCCTGTCTTCGGGTGATGGGGAAATAGCCGAGTCAATCAACTCCGTGCTCGAATACATCTCTATGGCAGCATTCGGTAGTCGTGCCATTCCGGGTAACAGTGCATCGTCAGCTCCGCCGACACTACTATAAGGGGCCCATCCGGCGCCAGACGAGCACTTCCGTCTCTAGTCGATGACCGGCACAGCTATTTCCATGATGGGCAGCGAAAAAAATCCTAGATTTTTGTTTGTGGTCTCGACTCCCCAGCAGCTCGATCAAGGTTCCGTAAGGAAAAATCAGGCTGCAGCTAGAGCCCACGCAGCCAAAATCTCTCACCCATCCGCTCGTGCACAAGCCACCTTAGAACAGCAGCCATCACCCCAAGACTCTGCTCCAAACTCCGCTTCCAGCGATCGTGAGCATGATCAACATCATCTAGCAGCCACTGCTCTCTCCAAGGACAAGCCAGGAATCTCCTCGACTTCACAAGCACAGACTATCTTCATCAAAAGCAGATCACGAACCAGAAAAGTTCGGCATAAACCTCGAGGTCTACGTGCTTCGGGTCAGCCGGCCGGTAGTCCTCGAGAAGACAAACGTGATCCTAGAGCTACAAGACTATGTCCTCCAGCGGTGAGTGTTGATCCGCTATATTGGCTCCCATACGAGAAAGATGAAGCCGCCTACCAGGCCGTGGACTACTGTGAGTACTTTAATCCTCAAGGCTTTGCATGCAAGCCGTAATAATTTCTTGCTCCACAAGATGCCAATACTGCAGCACCTGCCCTTCGTCCACTCTACGAAATATTCAACATGACCAGCACCTATACTTCCCTGTTCCTCGAGTGCATTATCGACAGCGAAAGCTTTTACCATGCAGGTGTTGCTAGACTGCGCGTCACTGAGGATCTGTTGAGGAATCCTGGAAGCAAGCCCGCCCTGTCAGTTCTGTTACATCAAGCAAAAGCAATTAGCTACCTTCGGCATGAGATTTCCCAGGCACCAGAACCGACCACTATGATGCTGGCTACCATCCTGTTTCTCATTGCCATCGACGTGAGTCCACCCTGTTGCCCTGACTTGATCACGCTAAAGTGCCGCGCAGATAGCACTTGGCCAGCATACATCAGCAGACATGCACCGAATTAACCTAGCTCGGTTAGTAAGGGCTCGAGGAGGTTTAAGTGCACTTGGCTATGATGGATTCGTGAAGGCAACTTTTATGCAGTCAGTTGGAAATCGTCTTTCTCGGATCATCGCTAACATTTCGATGGTCAGATTTGACAACATATATGCTCTCGAGCGAGGGCCGAGCGTTCTTGTCCCTTTACCACGCTACCGTCCGAAATACCCTCAGTTTCCCCTCTCGCCGCGACTCTCACAAATCATCATCGATTTCCCTGACGGCTTCCGGTGCTTGACCCATCGCCGTATACTGCCCCTCGACATGATCGAATTACTCTTTCGCATCTCCGCCACCGTTCGTCGTTGTGCCGGCCGCGCTACCTACGTACCTCTCAATAAAAGCGAAAACCCTTTCCACTCAAAGCGCCGCAAGTACGATTCATTGAGCGACGCTTGCCCCTGGTTGTTCGCACCTGACGACAAGGTGCATCCCTTGCTCAAACCTCTGACAATGGCTCTGGCTCTCTGGTGCTGCACTGCATACTACACGATCCGCGCCTCTACTGTAATATACACTGGATTTCTCCGCGCTTTGACGATGCGCCTGCTGCGAGAACCCATCACGCCGAAGCCTTCTACGAGTTCACAAGCAGATCTCGAGGGAGCTGCTGACGAAGAGGATTGCGCATTATGGATTTGGATGGTGACTCTAGATGCCTGGAGGCCAGATGGTGCCGCGAAGCCACATCCTTTTGGTAAAGGATTATTTGCACGTTTCCAATCCCGCTTTCCGGAGGCAACCACCGACTTCGCAGTTCTCGACAAGGTCCTAAGGAGGTTTTTCTGGACAGATAGTCTCAGGGCTGGAGTGAAGACGCTATGGAACGAGGCAGCAGCCCAAAGGGAGCATCCAGACTCCTAACAACCACATCTCCGAAGACTATATGCGACAACGACAACGCTGGAATTTGTTCCGAAGCTTGCAGGGGGCCCATTCAATTGGATGGCGATTTTATTTTCCAGCTCTCCCAATTACCATGTCAATATGTATACATATCTATTCTTGCCGCGCAAGCGCACACAGGACATCCAGGGTTAAGAGATCGGAACAACAGGTGATTTGCCATAACGAAGGCAGACATGATCTGAGGTACGTACCTACAACATCATCCTTTCTCTGGCGGTGACAGGCGGATCGGATTCGACTGGCTTGATTATGGTGAGCGTCACACCAAGCATTTACCACGCAGCACTGCCGACAAATAAGCGATCTGCCCCTCGCCCAATTCGTCGTCCTCCTTTATTGCCGTGCCGCTCCCAACCTTAGCTACTCGCCCCATGCATGCATGTCTCGTAAGTCTCCCGATGCCCTGTCTACGGCAAAACCATTGCATGGACTCTCCTTGGGCAAAGAACAAAACATGATCAGCCGCTCCATCCACGGCTGTCCCCGCCTGCCTCCCCGTGCCGCCTGGAAATGTCATTATAATCCAGCAAATGCAATCAAACTTGCTGGCGCTCTACCTTCACTCTACCACTCCAAGAACCGCAGGTTTCTCTTCTTAGCTCGTCTTCAATGTTGTCCACTCTGACTGTTTATGGAGGCATTCTTTTCTTGGTGTGCTTAGCCGGGCTATCATTTTACCGACTCGTGTTCAGCCCCTTGGCTAAATTCCCCGGCAGCTCTGACTCTGTGGTACGAGTTCTATTACGATGTCATCAAAAGGGGACAGTATATGTTCAAGATCGGGGACATGCATAAACAGTATGGTAAGTGAGGACTTGAAGACTGTCCATAGCCGCTGCTGCTTCGCCTCTTATTGGGCCATGGGCTTTGCCAGGCCCGATCGTTCGAATCAGTCCATACGAACTTCATGTGAACGATCCGGCTTTCCTTCCTGTGCTCTATTCCGGCGGCACAAAACGTCGAGACAAGTATGCCTGGGCTACGCGGGTGTTTGGCGGGTCAGGCGCGGCTATCGCCACCGTCAGTCATGACCTGCACCGTCTGCGGCGGGGAGCGATGAACCGCTATTTTTCCAAGGAGAGCATCCGCCGTCTCGAGCCGATCCTCAAGCGCAATTTCGAGAAGCTGTCGCAGAAACTGGGGGAGTTCAAAGGCACGACTAAACCCCTCAACGTCGACCTGCCATTCGGCGCCTTCACTTGCGACATCATTACCGAGTACTGCTTTGGCAAATCACACAATTGGCTCGACAAGCCCGGCTTCAACGAGAAATTCATTGAAATGATGGCTAGCGTGCACGAGATGAGCGCGGTCGCCAAACAATTCAACTTTATGATTTTAGTGGATATGCTTCCGGACTGGTTTGTCGAGAAGCAGGACGCGGGCATGGCGGCTTTCATCCAATTTAGAAGGATAAGTCGCTAGAAGAGGTCCGGACTGCAGTGGCACACTTGACGCGGCTGATACTACTGCGCGCAGGGGATGAGAGTCCAGATCGACGAGATCAAGGCCCGGCGAGCGAAAGGCGAGAAAGCCGCGGGTTGGACAGGAGCGGCAAACACCACCATCTTCGACTCGATCCTGGACAGCGACCTTCCAAAGGCCGAGAAGGAGACGGAGCGTTTGTGGCAGGAAGCACAGGTGATGTGCATCGCCGGCACCGAGACGACGGCCTGGACGTTGTCGGTCTTGACTTTCTACCTGCTCTCCAACCCCGAAGTGATGCGGAAACTCCGCGACGAGCTCGAGTTGGGTATACCAGACATATCGACAGCCGACGTCGAGATTAAGGATCTAGAAAAGCTTCCGTATCTGGTATGTGCCACGCACTGGTCAGGGGCAGATTGTGGCCTGCTAGAAAAACTGACATGGTCCAGACGGCCGTAATACAAGAGTCCCTTAGACTTTCATTCGGAGTCAGCACTCGGCTGTAACGAGTCTGTCCGGACGAGGAGCTGGTCTACGGAGACGGCCAGACCGTGTGGAAGATACCCGCGAATGTAGGTTTCCTGGGGGCTGTCATTGCCCAGTCACAAGCCAAGAGCATTCCATTGGCGCTCATAAGGCTGCTGACACCTCTCTCTCTCTCAATAGACCCCCGTCGGCATGTCGTGCGGCCTGGTCCACCTGAACCCCGACATCTTCCCTTCGCCGTTCGAGTTCACGCCCGAGCGCTGGCTGCAAGACCCACACCTGGGCCGGTACCTGTGTTCGTTCTCCCGGGGCTCGCGGCAGTGCGTCGGAATCAACATGGCGTATGCGCAGCTGTACCTGTGCGTGGCGGGCATCTTCCGCCGGTACGGCGGTCCGAGCAACCCGGGTCCGCTGGGCTACTTGGAGCTGTATGAGACGACGCACGAGGACGTCAAGATCCAATATGATCTGTTCGTGCCGTTTCCGAAGATGGGCTCGAAGGGGGTAAGGGTGCTTGTGAGGTAGGGCGGCGGATTCACTCGTCTTTCGGGGGTGCTCGCATGTTGATTGATTCTACATTAGTGGGGACTGGAGGAAAATGCCAGCGACAAAACGAAGCCAAGGCACTCCCTCGAGGGCATACAGAGCCTCTCTTTCCCCCTTTCCCAGAAGATTTCTGGTCCTTCTAAGCAACACACAGGATATATTACCAGGTTGGTGGAAAGGAGAGGAGGACCAAGGCTTAAGTATAGCTGCATGTCGATGTACCCACCATCAGTCTCTACGCTACCTAGATATCTTAACAGCTCCAAAACGAAACCCTCCGGTTGAAAATCCACAGCAGCACCCCGGCCTTTCTTTCGAAGAAAATTACCTGTTTGGAAAGTTATGGTAACGCCAAAGGACCCTCTTTTGCTACCGCGAAGGTCTACCGTGGTAGGTATAGTCACTTTGCTAGGTACCTAGGTAGGAAATATGGTGGAACCCGAAAGGGCTATAGGTGGGCTACGAAGGATGATAGGGAAAACCTAACCTAGCCTGAGGCCACTAACCAAACTACCGCGTTAACTAACTACATGGGGCATCTCGCTCTCTCGCTCTCTCTATCCCCCTTCTTGCACGGGCTTTGCTCGCTCGCTCATTTTCTCAGCCCGTGTATCCCTCGTACTGCGGACGCATTCGCTCGGATCGATCCCCCCTTGTCTGTTCGCCCTGACGCCCTGTCGCTCAGTCTACCGTCTTTGAGGAAACTGGCACCGACGCGCCGATGGGGCCTAAGGGGGTTTTCTGCGGTCCGGAACTTCGGATCTTGCTTTCTTATCCTTGATCTTGTGTCTTGGATCTCGCTTCCCTGCTTCCCGATCCTAGATTCTGGGTCCTGGATCCTCGATCTTGGTCTTGGATCGTGATAGGTCGGACGTGAACGACATGTCTTTTCGTAGGGATCTTGCGGTCATCTCGCTGTGAGGTGTATTTCTCCTGTTTACGGACGCGCGAGAGAGGCAAGCGTAGACCTAGGGTTAAAAAAAAAGAAAAAGAGTCAGAGAGAGAGAGAGAGGGGGGGGGAAGAGAAATGGGGAGAGACAGGGAGAGGAAGATTATGGAGGATAGAGGAGGAGGAGGGTAGGAAGGAGAGAAGGAGGAGACGAAAAGGACGCTGAGGTGAGCACGAGGAATGGAAATAGTACTATAGATAAAGAATCGACTGGATTGATTCAATACTAATGTTACAATTTGCGTTCCATATCTCAGATACTACGTTCTATGCGCACCCCGTCGGTCTCCCCCCTCCGATGACTAGCTATGTAAGTACTTCTTTGACTTGATCATTACTATCAACTTGCAGTTCCATCTCCTCCTCTTTACTCCCCAGATTTACTACTTCTTATGGAAGCCCCTATTTGTAGAGGCTGGGATAGTCGGCCTTGATGAGGTCAGCGCCCTTCTCAGCCACCATGTAGACGTCGTTCTGGATACGACAGTCGGGAATGACGGGGAAGACGGAGGCGTCGATGACACGCAAGTTGGTCGTGCCGTGGACCTGCAACTTGGGGTTGACGACGCCTTGCTTGATGTCCTTGGACAACCGCGTGGTGCCGCACGGGTGGAAGCCCGTCTGGGAGCGCTCAAGGATCTGGCGGATCATTCCTTCGTCCGAGTTGCGCGGCATGGGCCAGGGGTAGTCGCTCTCGATCAGGTCTTTCATGCCTTCGCCGTTCATGACGATGTCGTCGATCATGCGCACGCCCTCTCGCAGTGCGACCAGGTCCAGGTCGTGCGAGAAGAAGTTGATGTTGATGTACGGCTGCTCCGTGGCGTCGGTCGAGTTGAGCTTGACCTCGCCGTTGCGTGACAAAGGCCGCATCAGGTCCACGATCACCGTCAGGTAGTCGCCCGAAGGAGGGGTAGGGAAGTGCCATTGGAAGGCGTCGCAGAACATTGGCTGCGCGGAGCTCATGTCAGTCTAGTGGGAATAAAAAGGGAGAGAGGATACTTACCACAAAGTCGACCTCAAAGTGTGGCTGGCCACCCGGTCCAAAGGGGTCTACGCCGCCGTTCTTGGCCTTGTACTCGCGGTACTCCTTGGAGGTCTCAAACCACTCGTCGGCTCGGGGGAAGGCGACCAGCTCGAGCAGACCGCTGCTGTACGGGCCAGTGCGGTCTTTCCGGAAAGCGGCGATGGCGCCGTCCTTCTGAGGGCCCGCGCGCAGGAGATGGCTGTCCAGGCCATACCCGTCCTTGATCTTGAAGACGTGGGATAAGATGGGATGGTCCAGCAGGTTCTGGCCCACGTGCTGCGAGTCGACGAGGGTCTTGATGCCCTTGGACTCGAGGTGTTCCTTGGGGCCGATGCCCGAAAGCATTAGCAGCTTGGGCGACTCGAACACACCCTGCGACACAATGACCTCGTACTTGGCCTTGAACGTGTAGTCCTGGCCGTCGGGCCCGATGACAGTGATACCAACGGCTTTGTTGCCCTCGAAGACAATCTTCTTGGAGATGGTGGACGACATGAGGGTCACGTTCTCCTTTCCCTCAATGAAGACGGCCGCAGTAGATCGGCGACCCTTGTAGATGCTGTTGACACACTTGAACAGACCCTTTTGGGTGCCGCTGTAGACATCCGAGGTCAGCTCCTGACCTTTGCTGACCCAGGCCTTCTCGAGGGCATCACGGAAGGGCTTGAGTTCAGGAACCAGATCGGAGTGTGAGATGTGAAGAGGCCCGCCGAGGTTGCCGATCTTTGCAAGGTCAGTGGGATAGAGGTTGTCGTCGTCGTGATATGTGGTCGACTTGTTGAAGTATTTCTTGGTGTTCTCCCAGTTCCATTCGTCTGTTCCATACTCGGCCCAGTCGTCGAAGGTGGCCGCGCTACCACGGACCCAGGTGTAGTAGTTGCCACCGCTGCTACCGCCGAGCATCTTACCACGAGTGTTGGGCTTCTCGACTCGGGTGTAGTCCGGTCGGTCGATCAGGGTGGTCTTGTAACCCCAGTCATACTGGCTGCCTCGCAGCTCAAAGGCACGAGCCGGGGTGTTGATCTCGGGTATCTCGTTGGTGTTACTATACTTCATGTCAGCTGCGAGGTTCGACCCAGGGGGTGAAAAGCCATTGACGTACTTGATACCAGCTTCAATCACGAGCACTGAGACTTTCGGGTTCTCGGCCAGACGGCCAGCAACAACGCAGCCGGCCGTACCACCTCCCACGACGATGAAGTCGAAGGCTTGAGGGGCACCTTTGGGGGCTGTGGCGGGGTGGACCATGGTGATATAGTCCAGAAGGGAATTAATTTCTTTTGGTGCTGAGGTTGTGTTAGTAGGCTGTTTGCCCAAAATGGTTTCAAGGCGCGAGGGCACTGGAGCGGTGATTGTGACTGTGTCTGTGTCTGTCTGTGTCCACCGTCAGATGCTCGGAAGGAATAGCTCTCTTTATACCTTCAAAGCGAGCCCGAGTCCAAGTCTGTATCCAACGCCATCATCCAGTGCATGTTGCATGTGGCAGACCAAACACCAAGTCGTCATCTAGACCCGTTCGTTTCCGTCCCAGCCGCCAATCCACAGCGAGGCCGCGCACCCATGCAGAACGTTCTTTCGATGCAGCTCCCATGGCGGTAGAAAGTCTTGCTCGCCGACCTCTCAAAGTAGGCAAATGGATGAGCCATTGGTCAGTCTTTAGGTGTCAGCGTGCCTCGACGAGCACAGACCCTCTCCTCGAACCCATCAAAATGCGGAGGAAAAACAAGCTGGCCATCAGCTCTCGTCAGGACCCAAGTTGAAAATGGAAAATGCCGGCCCTTCCGTTCGAGGACAAGGCTTCGGAGCTGTCTGTCGCGGTCGATGTGTGCAGGGAGAGCTTCACAGAGCTGTAGAGGCAAGTGTCATTTACTCGTGCGAGATGTGTGTAGGAGCAGCAAATCATTCCTCGAGAGCCTGGCAGGCATTCGCGCGAGGTGAACGTTACGGCTCAACCCTGAGGGCCTTAGTATCTTGTGCAACCAGTATTATTCATCCGAAAATTAGCTGGACATGGAATAGTTTGTGGGGGTGAGATTTCAGCCTCGTAGCAAACCACCTTTTAGTCTTTGCTTTTGCACGCCTCTCTGCGAATCACAGGGCCGAGTAAATTTTCCCGTTGCACGTGTAGTAACTCACATAGTTCTCTCCATTGCGGAGACAGGCACGCCGGCTCTGGCACACATCAAGCATCCTGTGGCCCCCGCCAGATGACCCGATACCGACGGCAACCCACGACTTTCTCGTCAGCCGGAAAGCTTGGGTTGTTGGCCGTTGGGTGACATACTCTGCATAGTCTGCTATGTCATGGTGGGCGAACATACTCTGGATCAAGCTGGGAAACGCCTCCTCGCATTGCCAAATGTTTGAGTAGAAGGATCAACAAGCAAGCGACCGTGATGGAAGAATCCTATCGGGTATGAATGTCCGGCCTATGACTAACCATAGTGCACTTTTCTCCCCTTCAAGCCATGAGACGTATTGTATGAGGGTCCTCGTACATAGGTAGGTAGCTGGATTGGGCCCGAGGAGTTGCGTCGCCCAGATCGTGCATTGGTAGCCTGTCTTCCATAAATTTGGCGGGTAGCTATCTTGCGATGGTAGGTACGAAGTTAACACATGAGGTTTAAACGATGCACATAGACTCGTGAGTTGATCGGTGGATAAAGCCTAAACGGGCCTACGAGTGCTGGTGCCCACTCCCTGCTCGCTCTCTCGTAGGCTTCCCCCCTGGATGATTGTAGTAGCGAGTTGTCGCCCACTTTTACCCGGCAAAGTAAGCCCGCCCACCTTTACCCGGCGCAGTAAGAGCGAGGCGAGTCTCGGAATGCCTGGAAGACGCTTTCGCACGAGGTCCAGCAGCCTCTCATGCCCTCGCCCTCTAATCTCTCAATGCAGTCTGATGAGTAACGAGGCCACCATGTCGCATCTGGTGGGAGTGTCCGAACAAATCAGACAGAGCCACCCTGCCGCATTCAAAGCAATTGCAGCTGAGACCAGGGAAAAATAATAAGAAGTGGATGGGACATGGCCCGATTGTTCAGCATCACACAACGAATTGGTCATGTTGATCGGCGATGTCTCTGCCTGCCTCTTTAACGAAGGTCGCCCTTTGCGAGACTTGGAAGCAGTTCGGCAACGACGGGACCGAGAGAAAGTCCCTGTTTTCTAGGGCTCAGGAGCTGCTGGAATTACACTAGGCAATTCTTCAGGCATCGTAGCTGCCGTCGGAGCTCTGTCCAAATGGTATGGTAGAGTTACAAGGTAGTCGATGTGTCTCACAGTCAGTCGCCTTCTAAAGCTCTCGCGCGAGGTAGGAGCGCGAGGTAGGGACTAGATGGACATGACCTCCTCGACTTAGATTAAGCTCACTTAGATGATCCTGCCTTGTAGACAGACAAGCCAAATGCAGAGTTGTACTGGCCAGCAATAGGGACCAAAGACCAGACCCCAGGATAGCTATGCGACAGCGAGTTTCTCGAAGGAGGACATCCACTGCTAACATACTCGTATGTCTGGTCTTTTCGTCTCTACCGATACTTGCATGTGGAGACGATGAAAATGTGGAGTCATCTTTTCGGTTCGGCAGCCTTTGTTTCTGCCGGCCTCGCTCTTTTCACACGTTCCAGCAGGACATCAACGGTCCTCGGCGTCAATGTTGACAACGAGCTCGCTCTTGGATCCGCATCCCTGGCAGTCGCGTTATGCTTCCGACTCAGCGCCATATTGCACATCCTCAGAAGCCATTCCTACCATGTGCCACCCCTTTTTGGGGAAGATGGATATCCTCGGCATACACGTCCTGGCGATCGGGATCAGCAAGCTCCTATGCGTTCTGCTGCAACAATCCAATGAGACATGTCTGCTGCGCTAAAACACGGTGGCCGGGGCTGCTGCAAGCGTCACCCTCCTTGATACGGGCGGTGGTGGCAGCAAGAGGCGAGCTTTGCGGCGCAGCGTTTTCTCCCTCCCCGCAATCTCTGCAATGCTGCCTGTTGTGCACCAAGTATGGTCACAGGGTTGGCACGAGGCATGTCGTGAAATTGGAGCTCAGTGTTTTCTCGCCGAAGCCCTGGCTCTGCTTCTCGGTGGTGGACTGTTTGTTGGCCGCATCCTCGAAAAATTCGCTTCTGCATGCTTCGACATTTGATGTCATTCACACTGGCAGTTCCACATATGGGCCGTGCTTTGTGCAGCGTTCCTCCAGCTGGCCCTCGTCCAGGGACACAAATACCGCCAGTCTCATCCACATTGTTGAGTCTGAGAATTTCCAAGTCCCCATTACCAGTTCAGTGCCTTCGGTCGCTTTTCATTTCCAGACCTGGACAACTATTACCTTGTCAAGATATAGGTCGTGGGACCTGATACCAGGGAAATTCAATTTGACACACATCGATAAGTGAAAAGAGAATACGAGAGAACGCGAATAAGACCAACGGTGACAGAACGTTGTATGTCATTGTCATTCAAGTGCCTCCAACGACCGTTCGTCGCCTTAGTTGACAACCTCAGTCGTCTATGTTCCGATTTCACGGCTTGCTAATCGCTTTGGCAATGGCATTTCCCGTTGCTGTGGCACTCGCAGGGTTCTGGCCGGTAATCAAGCGTCCGCCTTTCGACACGACCACAAACTCGGCCCACGGCTTGTCTGCCTTTCGATACCTTCCATTGCTGTGTTTGTCGAGTTCGGTCTCCAGCATGAATGGCATGAACTGGGACAGTCCCACTGAATCCTCTTCGGCGTTGGAGAAGCCCGTCACCTCTGCATCTGCCACAAGGTAGCTGCCATCCAAGAGCTTAACGTTTACCAGAGAGGCGGGCCCGTGGCACAGAGCCGCCACAACTTTGCCGGCTTCGAAGAATTCGCGAATGAGTTGGATCGAAGTTGGATCCGTAGCAAGATCGTACATTGCTTACCCGACTTTTCAGAATGCACAGGAGCATAGCACATGGAGGACATTATACTCACGACCGTGTCCGCCTACATAGAAGACCGCTGCAAAGTCCTTGGCCTTGCCCACGAAACTCTCGAGTTTGTCTGTTTTCTTCCACAGAGAGGATTGTTTCTCCAAGAATTGGGCTGAAACTTCATCCTGCCTCCAAGCCTCAACCGACCCAGGATCAAGAGGAGCTTCACCGCCGGCTGGAGACGCTACTGTGATATCCGCAACCTCGTGCAACTCATGGTACGGGTGGGCGAATTCTGGCTGTTGATGAAGCATGAGTATGAGCACTAGCCCACTCGTTGAAGCAGGTAGAGCTACTCACCAGATACCAGCCAGTAGGCTTGCCCGATGCACCTAGGACGCTGTGAGAGGTCAAGACGAAGAGGACACGAGGCTTTGGGGCGGACATTGCAACGAAGGGTTGAGCCAGGACAGGGAGAAGTGTCAGATGGGGAAGTTGTTTGAGAAGCAACAAGCAAATGCTCAGCGGCGGGCGCGCAGGATGATTTTAATTATTGCCGAAGTCCTATCGAAGGGGACAACCACTGCCTGCTGGATCGGCTGAAAATAACTCCTTTTCCCCTCCTTCGTACGGGGTGCATTGTGGGCGAGCGGCTCTGACAAATCCGTTCGGTGTGTATATCCCCCGTTGCCAGCATCAGTTTTACTACTGAGCGGAGTTCATGTCGCGGAGATAAAGGAGTCCAGGCTTCACTTCAAGAATGCTCTGCACAGAAGATCCGCCACCTGGGCTGGGGCCATCTCTATATACTATCCTTTTTAAAGCCCTTAGCCCCTTTTCAACCAAGCTCTTGGTTCCCTGAGCTGCAAGCCGGAACTTCCGTTGGTTGCGGATGCTATCCGTTAACTTGTCCGCTGCTACTCATTGGTCTAGCGGGATGAATTGACGCAAATGACGCCAGGCTGTCAATGCCATAGGACCAAGCGGAGTCCAGTTCAGGGCCTCGGGACGTTCGCTTCGCCAACCTCATCCCCCCGAAGGTGTTTTCTCGGCCTATGACGTGCCTCCGCCTTCAGCCTCGCTAGCCTCGTCCCGCAACTCCCCAAAGTCCCCTAATAACGAGGTGAATTCGCGGCATACGGAAAGCGCCGTATCGACGATGTTACGGTGCTTGGCCCGGAATGCTTTGACAATCTAGGCCCATTACCTAGTGTTGATCGCTAGCATGATTACCACCAGGCCTTGCCTGACAAAGCTGACAAATGGGGCCTCCCCCGCGCCCACGACGGGATGTATCCATGTAAAAGCGGGCAGCATCCGTTGACATGTACCCTAACACCATACAGTAGGGACCTAGGTAACAATGGACGACGCCGCAGGGACATCAGGCCAAAGCTCACAGCGTCCAAACAAAGTGCGATCCCGCATCAGCGCCGCCTGCGTGCGATGTCAGAAACGGAAGATTCGATGCGACGGAGCAGTGCCCGCCTGTGGTGCCTGTCGAAAAGCAGGGGCGAGTTGCGTGGGGGGAGGGGCAGGCCGCGATATCCCTCGAAGGTGAGGAATTGGATTGGCGCACATTGAGAACCATCCAGTGGCATTAACCGCTTTGACGCAGCTATGTCCATGACTTGGAGGCCCGCGTGGCCTGGCTGGAATCCCTTGTGCGAGAACATGCACCCAGCGTGGACCTGGACGGAGGGCCACATTCTCAATCCCATGGCACACCGGCTCGTCGATCGAAGGAGTCTCAACACGAAGATGGAGCATCCGATGCCTATTCTCCCGAAGATGAGTCCCTAAGCCAAATCACTCACCAGATTGGACTCGTCTCCGTCACCACTGGGACCGATCTCCGCTATCTGGGCCCTTCCAGCGGGTTGTTCTTCACCAAATTTGTCCTGGCAGGACTGGGACGGAAGATCCAGGTCGAGAAGCAGCACGACTACTCTACGGATTCCGTGAGAGACTCTCTTTCAATCCCTGCGGATCTGCTGGTCGTTCGACCCCAAGAACTGCCCTCGGACCAGAGACACACGCGGTGGTTGTCGCAGGCGTATTTCGAAACCGTCCACCTGCAATTTCCCTTCCTGCATGAGCCGACCTTCTTGGAAATCCTTGCCAACTTGTACGACGGTGTCGAGGTCGGCCCAACATGCGAGTTTCAGGTCTTCATGGTCCTCGCAATCGGGGCGACGATCCTGGCACGCCGAGCAAAGATCCCCCTGTGTGCTGAAGGCTACTGCGCCTCGGCAATGGCCCGGCTCGATAGCATCTTTCAGAGGGCGTCTTTCACTGGGGTTCAGTGCATGCTGCTTCTGCAGATTTATGCCATGAACAATCCGTCGTCTGGATTGAGTCTCTGGTCTCTTCATTACCATTGTCTGGCATGGACAATCGAGCTGGGCCTGCATCGCAATGCCCCAGGGAACCTCTATTCTTTTGCTCAGCAAGAGATGCGAACCAGGGCTTTTTGGTGTGTCTACACAATCGATCGCGCCTTGTGCACTCTTATGGGAAGACCACTTGGATTACCGGACGAGCAGTGCGACTTGAGGGTGAGCTCTACATCCCTGACCATGCTTTGTATGCCAGCCAGCACTAACTTTTCTAGCTTCCGTTAGATGTCAATGACACGGACCTTGAGAGCAGCCAACCCACGTCGAGCCGCAGTGACGAGCCCCTGACCAGCATGTCCAGCGCGATCCACCTCTTTAAGCTAGCGAAATTCAATTCTGAAATCAAATCCGTATTGTACTGCATGGAACGGCAATACCCACCGTATACACCCCCGACTACGAGCGATATCGCCCGATGGAAAGAGGATATGTTGAATCGACTTCGGAAATGGAAAGAGGAGATCCCACGACATCCACAGGGCAGTGAAAGAAGTTGTATCAACCACCTCATGGAGATCAAATACCACGAGCTCATAATGCTGGTTCACCGTCCGAATCCGGTTTTCCAGCATCCCACCAAGGCTGCTCTCCGCGAATGCTTTGCCAGCGCCCTGCAGTGCAGCAAGCTCTACTACGAGCTCTACGCGGCCAACACGCTCCATTACAGCTGGATCAGCGTGCACTCGCTTTTCCTGTGCGTCATGACCATGTTCTACTGTGTCTGGACGCCCAACGGAGTTGCCGACGAGGTGGATGTCGACGGCATTACGAGAACGTTGAAATCTACCTCGGACATCCTCAGCGCGACAGGCGAGTATTGGCCTGAGGCGAGACGGAGCCGTGATGTGCTGGATCGCATCTCAGCGGCGACCATGTCACGATTTCCCATGAGGGTCTGTGTGTCGCCGAGCGGCGGCAAAGTCAACCAGCCGAGGCCGCCACCAACGCCGCCCATCCCGGCGACCATGGGCTTCGAACCACCAGCAGCTGCTGTCCCGAACACGACAGATCTAATCTCTCCACCTGAATTCCAGGCGTTCCAGTTTGGAAACGCCAATTTCGGCACCGCTTACATGTCTCCAGTCTACGAACCACAGGCCGACGCATTCACCACAACTGATATGCTGTCATACTTTATGGGTTCTGGGGGCGACGGGAGTACAAATAATGTGTCGATGATGGGGGAGTACTATCCCAGCGTGGACGAAGTGATGCAGAATTTCTTTGGGGACGGATCCCGGGACTTTGGGCAATACGGGCAATATCAATCAGTGTGAAACTTGTGTGTGTGTGTGCTAAATGGAAGGGCGTGAAAGGTGTTCGGAGTCAAAGATTTCTTCAAGATCTACTGATATTCAGCACTGCCAGCCGTAATTCAGTGGCCCGAGGCCATCTTTGGCGCGTTTCATTGACCCTTTTCCCGGAATTTCAATACACTATTAATCAGGTGCTACATAACCTGGTTCGCTTCTGACTTTACATGGTCAGTTTCCGACACTAAATGTCGAGGTAATTCCTGATATTCCATGGCTGGCGTCTGATATACAAGAATAGTTGCTAATTAGATTTCTACATATTGATGTCCTGTCAATTGATACTTCGCTGGTTTGTTCTCCCAGTCCCCCAGGAAGAGCAACATTCTCCCCAGGAGGTACAGTACCACTTCGGACTCAACCCTTCCGTCGATGTCGGCTCCAGGGGACTTCTCCCAGCCATTGCTCTCTCGTGAAAGATTAATCAGCGAAAGATGGTTTCCTATCTGAGTGTACTTGTATAGCATAGCATAACATTATTAACCCATCCTCGTACCGAAATAGCATACCCAGGTAGCATTAATAAACCACAACTCTTAGCCACCAACCGAGCAACGTCATATAATATGCCAGATGCGGGAGAGCCCGACACTCCAGGCGGTGGTTCTGGAGACGACGGGGATCCCGCTTGGCTGCTGCCAACTTGCTAAGGCTTTCTGGTGCTTCCGAACTGTCTCCGACTCCTAGGTCTTCCGCTCGCTTCCCCGTCTATCCTATAGTAGCCTGGAGGCTCCTTGCAGGTGTAAATGGTCTTCTGGGCATGGACATCATCAGAACCGACGGCTGTGGTCCGCTTATACGAGTTCTCCTACTGGATGCCACGAGCTCCTTTCTGGGGTAACGGTAGTGGCTTTGCCGTCACTACCTATGCATGACTGCGGTGGTGATCAGGGTAGAGGATACTATTCGTCTGGTCTCTGCGGCTGTGGGCAGCAATTCATCTCATACAGACAGAAAGTGCAAAGACAGAAGGAAATATATAAGCAGGAATGTCCTCTCTCTTTTCTCAAAATCTCTCTCCATTCAGCAATCGGCACTTTCTTCCTACAATTCCTCTTAGCTTCGACGGAAATATACAACTCAGCCCAAACAAACATCACCAATACCAGAAATCTAAGCCAAGATAATACCAACGGTATAACAAATCAATTCAAAAGTCAAACAAGTCGCCATGTCTGCCGCCCCCTCCAAGACCATCGCGATTGACGGCAAGGATATCTCGATCCCCACGGGTCTCTTCATCAACAACGAGTTCATCAACGCGCTTGCCGGCAAGACTTTCGAAGTCGAGGATCCCAGCACCGGAAAGGTGCTCCTGTCGATCCAAGAAGGTCTCCCCGAGGATGTCGACGTCGCGGTCAAGGCGGCCAGGGCGGCCTTTGAAGCCGGCTGGGCTGATTCCGACCCGGCCTGGAGAGGCTCGTTGTTGCAGCGCCTTGCCGACTTGATGGAGAAGCACCGCCACGAGCTTCTCGCCGTTGAGGTCGTCGACAGCGGCAACACCCTCCACCAGGTCTCGACCGTCGATCTCCCCGCCTCCATCGGCACGCTGAGGTACTATGCGAGCTGGGCGGACAAGGTGTATGGCCGCACTTCGGCCACCGTGCCCGGCACTTTCACCTATACGGTCAGGGAGCCCGTTGGAGTGTGTGGACAGATCATCCCCTGGAAGTAAGTACCTCTGCAATCATGCTTCGGTAGAAGAACAAGCATATGTTGACAAACCCATTCGTGCACCAGCTTCCCACTTATGATGTTCATCTGGAAGATCGCGCCTGCCTTGGCTACCGGCAACACGATTGTGATAAAATCGGCAGAGAGCACTCCCCTGTCGGCCCTCTACATGTGCCAGCTGATCCGAGAAGCTGGATTCCCTGCCGGCACTGTCAACCTGATCTCTGGCTTTGGTCCTACTGTGGGCGCCGCCATCGCAAACCACATGGATGTGGACAAAGTCGCTTTCACTGGGTCCACTGCGACGGGACGTGTTATCATGAAGGCGGCCGCGTCGTCCAACCTCAAGAAGGTCACGCTGGAGCTTGGAGGCAAAAGCCCGGTAAGCTAGACATACACACATTTTCCCTCTATTGGTTGGTGAGGATAAGACTAATACTTGTCGCAGAACATTGTCTTCCCTGATGCGGATCTTGAGAAAGCGGTCGACTGGTCGGTTCTCGGCATCGACTTTCACGCCGGCCAGGTCTGCCACGCCGGCACCCGCATCTACGTGCACGAAGACATCTACGATGCCTTCCTTGCGGCCTTCACAAAGAAGTTGTCCGCCACCAAGGTCGGCAGCAACCTGAACGGTTCGACCGACCAAGGCCCGCAGATCAACAAGTCGCAGTACAACAAGATTCTGGGATATATCGACACTGGTAAGAAAGAAGGCGCTAGGCTGCACCTGGGTGGCCTCGCCATCTCCAACAACGGCGGCTACTTTATCGAGCCGACCATTTTCACAGACGTCACGCCAGAGATGAAGGTACGCATATTCCCTTTCCCCCCTTTGAGCGTTTGTGTTCACAGAGAGTTGACACTTTCGCAGATCGTCAAGGAAGAGATCTTCGGTCCCGTCGTGGTGATCGCCAAGTTCAAGACCGAGGAGGAAGTCCTCAAGCTTGCCAACGACACCAGCTACGGTCTCGCCGCTGGCGTCCACACCAATGACTACCAGCGGGCCTTGCGCCTTACCAAGAAGCTCAAGGCTGGCACCACGTGGGTCAACATGTTCAACTTCCTGCACTGGAGCATGCCCTTTGGCGGGTACAAGGAGAGCGGCATCGGGCGCGAACTCGGCGGTGAGGCCCTCGACAATTACACCCACGTCAAGACCGTCTACTTCAACATGGGTCTCCCAGCCCCGAAGCCCGCTTCTTTGGCCTAGGTTGCCGGAAGGCTATGGATGGTAGAGATGGAGAGACAGGTGTAAGTATAGGGAGATAGGCAGCAGACATTTACGATAGCATTACGACATTCTCTTGGAGCTGGAAGGCAAGAGTTAGGGGAGAATATGTTATTACATATACGACTTGCAATACCTTTCCTTGTGTTTGCAGTGCAGTGAAGTACATTACAGTCGGGCTGTGCTTGTCCATGAGACCTATTATTACGGGCCAGCATCCTCGAGATGTTGCCTGTGTTGACAGTGACAGTGACTGCTTCATCTTCTCCATCACCATCTCATGACCCGACAAGGCTGTCATCAAAAAGGGGCGGGCGGCTTGCCATATTCGGACGAAGCGGCCCTTGCGGCGATGTCTCGGTTGACCTTGTCCTTGAACCCCTTTGGTTGTTCCCCACCCGGCGTGCTTACCACCCGGCCAACCATCAAGTTTTTGCGATCTTCACACCGACTAATGGTTCCCTCATGATCTAGATTCTCATCCATGCAGCTGCGGTCAGAGGGAACCGCACAAAAAGAGAGAGAGAGAGAGAGGTATCAGCTCGTATTCAACACTTCCCCTCTCCCTCTCCCTCCAAGTCTCTGCCTCATCAACGGCGCACCAACGAGACAACGTCATCAAACACGAGCACTTCAACAATACCACCAATTCAAACCGGCCTCCTTTTCCTTTTTACGTCCTACGTTTACCACTATCGGGACGGACATGCATATGGACAATTCCCCATAGCTTTACAGACTTTGCAGACTTTTCTCACTCAGGATGGGACTGTGTCCTTTACTTCATGGCTGTTAGGCCGCAGTACCCGTTCGTCAGCGGCTCTAAAGGCGGCGGGCCTGAAGAGTCAAGACACAACACATTCTAACCAACAAGGGAATTTGCGCGATCTCAATCCCCAGGCAGGCCGCAAGATGCCGTCAGACTTACCCCCTTGCCAGCCCGCGGTGAGTACCTCCTACCAGAGTGAATGACTCGGTGAGAGGCTGCATGAGGATGAGAATAGGTGTTCGTAACTCCTTCTTCTCTGCGGACATGGCAACTTCCTGGAAGCCTGCAATCTAATAACACTACCGAACGAGTTACGTCGCTGACCGACCTAGTTCTCCCCTATACTGAACCCTCCCCCGGGCTTGGCAGGATAGTCAGCTAGCCAGCCAGCATGAAGAGGGAGACAAGGATCAGCGGAACAGATCAACGGTGAGCTCTGGCGCCTCAGCCTCAACTTCACCAAGGATCCCCTGCTTTGTACTGCGCCATGGCACATGGGACTCTCGAACATCAGAAGATGACGGGGGAGTACGAGGTGAAAGTTGAAACAAGTGACCTGAGTCTTTTGAAAAAGACACGAGCACAGCGTCGAGTCTGGGCGTAAATCCAAAACAGAACCGACCAAGGGCTTTGCCAGCATCCTAATGTCAAACCAACCGCTCCCATTTCAGTGATTACAATCGGTCTACTGCGAAGGCAAACATTCTTGGTGACACTCGAGGCTGAAAGATAAGTCAACTCGTCTACGTCGAAACCCTGCCGAACTGCACTTTGCAACTGAGCGCGAAGCACGAACGCCCTGGGGCCTTGTCATTCACTTTCTCATCTTGGACCCGGTCAAGCTTCGTTAGCGCCCGTTACAAGACAGGAGAAAAAGTTTCTCTGTCGGGCCCCCTTGGCTGGTAGAAATGCTGTCAACAAACAAACCACGATAGGTAAGCGCACTGTCAGGCTATGATGAGAGAGAGGGGGAGAGAAAGAGAGAGGACCGTCGAACCTCCATCAGCTGATTGATATCAGGATGACATGATTGGGCGGGAAACGCCGGTTCGTCGTTACGATCCCCTCCGGCCGAAGGCTGACCCAGAACCTTGGTTTACGAAGCTGAAAAAGATTTTAGGACGCATTGCCCTGTTTTGGGTCGGTCTGGGGACTGACTGTAATGAGGCCCTCAAGGCTGCACCTCTACAGCCACACACACACACACACACACACACACACACACACACACACACACATATGTGCACAAGGTGAGGCAGTGTGTGCTTGTCTGCCACACAGGGATCTGGAGAAAAAGGATGTCCATTTAAGAAGCTCGAGGCTGCTGGTCGGCCTCTCTGTGTCCTTTCTTTCCAACCAGACGCAAAGAACCCTAATTTTTCTTGTCTATTTCCCCAAACAAATCCGAACAGCAGTCAAACCATGGCATCACAAACCGTGCTCAACGGAGTCAATGGCCACTCCTCCTCCTCAGTGTTGCCGGCGGTGCCTCTCCCGTCAAGCTTCACGATACAACCCCAGGACGAGCGACTCAAGCGCTGCTCGTTCAAAACGGTCAGTTCTCCCGCTCAAGCGGGCGCTGCTCCGAGCACGACGATCCCGCCGCTCAGCGTGCTCTCCAACTTCGCGGGTACGTTCCATGGGACGGGGTTCAACACCATCTTCCGCCCCAACAGCGGTGTCACGGGCGACAACACGACGTTCCCCAACGCAGTCACTCCGGCGCCGCCGGCCGTGCCCAACGACAACACGCTGGAGCTCAATCTCACGCAAGAGACGTTGCAGTTCCATCAGCCTCTGGGCAACGTGCCCAACCGCGGGTTCGGCACGCAGGGCGACATCTTCCTCAACGGGGTGCCGTACACGCAGATCATCAATGACGTGGTCAACCCGGCGACGGGCAAGGGCGACGGGGTCCCCTCTGGGATCCATTTCGAACCGGGTCTGTGGATGCACGTCCCCGCGACGACCTCGGACCCTGTGGTGCCGGAGTCGCTGAACCGCATGGGCTCGATCCCGCACGGCACCACGATCAACGCGCAGTGTCTGGACCCGACCTCGACGGTGGGCACCGTCGCGGGCCCGCCCACCATCCCGGCCGTGGACATCACGCCCACCATCATCGCGACGGGCAAGACGGCGACGTTCCCTTCCCAGACAGCCACCAACACCGACACGGCGCGGCTGCCGCAGGACCTCACCAAGTTCATCGCCGCGGGGACCATCACGCAAGCCATCCTGAGCGACCCGGCCACGGTGCTCCGCAACGCCATCGTGGGCCAGACCATCACCCAGACCATCTTCTTCACCGTGTCGACCACGCCCGCGACCCCGGAACTCGGCGGCGGCGTCGCCAACACGGGATTCCTCATCGGCGCCACCGCAGGCACCACCGGCACCGGCACCGGCACCGCCCAGACGGGCCCCAACGCCCAAGCGACCACCATGACGGCAACCTTCTGGATCGAAACCGTGCAGTACGAGCTGCAAATCCCCGCCTGGAAGCCCGGCCACCCGGCCATGCTGATCCAGGCGCCCGTGCCCCAGGGCAATACCAGCGGAGTGCCCACGCCCACCTTCCTGGTGCAGCCGCCGCACGAGATCACCTCGCCCGTCACCATCACCGTCCAGGCCACCCAGATCCAGTACTCGCAGCTCGTCAACCTCGTCTTTGCGGGGCTGATTTGGCCGCACTCGTCCCATGCGACTTTGGTGCCTCAGGCTCCCGTCCCCGTGCCTGCCTCGGCGTTTGGTAATATCAGCAACAAGATCGCTGCTAATGGGAGCTAGTGGTAGCGAGAGAGAGCATGTTGTGCTGTCATCCGCTTGCCCAAGGCTTGGGGTGGGGGAATCGAAAGAATGAATGGACGAGTGAATGAATAATGAACGAATGATGGGAAGATAGAGAGTTTGTATGTCTTGTGTGCGTGTGAGAGAGAGAAGAGTAGTTACTCGTACTTAGGCTTCTATCCAACACAACTTCCGCCCACGTCCAAGGTGTGAGGTGTGTGATGTCGTCTCTGACTCGTAGGTATTATTACTATAGATTGAAGACGCCCGACTTTTCGTTATCACAGACAAGTGTTTGAAAACAACAAAAATAACCCATACCTACCTCACTACCTACGTATATGTCGGAATCAAGCGAAGGTTCGTCCATGATGGATACCTCACATCACAACGACCATCACAGGCAGATGTCGCGTATCATGGTGTACGGAACGCTTCCTCATCTGTGTGCTGTATCAAGAATCTAAGGGTATATCAAACATGGGCACCATCTGTGTATTCTCCATGGGGGCGGAGTGACTTGCTACATCAAAATCCACCGAAATTCCTATTGCTACACGAACCGTCCTTACCTCTCCCCAGCAGTCGCATGCTAAGAATCAAAACAAACTCAATCACAATCACAATGAGAGCGGCGCTCTCAGACTTTGGGACTTTTGTAGAAATGTTTAAGGTATTGGAAGATACAGCCACCTAGGCAAAAGATATGGTTGTCGCGTGGGCTGATCCGTCAACCTCCCTTGACTAGTCGTTCCGATACTTTAGCCTCGAGCATCACTTCTTCCAGGTGCGCTCGGAAAAAGCAATTAAGCCTTCCCATGCCGTCCCACTAAAAGGATGCCTTGCTAAAAGGATATCGCCTTTCCTTCATCTGTGCTGGCGTCGACCAATGTTTGCGCTCACTTTCTTCGCTTAAGCAGCAGCAACCTCTTCGGTTGTGCCGTTGGTACCATTTTCTTCGGTGGTCTCAGCCGCACCATCTTCTTTTCCTGGGCTATCGATGGCAACCTTGACTGCGATCTCGCGGCCCTCGATCTGCTTGCCGTTCATCTCTTCAACAGCCTTCTTCTGCATCTCCTCCGAGGCAAGGGTGACAAAGCCAAAGCCACGGCCCTTGCGAGGCTCATTGCGAGCCGCAAGTTTCTTGACCATGAATCGTGGAATGGGACGCAGAGCAATCTTGGCAGAGCTGGGTTGGTAAGCGGCGAAGAGTTCCTTGAGCTGCAAAAAATTGTTAGCACGACCCTGAGTACTTGGCCTCTTGAGTTCCATACCTTTTCCTCGCTCAGGTCGTAAGGCAAGTTGGCAACCATGACCTTGGTTGTTGATGGAATACCATCTTCCGGAGGACCGCGTTGCTTGGGGGGACGGGGAGTTCGAGATTTGGCATCAGCTGCAGGAGTAGCCTTGTTGGCTTCGGCAGTGACATCGGTCAGAGGAAGAGGGTTCTCTGCGAGGTCAGTGGCAGGTGAACCGCCCTCCTGCAAGTTTGTCAGTGATCAGTTTCTGCAAAGCAGTGGTATGTCGCAAACACGTACAGCGCCTCTTACGCCTCCACGGCCACGTCCACCTCGGCCACGGCCACGGCCACCACGACCGCGTCCGGAAGATCTCTTGCGCTCCGCATCAGCCCCTTCGGCGGCACCCTCAGGGGTTGTGGCCTGATCAGGCTTGCGGGCAACCTGAACAGAGACTTTGCGCTCGAGAATCTCCTTGCCAGACAGGTTCTCGATGGCCTTTTCCGCCTCTTCAGCAGACTTGAGATCGACAAAGGCATAGCCTACGGGGCGGTTGGTGCGAGGGTTGACGGGGATGGAAGTCGACTCGCTGTTGGGAAAAATGGTTAGTCAAAGGAACGCATGGAAGATATTGGCAGTTGCCACCTACACATCGTAGCCAGAAAAGAACTGCTTGAGTTCCGCCTCAGTGGTCGCATATGCGAGATTCCCGATGTACAATCGACGACCTTCGGCTGCGGAGGCCAGAACGCTCTCGTTGTTAGCAGCAGAGGTATCCTCGATGCTGGCATTCTTGAGGTTTTCGGCAAGGTTGTCGACGGCAGAAGACATTGTGGCTGAGGCACAAGTTGGTTGAGTTGACAAGTGGTTTGAATGGGGACTTGTGGAAGGGAACTTGACTCAGGTAGCTAAGGGCTGCCTTGGGAATCAATTGACGGAGGGGTGTAAAGGGTAGCTAAGTGCCCTAGATTCAAAGGATTGATTGAAATGAGCTCGGGTTGTGATCAGTCGAAGGATGAAGTGGTTGATGAGAAACAAAAAGGAAGATGGGAAATTCCAAAGGGGCCTTTTTGACTGCAGGCCGAGAGAAAATTAATTCTTTAGCGGCAGTAGCGGTGGGCTCATTTTAGTGACGGGGAAGTGACGAATCGGCGGGCCTTAACGGGCGGGCGCGAACTGGAAGAGGGAAAGCGCAAGTGACACCCGGTGCCACTAACGGACATTAACAAGCCCACCAAGCCCTCACTATGCCCTCACTATGCCCTTACTATGCCCCGAGAATGGGTGACAAGCCACTGGCACCCACTGGCAGTGACCCAGCCGTGAGCGCCCCAAGGCCCAAGGGCCCCATGTCAGATGCCTGCCAGTGGCGAACATTCACCATCACTGACCAGCTTCTCCTCTCGCGTGCCCAAAGTGATGCCTCCTTGCCCAGTGAAGCTAGCCCCCAAGAGCCCTGCGTTGGGCCTTTCTCCACCGATCAATTATTGCTTGCATGCACACCTCCGGACACACTTGTACCTGGCAGGTGCCTCCTTTGACCCGCCCAACACCGATCTACCGGCTTCTCCTAGAGCGATGGCTCGCAGACAAGGGCACACCAATCACGATTGAGATGTGCATGCACGAATGATAGTCACTATGATATCTCTGAAGGGGGTGCCGAAGCCTTGATGGACGGAGAGAGGGTGAACATCTAAAGGTGAGCTAACAAACACCACCAGCCTTGTCCTCTGCAGTAAATCTTGATCAACAGTCCCAGCAACACCCACTTCGTATCTGCGTCAAACCAACTGCACAAGGCAACGGAATTTTGACAGTTCGGGCTATTCAGGCGACCATTGCCCTGTCCAGAACCAGTCCATTGGCAGAGCATCTAACTCCTTCGTGCACTATACCAACCGGGTAACTTTTGGTGGAAGTAAAGACCTTCACAAGGCATCCAGCCTTTGGTTTGAATGCTAACTTATGACACATCTGTACTGCAGGAGCTGGCACCCAGCGGTTACACTCGGGCCATTCCCTGCGAGAGACCTGTCACCCTGTAGAAAGAGGGGCAGAGGATGTAGGAGCCATGATGATGAATACCAACTCGAACTGAGAACTGATAAAACATAGGACAGTTGACAGTGGTAGAAACACCTAAAGTGGATCGTTGAAGTGAAGCGCCCGATGAGCCTCAGCCTTACGAGTTACACAGGCGAGACAAAGGCTCGACAGGCTTGACAGGCTCCGACGCCACAATGGCGCTGCGCCCCCAACTTTTCGCGTCGAGGCGTGCGTCTCAGACTCTCAGACTCTCAGTTGCTCCTGGCCCCGTGTTCCCATGTGTGGTCGACATCCGCTTCTGCACTTCACGTTGTATACCTAATTACTTACCGTCACTCCTTTTAGCTTTGTACAGTACCTAGTCCTTTGCCATCTGTATACCCATTGCTATCACTTGCTGGTCTTTCTTTCCCTTTTGAGCAGAGTTCCTCTTTGGCCTCGTCCTACGAACAACTGACCTTCCGCCTGCCGCCTGCTCTTGCCTGCGATTCAAAAGTGACACAAACTACCTAAGCAGACAAACTGACCCCAATATTGTCCCAGCCTTGCCGGCACAGTTCTATCAAGTTGCGGCCTCGTCAGACGCCTCTCCAATATCCTCGTCCTCGAGACTTTGCCTTTCAGACAACCCCCGTTGTCGCGCACCACAAGCAAAGATGAGGCTCCAGTTAGACCAATTCGGTCAGATTAAGAACTACATCCATCTGGGCCAGGCGGCTCTTCTCTTCCTTGCCTGGGTCCTGACAATTGCCTTACTGACAAGGCCTGGCACGACAGATGGGCGAGTCGGCTGGTACTTTGGCTTGGTGAGTTCCTGTGCCCACTGTCAACTGTGTGCAGCCATGACCCCCATGCTAATGCAAGGCTACGCACAGTGTTGGCTCACAATCCCCATCCTGATCTACCTCGTAATGGTCCCCATGTGGTCCCGTGCCCGCCGCTTCTCCAACGTCTATGCCTTCGCCGCGCTAGATTTCCTAGCCGTGATCCTCTGGCTGAGCGCTTGGGCTGCCGTTGCTAGCTACGTCTCTGCGGGAAAGGGTAAAGGAAAAAGTACAGACAAGAATGCCACAGGTTGCGATAACTTCAAGTTCGGCAGTCCTGGGCGCTGCAAGCTGTCGGAAACAATCATTGTGTTTGGCGTCTTTGAAATGCTGCTATTCATCGCGACGGCATTCATTTCGTTTCGAGCGGTCATGACGTTCAAGAGGACGGGTATGATGCCTCAGAATCTCCCCGGTTCTGGAGGCAAGAACGACTTCTCGGCGCAGACGCAGGATGATTTCTCGAGTAATATGCGGAACGACGATGACGACCTGGATGAGCACCCGGGTGTGGGTGGAAGGCAGGAATATGCTTACCAGAAACCTTCACTCGACGATTCATATGCCCCGATTCGCCAAAGCGATCACGACAATGACCTTGCACAGATGCCCGCCGCGCAGCCGACGAGCCCGCTGAACCATGCTGGGTTGGGTATTCATGACTACAACACGAGTTACAACCCGGGGGCGTACAGTAGTCAGAGCCAACCGATGATGGCAGGGCGATAACGAGTCTCATTGCTTGTATTTTCTCTCTTTTCTGTGCCCAATACAAGGACATGCGCCACTTAGGGGACTGTGTTGATGTAGAGAGTTTGTTGCTCTTTCTATGCTACGACAGTTGAAGCGTTCGAGCGTTTTCTCCTCTTGCTTCAGGTTATAGGGAGGATTTAGTATTTAAGGGGGATAAAGAAGCCCACTTTTCAAAAACCATGATATGTACCATACCGAGCACAATGCTCCGATAGCTCCTCTCTGACACTTTTTCCAGAGTTAGCTACAAGGAATATGATACTCCAAAGTCTCGCTCTGGAAGGTCAACCCACACCGTGATAATACGTAGAGATCGGGCATCGAATGAATCCCTCGCGATGACGAATCCTTGCAGTTGGTCGGTACCTACCTAGTTTGTCCAAAATGGATCGTTTCGTGTATGCCGTGCATACGACATGGAGGCGAGGTAACTCCCTCGCTCCCTCAGCAGCAGAAGCGAAACAGTACAGTGGCGTAAGCTCTCGCAGAAAAAGTGCAGTCGGACGGGACGTTCGGCGCAGCAAAACAAGGGAAAGAGAAGACGGTACGACAACTTGGGAATCGTTTGTTATTTCTTTCTGGCTACCTCAGGTGATGCTCCTACTGATCGTCTCATCGCTCAAAATATCGACTCTTTCCTGCTAGAAACAAGTAGCTCAATCACGAATTCGTTTCATTTTGACCCATGGCAAAAATCTGCAGTCCCGCGATTCGTAAAACTTCAAACCCAAGCTTTCCAGTCACGTACCATGCCGCCCAAGTATCGACACAGGGTATGCTTTCGAAACCACTCCTAACCAGGAACGAGGCTGGCCGTGTCGTGTGCCGTCGCCGTGTCCCTGATAGATTTGAGGAGAAAATGAAAATGTCCGGGTATTCCAGGCCCAAACTCGACCCAAATCCCTGGCAATTGGCAGAGTCAACAGTCGCTCATACCACTTCACACCCTCATCCGGTTTGCGCCCTGACACCTGTACAAGCCCTTGCGAGCATATCCATACCGTTCGATTCGTGGCCCAGGTGAGAAAGAACAAATCCCAAAAAGCTCTTATTGCCAACCCGTAGATTCCTGTGCCTTCTTTTCTTTCGGGTCTGTCTAACCAGGGGAATATCGAGCGCGCACAAGCTTGGGTTTCGTATGGTGCCACCAATGGCGTTTCAAGGTTGCATGCTGTAGCTCCAAGTCCAGAAAGTCATGTGCACAGAAGAGAAAAAAAAAATACAATGTCATCAAATCCGGTCATTAGCGTGATGTCGAGAACCTTGATGGTAACCGGCCATCATTCATAGCGACAACCTGTCCTGAGATCCTTTTTTAAACTTGGTGTGGATGGTTTCATAACAGGATCAAGTAGTTGCTCGGTGCGATACCCGTTTCGCCGTTTTCTTTCTTGGCCTGCCACCACCGTCCGCTTACATCAGACACTTCCAGAATCTCGTGTTTGCTGAAGCTGATCTCATTCGCGTCATCTGGATTCGCCTCATAGCTGTAAATGGCTTTGGCGCGGTATGGGTACTCGGTGGGTGGGCTGACTTCTTGAACTGGAGCGGGGGTGCTGCTGGTGTTGACTGGTGGTTGTGCAGAGGCCCGGGCCGCCGCTCCTGCAGGTCCGCCTGGGTAGCCCGAAACAGGAGAAGAGGTCTCGAAACCGCTCAGTTGTGCCGAGGTGTACATTTGAGGAGGTTGAGTAGAAGCCGTTGTCTGTGGACGATCATACACATTGGTCATGCCCTGCGGCGGCCCGCGGAAAGATTGGCGGTCTTTGTGCAGGGCAAATTGGTCAATGAACTCGCGATGGGCCGCGGCAGGGGCTGAACCGAAGTAGAAAATCCAGATGATCTTAACAAAGTCAGCCGACGATAAAAGACAAAGCCCTTGGTGGGAGGACGCCATTGACTTACCGCAACCATGGAGAGCAGAATGTGGCCAGCAGCAGCGGCTTCCATGGCGCCCTGTGGTTGGTAGACGAGCGAGTTGACTGCAGATGTTGTCATGACAAGGCCAGCCGCGAGGTATCCAACAATCTACAGCATGTCAGTCAGGTCGAATCCAGAAGATTTGGAAGTCCATACCGCGAGGCTGTATGTGCTTGTGGAGTTGGTAGCAAAGACTACCGTAATGCCGACAATGCAGCACAGCATGTATGCAACCGTCCACCAGGCATATTTGGGGAAAGGGTCTTGAATATTGGCAATGATTGACCCGATGAATGCGATCAACCATGCAAGCTGTCAATGGAATCAGCATCATTTCCTGGCATAGTAAACACATCTCCCTTACCAAGCTAATAGAAATTGTAGCCAACGCAAATGGATCGCCAACAATGTAGCCGAAATCAAATCGACCCCCTCTTCTAGCTTCCAACATGTTGTTTTTCTTTAACGAAGGAGAGTGTAGTGATCCGTATGAGGGCATGAAGGGTCAACAAACGGCAGCGGCGTTTCTCGTTAAAGGTATGCCAGCGCAATCAACTCGATGCGGATGAAATGGTCGAGGGAGTGGTTAATAGGGGACGGACAGCGAGGTCCAAAGTCCAGGCGCAGGCTGGGTTGACGATTGATCCGTGCACAGGAGGGCTGTGCACTTGAGATCGCGTGCGTGCGGTATGTTGTATGTCTCTCGAGACTCGTTGGGTCTGCAATGGCGTGTGCCGGATGGAGGAACAATCGAAAGCCAGACAGGCAAACAACCACAGCCGCCGATCAATCGACAGACAGTGGGAGGCGAATATCTTGTGACTGGTGGCTAAGAAAAGAATAACAGACGAGTGGATAACAGGATCACAATGGCGTCTGTCGGCAAAAGGGAGGTAACGATCGACAAAGAATGAAATAACGTGAGAAAGGAATAAAAGGTGTTTTGGAAGAAGTTTCGGGGACAATTGAAAGTTGTTGCCTGAACGAGCGTGGGTGGTAAAGGATGGTGGAGGATGGAGAGAGTGGATGTTTGGGTGGTCGAAGAGATGGTCGTGATGGTTTGAGGAGTGAGGAATCGAGTTCAGGAGGAAGAAGCAGAGAGGAGGCTCCCCCAAGCACCCGTACCAACTAAGGGTTCCCGAAAGCAAGCAGCCAGCCAATTCAAGGGTGAGGGGGCGCCCTTGTTGCGGCAAGCCGCCTATACCTTATGGGGACCGTTAAACCCAACAAGAGCCAGGAACGCCCATCTCCCACCCATCTCTCCTAGGTGTGCCCCCCATTTCAGACGCAGGAGCCCTGCAACTGCAACACGTTTCACTTGCGGTTAGAACCCACTGGGTGCCCACTCTGCCCCAAATCTCCACCCCTGTAGACTGTGTAGTGCCTGCGCTGATCGAACCAGATTCAATCTTTGGCCTTTCTGCTAGAATCTGCCCTCAGCTCGACGAATTTTCTCCTTGCAAAACCGAATCCTGCCATCAACTCCTCCTGATCATCCTTGTTCCCGTGGCGTCTGCGACTGGCACCCCCCGGCCTTCTGAGTGCCTCGATTTGTTCAATTGCAGCGGGTGCTAATAGACGCCACCTTTCTAGCCTCAACCTCGTCGTTCGGCTTTGGATCAATGGCACATCGCAGCCGGTTGGCCACTTTTACGTCTTCCGGGTCGCACACGCCACGCGCTCCATGCAAGCGCTTTGTGGCACGCAACCTCCTAATTTGGCCCAAGATTGAATAATTTCTACTTAGTATTATCGGCCATTTTACAATTCTATGGTGGTTCGTTCGGTTGATGTACGCTATTGCTAATGACCCTGTTGGACCAGTTCTGACACAGTGTCCCTCGTATCCAACCCTGGAAAACCATGGCTTGCCAGGCCCTGAGACTCGGGTGTCCTCTTTTCCGCTCGCATTTTCTGTCGAAATGAAACTGGGTCTCTGGTGCCTGACCCGCCGACCTGGGCGATTGGACGAGACATGCCTCTACCCCTGACAGCCGCTGATCCATCCTTCTCGACCAATCCCAATGTCTCCACAAGAATGGTCCTAGCACCGCCACATGCACACTCCCGCAATTCCAGCGCAATGATCTCGGGGTGCCGGGATAGGCTTGTAAGCGATCCTTCAGCCACATCTGAAGCCGCAAGTCCTCGTAATCCTTGGAGGTTGCACACTTGCTTTCACCCTCCAGAAAGACGGCAAACCCACCCGACACGACGCAAACCGGACATAAAGGCTCGCGTCGAGGATGGGCTTTTCTCACGCGGACGTTCTCGCGTCGATCTTTGCGGGGAAAATGAGTTGTCGAGCACCAACACGCAACGCCGAGTCATGCCACCAGCAAAGCGTTGAATACTCTGCGGCGAATCTTGTCTTTGCAACACATCCATGCGTGCAAAATCCTGCTCTCAAACGTCACATACGTGTCAGATGACTGCCAGATGATCCTGTTTTCACCACCTCTTGATTCGGATCCAAGGATTCCCGACTCAGGCACCAGGGATCACAGGGCTAAGGTTGATGCTGCCTGTTCCATCTTTTGTCATTCTTCACAAGTAGCCTTGTTGTTCCTTTGCGCGTCGCTCCCGACGGATGATGTTCCTCTCCATCTCGGCAGTTCGTCTCTCCCAATCTTCCCACATGTCTCCCATCCCGACCACTCCAACCTTGACCCACCATTCTAGGCATCTAGCACTGCGTTCTCGTAACTCTCGGACTTCTTCTTGAATACGATCCTCCTCTTGCCGGAGTTTTTCAAGTCTAGGCGCCAGTGATACCAGCTTCGAACTCTGATCTGCGGGTGGGATTTGCAAAGTTTGCAGAGAGGACAACCTGGATGCGGTTTCGGGATATATGGTGGCGTGAGCGAGGACGATCGAGGCAAGCGTACTGGTGTCCTCCGCCTTGGGGGTTGTACTGGCTGTCACAGCAAATAAATCAGGATGCAGTGATGCTTGAGGACATGATCAGCGGAGGTTTTGTCATGGCACACCTTCACCTACATAGTCGCTCAATATCCCGTACAACTGACCCAGGTGTACCCGTAAGCTTTTTCAGCTTAGCGAGAGCGGCATCGAGAGCGTCCAATCTGGCCCACAATGTTTCGCTGCCAGAAGATGGTATTGTGGTCGGAGGTGGGATCCCATCATCATGACTGGCGCCGCTAAGGAGGAACTCCAATCGATGGAGACGGGTTTCCAACAGAGCGAGCGTGCCACGAGCTGCGGTCTCTGGATCTTGACCGTCGCTTGTCATTTTCGGAGGGTTACGAATCTGTGACGACTGACTCAATGATCTGTTGTGTTGGGAAGATAACAGCCCTGTAGGGACTGCTCGAGTAGTACTTGGTGGCTACGGCGCAGCCTGGGGACAAACTAAACAAACAAGATAAACAGCACAAACAAAGATGGAGCAAACCCAGCGAAAAGGCTTGGCATCTGCATCGTGCACGTGCCACTCATCAACTCCTCAGCTTCCAACTTCATGTTTATCGACTGCTCGTATTCTCCCGCCTGGTGCTCACCGAACCCCGCTCTCATCATTGGCACTTTTACTCTGAACAGGCATAATGTGAGTCCCTGATCAGTCGATCCGTGCGACCTGGCCTATGACTGCTGTGAGACAATGTTCTTTTCTGTCTTGAACAACCTCTCGGGTGGCTGGGAGTTCGGACCACCCAGCAAGCTTGTCACTATCCACATCCCCACACCTCGCCATTTCACCTCCCCTGATTTGTTCCTCCAGCGCCATCCACCTGGGCTTAAGCTAGTGCTCGCATCACGCTTTCTATTCAGGTGGCAGGGAAGCTCCTCTCGAGGTTGCGTCGCCAATAGTAATAGCGACCTACTCCTTGCGGCCTCCTACCCCAGTCGATGGCCCTGCCTACTGCACGTAAGTGCGCTCGTGGGCTCAGCCGAGCTCCGGTACCAAGGCAAGAATGGGCTTCGACGAGGATAGCTGAAGCGATCGTGGCGTCGACCGTCGAACTGCAGATGGTCGAATTCAACCCACTGGTTCAATGTATGGCACCACGAGGTGCCGAGGACAAGGTCGTCGTTCAATAGCCATCGGAACTTTATCGTCGGTCGCATGAGGCCGTCCTAGCGACCATGGAACTTCCAAGCGAATCCTTGTTAAGGCGAACCAATCACCAGCTTTGAACGCCTGACAGTGGCAGCCATGCTCCCCAGCCGTCTACATTTCACCTCCGCCTCCATGCTATTGTTTCTCTCGAACCTGTTTTGAATCCCGTCCGCACGCTACAACCGGGCCAGCCGGTATCTGCGTCTCGAGTCTTTGGTAGCTCTTCTGCAGTCTTCGTTTCTCCCATCAAATCAACTTCCCAGCAGCACGTCCCTCTTCTTCACACTTCGCTTTTGCTTTTAACTCAGACGACAACCTCCCCTCTCAATGTGATGACTTCTGACCGTCAAGTCCAAGGCTGTACCACATGTACGATGACACCAGCAGATCCAAATCGCTGGACATTCACAGACTATGTGTGCTTTCTGCGGAGCCATGGGTTTCATAATCTTGCTGGCCTCGATGCTTTTCTCCAATGGGGTCTCGAGGCTAGCCGAATGCCGACAATGCAACGACCTCAGCGGGCTACAGCCATTCTCCTAGAATTTGGCTCGTCAAGCTTCAGAACATCAGACCTCACAGACACTTCGAAGCTCAGGGTATTGTTAAAGGAATGGACCAGGAGATCTCCTGAGACGCCGCCAACCTCGCCAGCTTCTGGTTCACAAGGACGCGGTGCTCACGGGCGGATCGTTATGGTCAACAATGTCAATCCGGAGATGGTTGACACCCTTGGAAGTCTTCTTAACATTGAACCGGCATTTTTCGCCTCACATATTAGTGACTCTGCGACCGGTGGCGCTGGTGACGGCCACACAGGGTCTCCACTGGCATCACAAAATCTAAAGCACCAGAAGAACTTCTTTACAATTGAATATCCTTGTACGTTCATGACTACAAATTGTGGGAAGGATGTCGACATCGAGAAGCTCTACTGCAAGGGAAACTATCACAGACGGGTCGAAGTTTGTTCGCGGCATGGAAAACAGAAGGTCGCTGTAGCCCGTCGAAAAATTTCTTTTTACATGAAGAAGACTCTCGACCCGTGGATATGTAAGTCTCAGCCCATCTGTTTGCTATGAAGCCTCTTACTTGTCAGAATCGCGCTAAGTATTCTCAGGTGTGGTGCTTGTTGACCCGCCAATCTCCTTCTTCACGCTCGGAGCAGAACCGTATGGAGCCTACTCACCGAGCCAACGTCTTGAAGTCACCGGCTATCAGGGAGGCTATCTTGACTTCCTTGAACAAAGGCCACCTCTGAATCGGAACGACCACGACTATCGTTCATGTGGCTCTAGGCCGATGTGTCCTAATCCATTCGATGATCTCTGCCGGCACTGGCAGATTATGGCCCGAGACGGCCTTCTTAACCCAGCCGAGGACAACTTGATCAACATTATGCGGCCAGCATTTCAGATCGCAGCCAGCGAGTGCACCAATTTCTTCGACTATATTCGGTCGACTCTGGAAAGCCATCTCATCTCCACCGCTCTCACAGTCGACCCAACAAAGACAAAAAGGATTCTGGACAAGGTCATTTCCCTCGACTCGATGCTCAGCAGGTACAAGCCCATCCTGACGCGGATCAAAACCTATCTGTCATCCGACTCGGCACTGAACGAGGACTACCGGAGCCTCTTGATCGACCTGCACCATTATAGAGCGGAATGCGACTCGAAAATGCAGCACATCCTCGCCGTCTCTCAGTGCCAAGATACTTCCTCCCTCCGCTCGATAGAGTCCGAGTCCCAGCGACAAGCAGACTACTCACGTTACCTGACCATCATCGCCCTCATCTACGCTCCCTTTGCGCTATCATGCGCGATATTCAGCTTACCACACGATTTCGCCCCTGGGGCACACTATTTCTACGGGCTTTTGCCCGCGACTGCAGGGGTGGCGATTGTGTTTTTGTTGTTGGTATTGCCAGAGGCGAGGGATCCCTTGCCGAGCATCAAGGCGGCATTTTGCGGCAAGCTCACCAAGAAGAGGCTCCTTGCCAAACCGAAGAGTAGCGGTTCGAGATCGGGTGGGCTCAATGAAAAGTGGGATATGGATGAGGTGTAACAGCGGGCAAATGGGAATGAGATTTTTGGGGGCATGTTCGGCTCCTAGGTCCAGGTGCATCGCAGGTCGAAGGCGGTGCGCTGAAACAGACTCCGAAGTCACAGCTCCTCTGTCTGCACCGATTGACGGCACAAAAAGTCGCAGAGAGCGATCCACCCTTGTACATCCGAGCCTTCACGATCGAGAACCGCACAGAATAGCAGGTATTGATGAGAAATTACGACCTTTGACAACATTTGTTTCTCCATTTCGCGAAGCACTGTACACCTCTCCCATGTCTGCCGACGGGTTCCGATCACTGCCTCAGTAGCCGCGCAGTCGACTTGTGTAAAGGGTTTGAGCCTTCCTCCGTGATGAATCTCTCGACTGCTCGGAGCCCGACAGACAGGAGAGCGGAGGAAACGGTCCACCAATCCAAACATGCGAAGTTCCGCTCGATTGACAATGCAGCAATGGGGAGCTCCTACATCACCCTGTTTATTCCCTTTCTTGGTGGATCGACGGCATGATTTACCTACCTACCTACATACGAGCTTATTTATCGGTCTCTATATTCTTTTTAATGGACATTCACTTCAGCTGTGGCGCTACATACTATATTCCCTATATGATATTGTCTGCCTCGTACATAACCGACCCAGCTACCCACCTAGTTAGGTAAATAGGTACATCAACCCTTATCCGTCTGTATCTGCATAGGTAACTACGTATGTAACTCGCTCGCACTCATTCATGTATTGGTAAGTGACCGCAACGCAACGCACCGCAAATGCAATTTGAATAAAGAAGAAAGGGGGAAAAGGGACACCTAAATTGAGGCCAAATGACCACCTAGGTAATTCTTTCCGGGTAACACAATATATATACATACATACACACACATATAACAATGTTTGATATGATTTATACTATATATACTATACAAGAATCTGCTGCACCATAAAACCGCTAACGGCGGTGGCACAGTGTATCGCAAAGCTGCAGGTGGGTGGGTAGCGCAAGCCCCAAAAGACCTCGCGCGGTGGAGGGATCGAGTAAAATGGACAACCGCAAGGCTCGGTCGGTGGCGTTTTGTCGTGTGAGAGATAGAGACCATACAACCCATGGGAAGCAGGAGGAGAGGCGCAACGAGTTCTGAGGAGGAGCCATGGAGCGAAACAGTACCGTGCAATGCCATGGCACCTCGACGACGACCTCGATTCAGCCAAAAGGTTGCAAACCCGTATTTCCATGAATCACTTCCCCATAGAGAAGAAACGTGGGTTTTCCAACCTCTCCCTGACCAGTCGCAGAGTAACAAGATAACTCTGTATCTGGTCCTCTGATGGTATTCTGCTTTCTGCTTTCTTCTCCAGACCTACACCTCCACTTTGGTGGGAATCTTGACTTGACCCTTCTTCCTCTCCTGGCTCGGCACACCATATCTCTGACCGACCGCGTTTTTCCCTGATCCCCGTCCATCGAGCCCGGTTCCCTGTCTGGTACTCTGCACCTCAGTAACCACAAACTGCCACCTGCCCACATCAATCCTCGTCTTCTTGCTTTCCTCCTCCTTCTGCAGCTTCGCTTTCAGAGTTCGCCGTCTCTCCTCATCTTTTGCCAGGCGCTCACGATGCCGCGCACGTCTCTCAAGCGGTGACAGGGACCGGTCCAGCTTGTCCTTTTCAAATGCGATCAAATGTGGGTGCGGAATGCGTGAATCTGCCGCTTTCAAAACTGTGCGTGTCTGGCCCGGTCTGCCGATAATCTCGGGTTTCGAGTCTTGCCATGCTTCATGGACTCCTTCGTTTATGGCGTTCTCTTCCTCGTCGGAGAGTCGTGGTGCACCGCTAAATACTCTTCCTGCATCGGTACGGTTGAACGCGCGTGACTCGGAGGTTGGGTAGAAGATTTGTGGGAAGGTCAACGGGTGCTGTTCCAGATCGTTTATGGATTCGTGAGGCTCATGGGGCAATCGCGTTGTCGGGTTGAGGGTCGTGAGAGGCACCATGCCGTGGACGGCGCGAGCATATGGGATCGCGAGAGGTTTGCCCTAGAAAGAAGTGAAGAGACAGCGTCAGCTTTTGTCGTCGAACGACTAAAGGAGCAGTGTGCCGTATTTGTCCTTTTCCGGGTTCAGAGAGTTGTAATTTGTTTTTGAAAATCACCATGCTTGGAAGTCTGGAAGACTAATCGATTTTGGTTGTTCATCACAGGAAGGCCGTCGCGAAGGGTAAGAGAAGGCGAAATGTGTGCTCACCTCTGTCCTCATTCTCCTCTCAACCTCCACCAGCCTGACGACTGCAGCCACCCTCCTCATATCCACGCCCATCTCCATCGAAACTTGCCTGACTGACTTCCGTTGCCGTTGCACTCTTTCCCAAATCTCATTTCTGAGATCCTCTGACAGAATACTCTGGCTCACAAAGCTCTTGTTCCAAGGAAACGGCCGCAGATCCTCCAATGTCTCTTTAGGGAGTTTGTATTCCTGCTCATGTTCTGTAGCAGCTGCTTCAAGAGCTTCTTCGTCGGCCGTCATGGCATCTTCCTGGCTCTTTTCCTTCGCAGACTCTCCTGACGTTTCTTGGCCTCGACCGCGAATGAGGTTCCCTCTCCTGTCGTATGCGGATAGGTAGTTGGTCGACCCTGGAAGAGGGTGGCGGAAGTTCTCTCCGGGTCCGCGAAGCCATAGCCAGAACTGCTCGCGGAGCTTAGTCTGTTGTGACAGCGATGGAGTGGAGGAAAAGGCGCGCTGGAAGCATGATTTGCAGTGGGTGTGGATTGTGGGTGTCGCAGGTAAGGTGAGAGAGACCGCGGAAGGAGATATTCGAGGAGGCATGTTTGGTGCGAACCGCAGGAGGAGACGGCTATGGAACTGGTAAAGAGAACATAGATACACGAGAGCGCGGTCACAGAGAAAACGCGATGTGTTTGTGAGGAAAAGAGAGTCGGGGATCTGCTCTTATCCCAAGCACTGTAGACGGTAGACATGGTTGAAAATGTATGAATTTTGAGAGCCAGCTTTGGATTGGCCCGGTAAACCTGCTTCTTTGGTCAACTGCCCTCCCAGCAATGGAGAAGAGCATACATACTACCTGAGGTACATAGGTACATAGGTACAGAGTACCTGCTTTGCTGAATAAAAGGTTTCAACCTGGCAGGAAAACTCCAGGGAAGATGGGAGCTCTTGAATATTCATCTTTTTCATGTCTAGTAATGATACATACATTGCCAACTTCTATGCTCTGATTTTAACCTCGTTTCTCGTAAAAAGACCGATGGTCAATTGCTTGCTTCATCAAACCGGGATCAAGATGCCACCGCAAAGGGTATCTGTTCTATTAACGCACAGAGAAAGGCTCGCTTGAACGCTGCAACAAAATGGCAAAAGAGACATAATATATCAGAAAGTGATAATCGGGAATGACGGTCATGATAGTAAGACGTTCGTGCCTTGGAAGGTCGCAGTGCCAGACCACATACCTCTGACTAAAGGCACGTTCACATTACTGATCGTCGTGTTCGTTGAAGCTGCAATGGTCTCAGCCTCCTTCTTGATCGTGGGGTCGTTGTTGATGGTCATATGACCATGAAAGAGGATCAGATTGCCGCCCTTGACAATGTCCATACCGCCCGGCCCGGTCAGGTCAGCATCACTGGTGACGAGCAATGGGCGGCTTGATTTTGTGTAAGGCCCCCAGATATTCGTTGCAGTGGCAAAGGAGACGTCGTATTTGGGGGTCGTAAAGCAATTGCTGCTGAAGAACAGGAAGTAGATTCCTTCGTCGGAACGATGGAGCGATGGGGCTTCAATTAGAGGTCCGTCAAATTCGTCTCGATCCAGAATTTCAACGGCGTTTCCAATCAGAGTAATGCCATCAGGGCCGACTTCCTGGAGCATGAGGGGCGTCGGGACGATGGGCTCAACAGAGTTGCCACAGGAACCGCCGTGGCCAATGGAGTTTCCGTCGACTTTGTAAACGACATAGCGTTTATTGGTAGATTCGTCGAGGAAGCCATCAGGGTCAATGGCTCCACCAAGCGCATTGACGTCCGGGCAAGCGAAAGGAGTGTCAAGAGGGACATAGGGTCCCAGAACATTCTGAGAGGTCGCTGCACCCACACAGTGATGTGCAGGAGACCAGACGACGTTATCGGCGTAGTAGAGAACAAATGTTCCATCGTCCTGGCGCGACTATTAGTCATAAAACTCGGAAGGATGCGTGCCGCGCTACTCACCAGTTGAACCACATCAGGCGCCCAGACACCAGCGCCTGTCTCCCAAGCCCCTAAATTAGGAAGAGCGTCATGGTGATCGAGCAGTGTCCACGTCTGGTTGTCTGTCGAAGTGGCCACTTGAATGTGAACCAAGTCCGGTGGAGCGGCTCGATTGTTGGTCGCGAAAGCATAGGACACGCCGTCAACGTAAATGACAGCAGGATCGGGGAAGTTGGTTGAGATATGGGGCCCCAAGATCGAAGCGAAATCTCCGGAATCAGGACCGGTCAATAAAGTTGACGAGGATGACTGTGGTAATGGGTCCGGTGATCGAATAACAGAATCGCGAGGGGTCAAGGGTCCCAGGCTGGACACGGCCGAGGAGGCCAAGAGGTATGTTGGAATGGCAACCATGATGCTAAGTAAAATCTGAGTCTGCAATGAAAGTGAAAAGAAATGATTGTCTTTGTGATTACAAAGAGGATTTGAAGAAGTAGAATGTGGAAATGATAAAGAGATTGACTGTGTCACTGAGTGAATGTGATCCAAGTGAATGTGAGAAGCTGATTCACCTCCCTGATGGGGGCGCCTGGAATGAGCGGCGAGCAAAGGCTCTTTTTCTGGTATGTGGTAAAGAGTCGCCATGGTGTCAGAGGGTACCGGACAGTGATAATATAGTCCGGAGCAAGGGGTTGGATCTGAGGTTGTCTGTGTCGCGCCAACTGCGAGGCTCCGTCACTCGGCTGGCTGGCGCAGGAGGTTCAGGGGGTGGATCGTTTGAACCTTCAGAAGGGCACAACGGCTGTTTGGCGCACGGGAAATGCGCTAGGTGAGGAATGAGCCGTGTTGTAGGCGATACTTCTGGGCAGATTTGGTACCGTGGTATGGTGGGGGTTGCCAGAGTTTTCGAATGTACCTGTACACCGTTTCAGCCAGCGGTCGAAAAGGCACGGTGACAATGCGATGCGATGGAAACCAAAGTGTGAGCTGCGGTGAGTTGGCTGAGAACCCACAATCACCTCCTTGCTCACTGTTGCCAAGAAGGGCGCAGATGACCCGAAGAAACAAAAGTAGCACGCGCTTAGCATCTTTGCGGAATGGTAGGGGTTATTTTGGAGCATCAGCTGTATCGTGAGTGGCCAATGTCCAGTCTGAGGTCATGTTTCGGCGTCCATTGTGACAGTTTCATTCGTGGGATGGCGGCGCGGGTTGTAACGGCACAGCCACTGAGAAACTCAGAAAGTGGGTGGTTTGGGTGGTTTGGGCAGGTCACGTGGCATCGCTCACAGTTCGTGTGGTTAAGCTTTTTGATGCCAAGCCTCTCGCTTACACTTCCTTATTTGGTAAGTACTAGCTCGCTAGTATCAAACCCCCTACCCCCCCCTGCCCCTTTTTGCCGCCTCCTCAGCCTCGACAAACTGGTGTACACCGACATCCGAGACTTCAGCTTCACATGTCACCATGGTGGTATCAGTTTCTGCAAAAAGTAATCATGCTCTGGGCCTAGAAGCAGGCACTTTGGCGCCGTGTCCCGCTGTTGGCGCTACTTTGTCTCAGGCCGAAAAGCGCCTTCGATCTCATTCCCTGTATTCGGTACGAGGGTAGTGGTGTCCCATTCTTTCGCATTGTCAACAGTCGCTCCGGTTGTCGGGGATACTGCAACCCTTTCCGCTCCGCGACTTTCACGTCGGTACTGTGTCCAAAGTACTCTGGGAACCATGGTTTTCCGCGGTGCTCTCGTTGGGATAGCCGTCCCAGTCTCAGCCCGGAGAGTAGTGGCACAAAATGTGCATCTTTCACTGGCCGCACCTCTATTACAAGACTCAGCATGGGCAGCATTGAGTAGTATCCATCCCAACTGCTGCGATTTCTGCATGTCCGGGACTGATGAGGCTGAATCCACGGCTGGTTACCTCATGCAACAGCAATCTTCGTCTGCACCCACTTTCCTAGACCCCCGTTGGCGATGATCTCTTGTACATTTGGAGGCAGCTCTCCGACCTTTTCGATCCATCTTTTCCCGCCGGCACCTCCCGTCAATACCTCGATCTGAGATTTCTTCACATCCAGACTAATGTCCATCCGGTGCGACGTGACAATTGCTTTTCTTGTGGCTGTGTCACCGCCGCCGGAGGTGAATCGAGACTCTGTTGATTTTCTTTGTTGCCTACCGGCTCTGTAACTCGAGTGGATAGTCGGGGAGTATGTGGGTCTGAGAATGTCTCACGTAGTCGTCGGATGAGCTTGGGTACCACGAGGCCCATCAAGCCGTTGTTGATGCTGTTTCGCGAAAAGATGTTTCCAAAGGAGCCGGCAACTACCAAAGGGATATTTCTGGCCAGGATGAAATAGCTGGTTTGTTCGCGAGAGCTCCCACACCCAAAGTTGAAGCCAGACACCAAAATATCTCCTGGTATTGCAATCGAGGAGAACTTTGGGTCGTAATTCTCCATACATACCTCGGCCATCTTCTCGACACGCAAGTTGTCTTGATAAGTGTATTTCCGCACCCCAGAACAAGACCCCGAGGTTCGGAGTGGCTGGTTGGTACCTAGGTATGCACCAGCGATCGATAATAGGGGTTGGGACATTTCAGACTCTGTTTTTTTACACTGCAATTCGTCAATGGAGCGGTGTATGCAGATGATGGATTCCTTAGGAGGAGGATGGGTGTGGAAAACCCAAGAGGATGAAGAGCAAATCAGACGGCGGTACTTCCGTCAACGTACGAGGCACTGGCCATAACCATGTGGTTATATATTCTGTGCCTCGACGCTCCCTCCGGCAAGTGTTGCACTTTATCTCTCTGTCGAAGCTCATCAACTTGACTGTGGACTACTCTCATACATCGCCCTTACATTAATCACTCAAACGGTGTAGCGGAAGAAGGTAGCATTGTCGCCCTTCTCCCTCTCCGCGGCCTTGTCCTGCTCCGTGTATTGATCCAAGGGTTTGTACTCGCGATCGCGGCGGGCGTTTTCGTGTCGAAGATAAGCGGTCATGAAGATCTGCAGGCACGTGCTTGCACTGAGCATTGCGATCAAGATGGCGTGGCCCTTTGTGAACTTGGGAGAGTCGGATTGCAGATAGATGAACCCAGCAATGGTGCCACCGAGGTTGCCTAGTAAGTGCGCAACATCAGAGTCATGTCGAGCATGCTAGAAGTGTTGGTCTTCGGACTACAAAGGGCAAACTTACCAAAACCGACGTGCATCGCTATACCAACTGCTCTCTTCAGGGAGCCGCCAATATTGTTGCCATTCCAAGCAAGACCTAGGGGGACCATTGGATAAGTTCCAGCCACGAAGAAAAAGCACCCGGCATATTTGACGTGAGGGTTTTGGGATGAAATGAGTAAGACAAGCCCAAGCAAAGCCGCGCAGCTGAAGCCGATCATAAAGAACCCGCGGCTCTTGAGCTTGTCGGCAGCATAGCCCCCCGTGATACAGCAGAAGCAGGCCACAATATATGGCGGGACAGTCATGAGCTGCGCTGCTTCGTTTGTATAACCTAAAGTCTTCACGATGGTGGGCAAGAACAGTGAAACTGAATACACGGGCGTATAAATGCTAGAACATGGTTAGCCGGACCAGATCGATCTGCAGTGAGTGGCTTACCCAATGGTAATGAACATGTGAACCCAGATTTTCCAGTCCTTGAGAGCATCCCGGCAGTATTTCATGTTGAACTCGTCGGCAAGGAAGCTTCGATCTTGTTCCAGGCGGCGAGATACCTCGTGCCTCTCCTCTGGAGTGAGGAACTTCGCAGTGGAAGGGTAGTCGTGCATGGCCCAAAATGCAATGATAGCTGGAGATCAATGCTTTAGCTTGCGTCCCTTTCCACTATCATCGGCAGCCGATACTCACCAATGATGAATGTCAAAAGGCCTTCGAGGATGAAAATCCACGACCATCTGTGCCTTTGTAAGCCGCTTGGATATCAAAGCACGTATAGTACTTGGCATACCCTGATTTCCCACCAACTCCATCCATTTCGATGATCCCACGGGCCAAAAGACCGCCAAAAGCTCCAGCCGCCGTAGCTGCAGAGTAAAAGATAGCCTGTTGATGTTGTTGTTAGACAAGAATAACACAGCGGAGTGCTGGTAAAGAAGCTGAGGTACTTACCATCCTTAAACCGCACTCATGGCGCTTGTACCACATGGTGATATAAAAGTTCACTCCGGGAAATAGGCCTCCTTCTGCGATACCCAAAGCAGCACGAGCAACAAGAAGACCTGTAAAATTCTGAACAAGTCCCATGAGAGTTGTACAGACTCCCCAAGCAACCATGATAGAAGGAATCCAAATCGAGGGCCGTGTCCGCTTCATCATGATATTGGACAGCGGCTCGACGAGGACATAGAAAGGAAAGAAGATTGCAAGAGCCGCCTGCATCATTGTGAGCGATGGTAGCTTTCTCAAGGGGAGAATTGAACGTACGTTGTAGTCCAAGCCTGCCATTCCGAGATCCTTCTCAAGGCCAGCAAGTCGAGCGTTTCCAATGTTGGTGCGATCAAGGAAGCTGAGAAGGTAGAGAAGCGCCAGGAACGGGAGAAGCGTCCAATCAATTTTCCTGATCAGCTTCTTGGTAGCCTTCAGATCGAATCCCAAGTCCGGGGAGCTCGAGGATGCTGACTCCAACATCTCTATCTTTGCTGAAATATCTTTGCTGCCAGAGCTCTCGATGGGAACCCCAACCTCTGTGCCACTCATCTTGTCTCTTGCTGGGTATACGAGGAGACGGTCCGTCGTAAAAGAGAATTGTACCGACTAGCTGGATCTGTGTAACAGTATTCACGAGTGGGAGCGTCTTAGGAAATGGTCAAAGAGCACAAAGGAACAGAGAGCCACGTAGGAAGTTGAACAGTGAGCTGGGTCAAAGCGGGCAATATATAGATGTCCGATGCAAGCACTTACCGTTGACGAGAGGCACAAGATAGAGCAATTGTGTACGTCCTGGTGGACTAGGCCTTGCTCCGCATCCCTCCAGGCTCTCCCCCCAGATCCACCCGCAATATCTCATGAAGTTTCATCCGTTTTCGCAACGGGAAAAGAAGGAACACATCCTCAACCATTTCAACTAGCCTCTGGCGCCTTGCTGATTTCGGCTGTTTGGACAAAGGATGATTCAGAAAGAAGTTCTGGCCATATCAAGGCACTATGCCAAAAGTTGTCACCATTCGATACGAACGGCGGCATGGCGGGATAGCCTGAACGCCAGAGAAGGATGCAACTTGCGACGTTACGGGACAACCTCTCAAATCCAAGATGCCGCCAGTTACTGCCACATGATGTGGTTATCCTTGGCACAGCTGGGGTTCGCTCGAGAAGGCGAGGTTGATGCAGGAAAGATCCGAGAGGTCCCGAAAAGATGGATGAGAAGACCTCCAGTAGGCAAATCAGAGGCTGTAGGAAACAGTGATACAGTCGATCCAAGCGGCAAGCGCCTGAGGGAGTGACACCCGTGTCTGGTGCGGAACTTCCGTGTATGTGAACATCAAGGTTTAGGAACACGACATGTTCCACACAACCTGTAGTTTTGCTGCGAATTACTTTCAGACGGTCGGTCAACGGGAAGGAAGCTCGGTAAACGGGAAGGTAGCTTGGTTATAGGGACGGTGGCTCGGTAAACGGGAACGTAGCACCTGGGCGCTGACAACATGAAGCCAAGGGCAGAAGACATTGGTCCTGACTTCTAGGCCAACGTGTGCCATACGCAGAGCATGTGCTGGATCAGGCTGGCATGGCGAGAAGAAGCCAATGTCTATCTCGATGAAAAGCAAATGTAGCCATAGAACCCTGGAGCAAGCGATTACCTAGTAAGGTCCCTGGAGGCGTGCCAAGCCATCGCGCCAAGAGCGGAATAGGATTCTTCCTCCGACTATGGCCATTCTTCACCAGACCGCGATCCAGTAACCTTACCTAGTACTAATATCGAGGAGCCAGGACCCAAGCGTCCCCAATCTGGGGGATCTGAAAGGCAGTTCAAGCCACCCATCCGACACGACAGTCTGGAACACGTCGTTCTCAAAAGGACCTTCCTCCATGGGGCGGTGAGCGGACGAACTGGGGTGGAGGACGACCACGCGGAGAGCCCGACCCGTGGCCATTTCTTCAGTCCACCAACCGACAGAAGCGTCCCGTTGAAATTAGCCTCTCGCTATGGGGCCACTCTATGCTTCCCGTCCCTACAAAATGATGTCGGTCGATCATTTACAGGTCATCAGGGCTGATTACTTCCTCCAGCTGAATTTGGTCCCGAAGGCATCCACAAAACCAAAATTAATCCCGCTCAAGCATCCTATCACATGGGATGAAAACTGCTGAGCTGGGTTATCGCTAGATGTATCGCCGTATTCGCCAGATGTCGCCATAGCCTCGTATCAAGGATATACCTAGATATACAGCAATCCAAGAATCCATGGACGAAATGCGAGGATGTGCCGCTGATACTCCAGTCCCAACACAGCAGAGGACTCTCTGTGTCTGGTGACTTTTCTCCACAAGCCAAAATGTTTTCTCGTCCTACCGAATCTGAGCTTGATGGAATGACATCTCACTTGATGTTAGTCACCTCATGGCGTCTGTACAGATTTGGCTTCAGTTGGGAGAGTTGTGTATGGCGTTTTGATACCTTGCTTTGCGTCTATTTGGTAGAAGGACGATTCTCGCAGCTTTATAAGGTGCTGTCCCACCTGATCGGGGCAGAGGTTTGTTGCTGTTGTTCTTGCACGATGCACTGATGCAGGCGCGAAACGGACTTCTAGCGAGGACATCTCAACCCCAAACATGCTGAGGTATACGAGGACATCCACATCGACAGGAAACTGAGGGAATAAGTGGACCAGATCAACAGCTCATGACTTCACAGAGAACTCTTCCAGGAATTGGAGGTCCCTTGTCGCTCCCCCTGCCAATTCCTCCGTTGCTAAGGGCACAAAGATTCTGCCTCCTCATCAATGAAGACCATAGCCACTGCACACTGATACGCCGAAAACGCTGCAACTCCAAGGACTCGTCATGAATTGTGCTTCATGCTTCACAAAGTCGCTTGAATCCTGAGGTAATGGACTCTCATATGTGAATAACACAAAGCACGTTGCTGGAAGAGGATAAAACTCTCTTCTTGAGTTGATGTCACTGCATAGTCTGCCCTTTGCTAGAGGCTTAGCCAGCAGGCCGAACGACCAAGTGCTTCGTTGCCCTCGCCGCAGACATCTGTGCACGAAAACCGCCGAATACTGCAAGAACATCGAAGGGCTGTCTCGAGAGTATGTACAAGTGGACTTAGAGCTAGCAAGGCTGGCTCGCTCGACCTACATAAAGTCCGCCCGAAGTAAAGACCTGGGGCAAACCGGGCTCGGATCGGCATGGATACCGAGATCTTCGTCCTCTCCAGGATATTGAAGCACCTCTCCACATTGTCACCCCACGGCGTCTTCCCGAGCGGCTGAATTAATACTGGCTGAATTTAGCCGGACCATGTACGGAAGCAGGCATTCACACGACATCAGGCGACTATGGAGAGAACGTCAAAAGAAAGAATGAGGGACTAAAAAGCAATTTCGTCTTGAGTGCTGAATATATTGTCCTACAACAAACGAATTAGACGGCACAGATCTCAAGACGTGCATTTCATATACTTGACACAGCTATCTCAATACCCGACACTGTAAAGTGGTCGTACTCGATAATAATGGAGCCAATCCGTCTCGGCATCATAGGCTTCGGCTTCTCCACCAAATGCTTCCACCTACCCTTCATCAACGCGTTGCCGGACGACTTCAAGGTAGTCGCTTTCTTTCAACGCACAGAGGCACCAAAGGATCCCAAGAGCGCAGAAACCGGTTCACATTGCACGGTCGACTACCCCGACACCAAGCACTATCGGAATGCCGATGAGTTCTTCGCGGACAAGGATATCGACGTGGTGATCGTCTGCAGCAAACAAGACACGCATGCAGAATATGCCGAGAAGGCCTTGAACGCTGGGAAACACGGTATGATTTTCTCTCATTTTCTTTGGAACAGTCCCCCTTTTTTTCAAGTGTATTGCGAAAATGAGAAGTGGTTCTAATATCGGTTCTGCCGTCTGTGTGTTGAGCAGTTGTTGTGGAGAAGCCCTTCACCAGGACGACAGAAGAGGCCGACCACCTCATCTCCCTGGCAGAGAAGAGTGGCAAGATCTTGACAGTCTTCCAGAACCGAAGATGGGTAAGTAAGATCATCCCGGAGCGGCATATCCATCCTCCCTCGCGAGTGGCATACTTCCTTTTTTTGTTCACCGGATGCCAACCGGCTTTCATTTTCTTCTCTAGGATAACGACTTCCTCACCCTCCGACACCTGATCGACAAGGACGCCTTTGGGACCATCAAAGAACTCGAGATCCACTACGACGTCGACTTCCCGTTTTGGATGAGAGGGATGAATAAGAAGGAGTACACGCCCGGGGACGGCATGACCTTTGGTCTAGGTATTGTTCCCACCCCTCTTTCTCCCTCTATATGACATTAAATCTTGCATTTCGTGTAACCCATTCTAACATGGACCCCCTTGGAGGTTTTGTCACCTACAGGGAGCCACACGTTCGATCAAGCACTGCTGCTCTTCGGCCGACCAAAATCCGTGACGGGGTTTTTGAGGGTGCTTCGCGGCGTCGACAGCGAGATCGAGGACAGTTTCACCGCCATCCTGCAGTACGACGGGCCGCAGTCGGAGCTGCTGGTCACGGTCAAGACGATGGTGGTGTCGACGATGAAGGACCAGCTGAAGTATTTTGTGAGGGGCACCAAGGGGTCGTTTGTCAAGGTTGGTTTTTTTTTTTTGATCTTACGTCTCAATTTACTTTGTTTTATTGTTTCATTTTCCACCACCCACTAACATGCCAATGAACCCATGTGTGAATATAGCACGGAACCTGCATCCAAGAATCCCAAATCCTCTCCACGCCATCCATGCCCGTGACAGCCCCCGACTTCGGGCACGAACCGCCACATCTGTACGGCCTATTAACGACCAAAGGCGAGCACGCGTTCGACAAGAACGAACACCAGATCTACGAGCCAGACACTAACCTCTGGGTGGGCCGCTACCCGACCATCCCGGGTCACTGGCTGGGGTTCTACGAGAACCTACGCGACGCAGTGCGCGGGAAAGCCAAAGTCGCTGTGAGACCGGAGCAGTCGCGCGACGGGATCCGGTTGATTGAGCTGGTTAGGGAGAGCAGCCTCAAGGGCCAGGCGGTCCAGTGGCATTAAACCGTTCGGCGACGACCGGGGAGGAAAGGACAGAAAACCCACAAACGCGGTGAGATCACACCGTATTAGAACTGTGACACGCGAAATCGAGTGTATAGTTCTGAAAAGACAAAAGCAGACCGAGCAGTTGAGCAGAAGTTCCAGGATTCGACTGCCTCCAGTCGCTGTAGCCACAGTATAGTCATCAGCCAGTACCACTCCCTATATGATCCCATCAACACTGGTCTTGCCGGGCTCTTTCCCCCTTCTCCCATAAGACTCCTTGTGCAGCCCGGTCCTCCCTTTCCAGTGTAGAGAAATGCGCAATTTTGACCTTTCCACCTTTGCACAACCCAAGCCAGACCAGAACAAGACAGCAAGCATCCAAAAGCAGCGGACAATTACGCGATGAGAAAGGACAACCTCCAAATGCAAACCCATCGAAGCCCAGAACCCAGACATAGAGAAACGAGAAACCCCCCTCACTTCTTGCTCTTTTGGAAAGGAGCCCAACTCATCGACCACCCCTTCCACAACGCCATGCTTTCAAGAGGGGGATGTCAACACCAGCCATGTCCATCTGAAGAGCACAGATCACCTGCTCCATTAGAAGCGTTGCAAACCCCTCCCACAACCCGGAACCAAAGAAGCCATTCTTTGTCTCCATCGTCACCCGTCCTTCGATGCCACTGTCATGACTCCGAAGACCAACCCTATATCCATATGATTCCCTCCTTGTTCCACCTTTTTGATAATCGAGATGTTTGCCCAGATCTCCGCTCCTCCCATCACCTCACAACCATAGGCCAGGCTCAATGACCATACGCTAAACGACTGAAAGATCGCTGCAAAATGATCCCCCTCCCGCTATGTGGAAGCAACATGAAGACCCCGACATGCATAACGAACCACGAGCACTCCCACCTATGTAATGCCCTGTACACCGAAGATATGCTTCAAAAGGCAACACAACTCCGCGCATACAAAACATGTCATGTCCAGGTCGTGTCTTCATAACTCATTCAACCCCACACTGAGGTCGTACCGATTTTGTTGGATCCCCAGACTCCGCTGCCTGTGCCCCAAGTACCCATTCCGGAATTCGACGACTCTTTCTGCGCATTCGAGTTCGAGTTGGCCGACCCTGCTCGATCAGCATTTTGTTCATTAGACCCGAACCCGTATCCCAAAGAAGAAGGCAGAGGGGAGGTCGTGCGCTTGTTGATTGACTGGTTTGGTGCCTGTTGCACATTGGGACGGCTGCCAATTGGCCCCATGCCGCCACTGACGGGCGCAGTGGTTGACTTGGAGATCTGCCGCGAGTGCGATGGCTCTTCCCCTGTCGGTGGTGTGGGCGCTTTTCCGGAAGCTTGAATGGGAGCATCAAACGTACCGAATCCTGAGGACGTTTGCGCTGACGGAGAAGTCGCCTTTTCAGCACGAGCGGCTTCCTGACCCGAAGACGCACTCTGAGGGCCGGATTCACCTTGCGAGGTCTGTCCCGGCCCGCCAAAAGGATCAGAGGTGCGGGGTGAAGGACCACGGGGGGCGCCAGGCGCAGTGCCAGAGACCCCTCCAGCTTGATCTCGGCTGGTGACGTCCTCGGTGGAAAAGGGGACCTGTCCTACAAAAGCCGCGGGATCACCGCCATATAACGCGCGATGCTGACGAGCAATTAGTTCCCGGCGGCCTTCCTCACTCAAGGTGCTGGGGCTCATTGACCGATCGGATTTGTTAGACGACATTTCGGCCAGTAAACCTGTTCAAGGCTCAGTGCGGTGTCCTACTACAACTCTGGCACACAATGCTTACTCCGGTTGTATTGCTGCTCCTGATGATAGTTACGGAGCTCGCGCTCTCGCTGAGCCGCCATCCTCCTTTTGGCTTGCATCATCTGCTCGCCATCCCCATGGCGGCCTTGATGCCTTTGCGAGGCATAGAAGTTTTGAAGATTCGAGCCGGGGTGCGGTCGCGAAGGGTCAAAGTCGCCGACGGAATGGCGGCCTCCGTGCATTCGGGGACCTGCATACAGTGAGTTTCTTGTCCACCAGGGGCAGAATACTGGGATTCCACGTACCATACTCCACGCCCGGACGCATTGGGCCAGGTGGCATTGATCGTTGTCCACCAACACCATAGAATTTGCCACTCTTGACAAGATTATCCATCGCTCGATCCACCTCTGTTCTCTCACGTCAGTCCTTTGAGTGACAGCTCTTAGTGGCAATCATCGCACCTTCGAACTGAATGGCAAAAGCATTGCCATCTTCGCGCTGTGAGGTGGAACTGGCGCCTAGGATGTGTCCGTCAGTCTCAAGCAAAGCCTTTCATGGGGACCAATGTCACGCACCTGATCTTGACGGCGGGGGCGGCTGCTCCCATGAGGCCTGCCGAACCGGCGCCTGCCATCCTTGGGGTTCATACTGAAACGACATATTTCTTAGTTTCTATGCGGCCCCTCTTTGCAGTAGAGTCTCAGGTAATCCTCCAATCGAGATATGTGATCGACCGCAAACGACGTAGGGTATATGCGAAAGGCAATGACTAGCTATAGAATCAATCAGTCGATTAGGAGTTGCAGACAAAGGGCAATGATTAGGCTGGATGCGACGGGCTAAAGATCGAGAGAAGAAAACGTGCAGCTTGGAGGGGAGAGGGGTTGAACATGTGGTGTATGTGTGTGATCCGCTTCTTTGCTTTGGGGGGAAATTCTGGTACGTTTGGTGCGGTGCGAGGGCGTGGGTGGGGGAGTGTGTTCATTTTTCTCGAGGTATCGGTTCGGTCAACTCGAGCCAATGATGGCTGCCGTGCAATCGGTCGAATTGCCCCGGGGTGGCCACGGGAAAGGAAGGCGAGTTGAGAGAATGTGAGACGACTTACAGATCAACCAAGAGCCGTGCTCGGGACCTCGTAGGTCGCAGGACGCAGTTGGCAAGTATGAGTACCGCGCGGGAGGAAAATCGGACGTGGATGGAAGCCCGCACTGCAGCAGCGGCAGGCGGCAGGCGGCAGGCGACACAAAAAATATAAGAAACGGGGAGGAAGGGGGGACAAAAGGAAAAGAGACCGCAGGCGGAGAAAGATGGAGAGACTCGAGATGGTTGAAAAAAAGTTCTGCGAGACTGCGAGACTGCGACGAGAAGCGAAAGTTGACGTTAGCACCACCACCTCCACCACCATTTTTCCGGCCAACAGACACCCACAGAGGGCGACAAGGGAAATTCGCAAGGGCCTTTACCGGTAGAAGGCAAAAGGCTCCCCCCACGACCACAGGCTGCTAGGCTGCTAGGCTGCTGGGCTGCTAGGCTCCTAGGCTTGGATACCACTTATACCTACACACCTACCTAGTAGGTATTTGCCTACCAGGTACCTAGGTATGACGAAAAAGACCTAGGCATGCTTGTCGTATTCTTACCTTAGGTGCCTTGCTGCCTTTCTTCTTCCTCGTCACACTTCGTCTCCCGCGATCTCCCTGTCCCCTTCTTCCTCATCCTTCCTCACCTTTCGTGCCGGGGAATGGCTCAGCCAGACAATAGGCGCAGGCGGGTCATCCCCGACCATCACTACCCACGAGCTAACGACTGGCTTAAGACTGGGTCGCTGGAGCGTCGGCAAAGCGAGACCCAAAAACCCCCCCTCCGCGCGCATGGTCCCTACTATGTACCTCTATTACCGCATACTGAAACCCAAAGTGAACAATTGGCGAGCCTGAACAGCGAGCGACCCTCCCCTCGAAATCGGCCCTCTGCTACGATTTATTCCGGGCGGATCTTGATGAGGAAAAGAACTCGAAGCCGAGGCCAGATCCACCCCGTATTCCATCGCCAAACGCTGTTGAAGCAAATTGTCTCTCCGTGGTGGAGACCCATGGAATGGCCGGTAAATTGTTGTGCTTGTGCAGGTGGGGGACGTTTTGAAGCATCATTTGCTTTGGTCAATTTCCCTCCCGGCGGCCGACTGCCTCGAGTCAGAGATTCACTACTTGTACTCGGTACCAAGCACAAGTGTAAAAGGAGGGTGTTGGGGGACGGCTCGCATCTTCCAAAAGAACCACGATGAAGATCCTATGACGCAAAGGCCGCAACCACAACCACGCACCGCCAGTGACAAATGCAAGTCTTGACCTGGTCGTTCCCGTCCAGCCCGAGCGCATCTTGGCCGTCGAAGGTCTCTCGTCTGCCCCTCAATGTCCAAACGGCTCAAAGGCTCACTAGGCCCTGCACGTTATGCGTCTACCAATCCGAGTCTTCCGGTTCATTGGGAGCTGTCCCACTCGTGCTTTCGAGAATCCTGACAACAGACTATTGCCAACCAGTCACTCGTCACATGGGCCACGAGGTTGCGGGCACCAAGGGTGGTCGGCTACCTGATCGAGAGCTCATATCGTGCTCCAGAATCGGCTAGGCGGCGTTGAAGATTGCCCTTAAACTCATCTTCGTCACGCACCGGCTGCAGCCAAACAGCCAAACATTGCAGAACTAATCATGCCATGCAGCCGTCCTGTTTCGTTCGTTGTACAGAACACAGAGCACAGGAAACTCCCCAAGCACTTGATCGTTCCAGTCCGAGAGCTCCCAGAAATCCGAGAAGCCCCGGCTCCTGCGCGTGATTTGGTCGGATTGGTAACTTTTTCTAGTCCTCAAATTTCGGACGGTTCCACACAATCATCGAGGATGGCCAGCCTCGAGCGACGTGACTCTGGGAGATCTACCGAGTACCTCGTAGTCTACCAGAAACCTTGTTAGGCGAGCATAAGGCTCGATGAACCCCAGGTACGCGTGGAGCTGGGAGCGCCCACGACTGAATGAGCACTCCTGACAAACATACCCAATACTCGTGCCCAGTTATGTCCTCGTATCAAGAATCTATGCGTGCAGCAGCCTCATGGTGATAATTGGCCAATCCCACCAAAAGGAAAGCATCTGGCGGGCGCATGAGTGATGTGCAATCTGCACCCACGATCACAGCAGGAGCCATTGGTCACCAGCAAAGTCGTCGGCATGATTTTCTGTCGTAGACGGTATGAGCATTGAACTGCTCATCGTACATTCTTTTCCATCACGCACTTCCCTAATGACGAGGATCACACCAGAGGAGATCTCGACGCTTAGGACCTTTGGGGAACTACTGGGCCGTACGAATACAGAGTAATATAGGGCGTAGGCCAAGATCTCAAAGAAATAGGGGTGGAAAGAAATTAGGTACCTAGGTCGGCATGGTAGCCAAAGACTGGTGCACTCCTCCGGTGCGTACCTAGGTAGGACTCCTGGCTCCGCACTCTGGGTTGCTTGGTCTCAAGTATCCCTTCTATTCCCAAGTGGTGTCAGGGGTCTTCGCTAGGCCTGGAAGTGAGGACCAGGCCGTTGAGTCAGCCTAGATTGCGGAGGAGGGTGTCTGGGCTATAATTGGCATCGGGAGGCAACAGGTGGCCGGTCAGAATCTTAAGAGACCATCTCAGATCACCAATTTGCATCCAGCTGGCAGAAATACCTACTCAAAGGCTGAGCAATCGCGGACCCCAATATGGAACAGGGACCAAAACCCACTCCTCCTCCCCAGAAAGGGATTTGTACAGATCAAGTAGAAAGGATCGAGGGAGTCTCACTCGCGGGGCCTTGGGAGGCTCAGAGCGGACATTGGCTCACCGTGCTTGGGCTTTTGGGCATCTCCCATCTATGTTGCGTACCGAGTAAATTCGAGGTATCATCTGGAGAGTTTGAAATTTGCTTTTCTGGAAGTGACCCCGGCGACACCGTGTGGCCATTTAGACCAGATCATCAAACGCGGTGTTTTTGTCGAACGCGACGCGCTAGTGAAATCTGACAGGTGCATATATATAACCTTGTAATTATGGATAGAGTGTGGTATACCGCATAGTCCTTCCATCATGAAAGACCGGTCAGAACGAGGCAAAGCAGTGCCAGCACCGCCAGCCAGGGTTTAGAATTGGGAAAGCAGTGTTGGATGGGTGCGAGGTACTCGGTAGGCGTCACGGGTACAGACAGGTGCACGCATTAGGGCATGGCTCATGGCAAATGAACTTGGCTGCGCTGAGTGCTCTCACACTCTTACCCGGGTCATACCCTGCCTTTGCCCTGCCCTGCCATGCCTCACCAGCCCTGTCTTGCAGAGCTGTGTAGCGTCGCTCAGTGCCTACGGTGCCTAGCTGCACATCTTGGTCCCAGTCAGCAAAGGCAGCCTGCAAACAGCAGACGCCGCCCATCACCACCATCCTCACCACCGGTGTGCGTTTGGTGAAGCTGAAAGTGAAAGCGTGACAGAGTTATGGATGCAAGTACATAGACCGCTGAAGACGATGACATCGCTCCACCAGCTGCTGGCTCTCGTGCTGTCCGCGCAGTTTCATGTCACTTGGTCTATAATTGCGCGGGACAGCTCCAACACCTGAAGAAAGGAGTTTCTGTTGGGCGCGAGGAAAGAAAGGCCTGTTTGTAAACTGACGCTTGGCACCAATGACCACCTCCGCGTCGAGCGCACTTTTCCTTTCTCTAGGTCTCGGGCTGATCCAACCGCTACTAGTAGCAACGGGCGTTGGAACTGTTCGGAGGCTTCTCGCCGTGTGCTGCTCCGTATAACTGCCACCCACGAGCGACCACTGACCAGCACCACCGGCACCAAAGCAGCAGGGCACCCACCCACCGCACCGCAGGGCCACAAGGACCCTCTCCCAGCACCCGTGCGCCGTAGTAGTCAGAGCACAGCAGCACCGCAGCACCGCAGCACCGCAGCCAGGAACAAGCGAGGATCATCTGTCGTTGCACCTCGCACCTCGCACCTCGACCACTTCCATCCATCACCCTACCTACTCAACCTACCTTCTTGTCGACTCTATCCTCGTCCCATCCTCGACATATCTTCCCTCCTGACACGCGCCTAGACGCCCTATCCTACTTCTGCTCGCATTCTCAGTCCTGTATAACACCCAGATTTCTACAACCCCCCCCGTATTCGCCTCCCCCGAACCACGCAGAAATCCCAGCAGCGTCCGGACCGGATTCAAAGTCCTCTGTCTCTCGAATTCCTGCTCATTGCAAGTTGCACTGCGGCCCTACGCCTTTCTCGACGTTGGCCTTGCCTCAATTGGCCGACTGATCTCTCGACTGATCTCTCTTTCACCTCGCCGCCCTCAACGGGCTTACTCAGACAATCCTCGACACAGACGAGGTCCCCTTGCCCTGGTGGTCATTGTCGTCATTAGGAAGAATAGCAGAGTCGGCCGTGTGTCGCGTCACGCATTTTGTTGAACTCAGCACATCTCGTCGCTCTGGACCACTTGCTTGCAGCACTTGTCCAATCCATCCCCAAGCCGTCTTCACAAATCCCTCGAAAATCCCAGGCGGTTGTTCATTTGAATATACTTTTGAGAAAGAGGGGGGAGAGGTTATACACGCATTGAACCAGCGCGACCGGTCTCGTAGCAGTTCTCCAATTGAGCCACCTTGAGTCCAGTCTTTCTGGTCTGTCATATGACTTGCAGAGTGCCGAAAGATGATGGAAACAGAACATCTACACCGATGACCGCTCCATCTGCTCAGACTCTTCAGCCAGGTGTCGAAATGGAGTCAAATCCTAGTCCCTCACTGCCTGTACGACGTTCACATCACGTCTCCTCGAACTCCAAATCGATGCCCTCCACTCCCTTCCAGCGAAGCGAGTCCCGCTCACATTCAAGAACCTCGCCTTCCCCAGAACCTCCGGCAAAAACCCATTCTCCTCGTTCGCTACCATCCGACAAGAGTCACACGCCACCTGCAGGTCGGAAGCAGTACGGAGGCTGTAAATATGAGACTGGTATGCAAAGAGCACGGCGGCGTGTTCCCTACTCATTGGGGGCAGACCCATTGGAGAAGGATAAGTCCGAGTTAAAGCCAAGGTTGACTCATGAAGAGAATGAAACACTAACGCAGGACATGGAAAAGCTCTATGCAGAACTGCAACCAACTGCCGAGAGTGAAGGGTGTCGGTCAAGGTTCATCGAGAAGCTCGACAAGATACTTCGCGGAAGATGGCCTACGTCGTCTATCGCAGTCAATGTCTTTGGCTCTACCGGGAATAACCTAGGCACTTCGGATTCCGACGTCGATATCTGCATCACCACTGACTGCAAGGAGATGGAGCGAGTTTGCAATATCGCAGACCTCCTGGCGAAGCATGGCATGGAAAGAGTGGTATGTGTCTCTTCCGCCAAGGTGCCTATTGTCAAGGTTTGGGATCCTGAATTACACGTTGCTTGCGACATCAACGTCAACAATCCCCTTGCCTTGGAGAACACGCAACTGGTCCGGACGTACGTCAGTATTGACAGCCGAGTGAGACCATTAGCCATGATCATCAAATACTGGGCGAAGCGAAGGATGTTGAACGACGCTGGTATGTTTTCTGTTTCCGGGTTTCCTGATTCGCGACTTTGGTACTGATGTCCCCCAAAGCCCTTGGCGGCACGCTTAGCTCGTATACGTGGATATGTCTGGCCTTGAATTTTCTGCAGACAAGAGACCCTCCAATCTTGCCTACTCTGCAACAACAGCCTAACTTGCAATCGAAAGAGGTCGCTGGAGTCAATGTCTCATTCGATCGAAACGTGGACGCCCACAAAGATTTCGGCAGTCGAAACAAGTCCTCTTTAGGAGAACTCTTGTTTCATTTCTTCCGTTACTATGGTCACGAGCTTGACTTTGAGCAAAGCGTGGTATCGGTTCGGCTGGGTCGAGTGTTGTCCAAGGTTGAAAAGTCGTGGCACCTTCTCCAGGACAATCGGTTGTGCGTTGAGGAACCTTTCAATGTGTCAAGAAACTTGGCGAACACCGCGGACGACACCTCGATGCGAGGCATACACCTGGAGTTGCGGCGGGCGTTCGAGCTGTTAGGAGAGGGCAAACTGACACAGTGCTGCGAACAATTCGTCCATCCTCCGGATGAGATCAAGCCCTTAGAGCACTTCGTGCCGCCGTCAGCGCGGCCCGTGATCCCGCAACCTCCAAACCAGTCGCAAAGAGGAGCTCGGAATGCGCCCCGGGGTGGGAACAGGAATTTAAGTCAAATGAGCCGCAATCCCCGACGGTCTTCAAATCCCACCACGCGAAATTCCAACTACGTGCGCAATCCTCCATTTCACATGACAACCCATGAGCTGCAGCTGCAACAGCAGCACCAGCAACATCTCCTGCACGACCAGCTCTTCCAGCAATATCAGTACCTCCAGCTTCAAGAGCAGGAGTTAAGAATGCAGCTCTATCAACAGAGTCTGCGACAAAGAGGATTGATGGCGGCTTATAATCAACCTGCGGGATATAGTCAATTTGCCTCGCAAGACGACAGTCTCGATTTTGGATCCAATCAACCAGTCAATGGCATTGGTCGAGCTCCCCTATCAGCACCATTATACCAGCAGGGCTTCTCTCGATCACCCTATCTGTCTGCAAGCCAACCAAGCCAGGGTGTTGCAACCAACCCTCCATCACCGAGACTTAGTGCTGGGGTTCCAGACACTCGAAGGTACTCTCGGCGAACGTCGGTGACACAAACATCTACAGGAGGTTCCTTGCGAGCTCAGTCGCAGCCTGCACGGGCTGTCCCGGTCACTTCTTTGGGGCATTTGCAGCGACCGGATCTTGCAAGCCTTCAGGATTCCTCTACCGGACGAAGGTCGTCTTCATCGTCTACGTCACAAGAACCGTATATGGGCTATATGGAGAATGGTTATGGTACCATGGGTTCAATCTATGATCCAGTACGGAGGCCAGCAGAGTATCTCGGATATTATGTCGGTCAGTCGCCTTCATTATCGGCTTATACCCAGAGCACTGCAATCTCTCCCATCCCCTCACATGTCGGCCTCGCTATCCAGAATGGAGGCCTATCACCACGGCTTGCTCCAGCATCCACTCGTCCCTCTGGAACGATGCACACGCCGCCGCTGCAAACGATCTCTACTGCCTCGGTCGAAGCGCAAGCCGAACCAGAGCAGGAGTCGAGGAATGGTGAGGGCAGCAACATCGAATCCGATCCACCAAAGCCCAGAGGGGGCCCGCTCATAGTGGACGGCTCGATCAATTCGCCGCTCCGGAGGCGCACCACACACTCATTCAACGATCCTGAAGATCAAATCAATTTCAGCGCATCGACATCGGAGGACCTAGCCTTTGACACCCCATCAAGCTCAGACGAACAGTCTCAAGACGCTTTCGAGTGCAACGCACAGGGCCAGATTTCGCCAATCAGTCCCAGTGGGCTTCGCAATCATATCCAGCATGCAAACGGTGCTACTCCAGATTTTGCAAATGGATATATACCCTCAAAAGCCACGGCAAAGAGTCCGAAGGAAGGGACGCAGGATCAAGCGGTCAGGGTGGGGGACACGGTGGGAATGAATATCCTTACTAATATGAAGAAGGCGGGCGGCCAAGCTTGGTCACTTGATCGGCAACTTTCGTCCGTGGAGGAGGTACGCACGCCTTCTCCTAGAGTTGAGAAATTTAACGGGGAGAGTTCTCTCCCAAAGGAGGGTAAGGGCCACTCCGGCCAGGATGTGCCCTCATCCAATGGTGAGACGGTGTTGGTGAATGGTGAGGATCGTGATATTGCGAGACCGCTTGCAACCAGGACCAACGGCACTGCAGCATCTTCAAACCAGGGATCGAATTCAGCACCGAATACCAGCGGATCGAGCGCCTGGCAAACACAAAAGAAGAAGAAGAATAAAAGAAAGACGGTCAAGTCGGAAAATGATGCGCAGACGTCGAATCTTTCCGTGGGGGAAACACTCCCTGCCGACGAGTCCCTACGGAAAGGCGGCTAGGCGCTCCTTTGCAGAATTTTCCCATAACCTGCAGCTTATTTGGCTCGTCCACCTTCCGGGACGCGTCTCTTCAACTCGATCACTGGGTTCTGGCACCGTCTCGCGAACCGCATTCTGGATCGGGTCGATGGCCGCGGCAGAGGGCAGCATTTTATGATATCAACAGCACACATCTAGTTGTTCTATGGATTTTGGGTTATGCATGGACAAAATTTGTTGGTGTTTGTCAATCTAGCAGGAAGCAGCGCCCTGAAAGGGATGCAACGCATAAGGATGGCAGCGGCGTTTCTTCAGCACCACATTGACGTTTTCACATACCCCCGAAAGTTGTGGGATGCATTCACATATACGGCTGGATTGAAGGCTGGATCCTTGATGATTCGAGCAATCCGAGGAAAGCGACACCGCTTTGACAGACAGGCGGAGCTCACGGCCTCGCGACAAAGCGTGATTGATGTTTTTGCAAAAGGCGGTAGCCGGACGATCATGAGATTGGGCAATAGAAAAGGATCCATCGTGACCCGAGCCAGTCGTCGGAGGCTTTGTTTCCCCTTTTTCTTTTATTGATTGTCGAAAGTTGTGGGAGAGATAGAGCATGGGAGGTTCACAAAAAGCGTCCAATGTCACCAAGCCTTCAGCACGCTGCTGGAGGGAAAAAAGGGCCGAGGCCGAGGCCGGGCTGGAATGAGAGATTGTAAGATTTCTCCAGAGGGGGAGGGAGCAGGGACAGTAGATGAGCAGATTAGAGAGAATGAATGAAAGGAACGTGACCATTATTAAATCAAACGAGGCGGCCACTCAGGTGACATTGTGCCGAGTATATCGCTGACAGCGGGACGAGGCTGAGAGGCTTGGCGCAGGACGAGGCTGACCAATGACCGCCCGCTCGTACGATTCGGAACGACTACCAAGTCAAAGGCTCCAAAGCAACTTCGGCGGCGCCAGGCGGTGCCTTGCATGATTCACCCCTCGCTTGACATGCGCGCGGCCAATGACCAGCCATTCTGGAATTTTACTGTGGCTCTCAACCTTCTCGACTCAATCGACCATGTGGAAGTCGTCACCACTCAGCAGAACGCGGCATGCAACCACTGCAAGGTCTTGAGGAGACTCATTCTACACTCGTTCTGCTGCTTATCACACCACGTCTCACGCCACAGACGACATTTTCCACCACGACAGAGCCCCCTTGGTCTTAAAAGACATTTCCTTCCTCTGCCGATCTCGACACCGCCGGTTCATGTCTAGATAACGCCTCTTGCGGACGCATCCTTCCATCCTCTTCGCCCTCCACAATGCCTCTCATACTCGACACCCCCTCAGAATCATCGGTAGAGTTGGATGCAGACTTCCAGGAAGAGAGACGGAAGGTCCACCACGATGCGGATGTTGTTATCGTGGGCGCGGGCATCGTGGGATCTTCGTTGGCAGTGGCGTTGGCAAATCAAGGGCGCAGTGTCATTCTCCTTGAGAAATCACTGAAAGAGCCGGATCGCATAGTCGGAGAACTTCTGCAACCGGGTGGTGTGCAGGCATTGACGAAGCTGGGCTTGCGCCATACGCTCGACGACATCGATGCGATTCCTGTCAAGGGGTATACCGTGGTTTATTATGACGAGCAGGTGCCCATTCCCTATCCTGCTGCGAACGGCGAAGCACAGCATCCAGCTGCGGGAAAGCCGGGAAATGTCAAAAGAGCAGAGGGACGGTCATTCCACCACGGCCGATTTGTTTCTCGCTTGCGCGCAGCGGCAATGTCACATCCCAACATTACCGTCTTCGAGACCGAAGCCACTTCGCTCATAGCGTCCCCTCATACCGCCGAGATCCTCGGAGCCGAATCTATCACTCAAAAAACACAAAAGGATTACTTTTTTGCGTTGTTGACCGTCATCTGCGACGGGTACGCCTCCAAATTCCGGAAGTCATACATTTCTCACACGCCCAAAGTCAAGTCGAAATTTTGGGGATTGGAACTCATTGACTGTCCTCTCCCAATTCCGCAACATGGCACAGTGGTCTTGGGGGACAATGCTCCTGTATTGCTCTATCAGATCGGCACCCACGAGACTCGAGCGCTGGTGGATATACCAGAGGGGTTGGCATCTACATCGACAGCCAACGGTGGCGTCAAAGGTCATCTACAGAAGGTGGTGCTCCCATCTCTACCGGCTATGGTGCAACCTTCGTTCCAGGCCGCTTTGGAGAAAGGCAATCTTCGAAGCATGCCCAACTCCTTCCTTCCTCCAACAACCAATACAACTCCAGGTCTAGCCATTCTGGGAGATGCCATGAACATGCGCCATCCGTTAACTGGCGGCGGTATGACGGTCGCTTTGACTGACGTCGTCTTACTGTCCGAGTTACTCTCTCCAGCAAAAGTCCCAGATCTCGCCGATACCCGGCTTGTCCTCAGGCAGTTCCGCACCTTTCACTGGCGGCGAAAGGGGTTGAGTTCCGTGATCAATATCCTAGCGCAAGCGTTGTACTCGCTGTTTGCAGCCGATGACTGGCAACTCAAGTATTTGCAGAGAGGATGTTTTCGATACTTCCAACGGGGCGGCAAATGCATTGACGAGCCGGTGGGGTTACTGGGAGGTATCATCCCGCAACCGTTTGTGCTGTTTTATCACTTTTTTAGCGTGGCGTTGTTGAGTATCTGGGTCCTCATTCAGGAGAAGGGATGGCTTTTGCTGCCGGTCAGTGTGTTTCAGGGAGTGTTGGTGTTTTTGAAGGCGTGTGAGGTTATTTTTCCGTACATATTTGCCGAGTTGAGGCGGTGAATGGGAACATCGTTACCAACAACAGAATTATTAAGAAAGGAGACGGTGTTTTGTGGCAGACGCCCGAGAGATTGACAGAGGGAGTGCTGTACAGATAGACAGATATATGGTTCAGTGCCGGTCAGTACAGTCACGGGCCGGGAAAGATTGAAGCTGAAGAGAGCATAGCAATGCATGTTCTTTTGACAGTCATCGGTCTGTGAGAGAGTGAGACGTGTTGTCCAGAGTATGTACATGAAGGTACACAAACTCCAGCCCTTGACACAAAATCCTCGAACACTCATATGGGTTTTGCGGGTCCGCAGGGGCTTTTCTCATTTCTGTCACCCCTGTACCTACTCCGTACCGAGTACTATGATCACAACTTCCCACCGCCGCCGCTAGCCTTGGCCTTGTTGGCCGCCTCCTTCTCCTTGACCTTGAACGCGTTAATCGCGCCCACAATCAATGCCCCATCATTGAACCTCGTGGGCCACAATTCCTTCATCCTAGCCACGAGCTCGCGGGCGTTTTTCGGCTGCTGCTTCTGCCGCAAGCCGTCTCCCGCGCTGTGGCCGTCGCCGTCGCCGCCTTCAACGAGAGCGTCAAAGTCGAGAAGATACCGCCTCGTCCTGTCGAGGTGCCAGGCCCCGCACAGTTCCTGGGCCTTGACGTGGCCCGGGACGACGATCTCCGGGCGAGGGGAAAGGGAAGAAACGGTGTCGACGGCGCGGACCCATTCCATGCGCAGGGCGTGCGTGTTGGCTTCGCCGAGCATCTGGTGCACGTCGCCGTAGACGACGTCGCCGGCGCACACGAGGCGGAGGTGCGGGCAGAAGAGCACGGTGGACGAGTGCGTGTCGGTGTGCCCTACCTCGATGGCCTGGAAGGTGTAGCCTTGAGAAGTGACGCCCTCGTCACCACCTCCGTGAACGCCACGGTCGTTTCCGTCCAATGGGAGGTAGAATGTGCCCGATTGAGGCAACGGCTCGGCCAGCTTGAACTTCACATCGATCTGGCCCGGGAATCTCGACCCCCACATGTTCTTAAAGGCCCTGGGCTCGATCTGCCCTTGCATGTGCGCGATGGTGCCCTGGGTCGCGACGGCGCGGGCGGTGGGGAATTTCTGCAGCAGCATGTTCAGCCCGAACCAGTGGTCGCCGTGCCCGTGCGTGATGTAGATGTATTCGAGTGTCGCGCCCGGTTGGAGCGTCTGCTCGATCCACGTTATGAGCGCCTCGGTCTGGGACACGGTGATGGGCGTGTCGACCAGCACGGCGTGGCGGGATGTGTGGATCAGTGTGCAGGCGATCGGGGACCAGGGGCCGCCGGGTTTGCCGTTGGGGGCGGTCCAGGGGATGGAGGGGGAGACGTGCACGGAGGCGTAGAGTGGCATCCTGGACGATGATGATGGCTTGAAGATTGGACTCGGTATTGCGGATTGTGCTGCGTGAGGTTTGGTGTTACCGTATCGCCTCGTGTCGTGTGGTGTTTTAAGCGGATGTGCTGGTTAATATGGTACAATAGAGACACCTGAGTGACTGGAAGATTGCACGCCTCAGGTGAAATGTAACCTTATAGAGGTATTGTTACCAGGACCCGATATGTAAACACGGGAGGAGACAGTGCTGGTGGCAGCGAACAGAGCGACAACTTGATATACTTCCTTGCGTTCCTTACCTGTGTTTCACCTGTCCCTATGCTCCTGGGGAAGGGACAGAATCGGGACGCATTAGATTATTATAGCTTTTTCCTTCGTCTCAATCCTAAATGACAGTGAGAGCGAGAGAGAGAAGCGGAGTGGTGGGAAGAGGAATATTTGTATAGTAATCCCCCATCGGCCGAGGGTGGAAGCTGATTGGATAAGCTATTGGCGACGCATGCACGCATGCTTGCACCATGTACGACGGCGGATAGGGTGAGCAAGGGACAAACACCTTCAGCAATGGGCAATGGAGATTCGAAGAGAGGGATTGTTGACAACGAGATGAAAAAGAACAAGAAAGGGGGATGGCTTGAGGCTCGAGGGATACGGTTCGAAGGATCCTTCTGCCTTGTGGACTGGCATCCACGAAATGCGAGAACTCGTCGCGTAAGCTCCTCGTTGTCATTCGTCCACACAATATCGACCCGGAACAGGGCCCCTTGAGTGAATCAGTAATCGAGCTTCGACTCGTGCCTTTTGGACTCGTCCTTGCCTCGACTCGAAGCGGCAACCACCTCGGGCCTCTTCCCATTTTCTCCTCTCCTCCGCTCATGCCGTGGTCACCCTCAGCCTCTCCAGAATATACTCCCCGGCCTTGATCGGCTGCCACTTGCTGACGCCCACCACGCTTTCCGGCAGCGGCACCACCTCGGCGTCGTAGTTGATGCTGAAGAAGAACGGCACCGAGTATCTCTCCCCCGTGCCCGGTTTACTCACGACCCGGTGGATGGTGGACTTGTACAGGCCGTTTGTCCAGCGCATGAGGAAATCCGCCACGTTGACCGTCAACGTGCCCGGGCGGACGGGGCAGGGCAGCCAGACGGGACGGTCGTTGGTGAGCGGTGATGGAGGGAAGAGGATCTCGAGCCCCGGGTTGGACGAGGAGAGGAGCAGCGTGAAGCATTCGTAGTCGGTGTGCGCGCCGAGCCCGAGCTTGCCTTCTTGTCTCCGTGTGCTTGCATCGCCGTTGGCAGCTTCGTTGGGGACTGGCGGCTGGCCGGCGTAATACAACAACCTTGCAATCCCGCCCGGATGGGTCATGAGCTGGTCGAAATATCCTTCTTCAAGGCCCAGAGATAGTGCAAAGAGTCGAAACAGATGTCGGGCCAGTTGGAGCACTTGGCCGTAGTAGAGTTTGATTGCCTCGTAGAAGCCAGGGAGATCGTCCTCGTCAGGCCAGATGTTTCCTTGTCCCGCCGAGGCGGGCGACTGCCCGTCCAGTTCGACATACTTTCCATCTCCGCCCGTTGGGTCGAGCTGTTCTTCATACCCCCAGTTGAAGCCTTCTTTCGTCTCAGGCTCATGCTGTTCCTGTGTGTTCGAGCCGTCGCCTCCCGCCATGTCGTCTACATTCACATATGTATAGTCGTGGGGCTCGTACCCCCGGAAGAGCGGAGAGTGCCTCATGTTCAACTTGTCTTTCTGTTCCGGCGTCAACTGGTGGAAGAAGCGCTCTGCTTGCTTCAACGCTCCGTCCATTGCCTCGGACGAGACGCCGTGGTTGCTGATCTGGAAGAAACCGGTGGTCACACAGGCTTCACGAATCTGCTTTGCTACGGCCTTCCGCAACGAGGTGTCGTCAGAGAAAGAAGGACCAATGTCGATTAGCGGGACTGTTGGCAACGACTCCGACGCAGCCTTTGACGGCGGGATAGCGAGTGCCCCAGCGAGACGACTTCGAAGATGTTCTTGAGCGGCCGCAACTTCTTCAAGGATACTGGGGCCAGACGAATTTTGCGACAGAGGATCTGGGACGTGCTGTGGTGACATGACGGATGTCGCCATTGTGATGGTGCTTGATGAACCGGGCAAGAAGAACAGTGTGGGATAATGATGGAGCGAGATTCGAAGGAGTCAAGAAATGAAGGGATGAATTAAAGTTTCTTTGTTCGACCCAAGAATGGAATTCGTAGAACCCAGACTACTACTACTAGGTAGTCACAATCCCCTCGACCATGCCGTCCGAGCAGTGGTGGATGCGTAGACTTATGCTGTCTGAGGCGGTTCTAGAACCCACGATAAGGATAAGGACAAGCAACAAGGAGACGAAGGGGCCGGAGTTGTCCGCTGGACAGGATGAGGCTGAAACAAGTGCAAACGAGTGGGAGGAAGATCAAACACATGTTTGGACAAATATAGCAGCATCAGCCTCGCTGGGTGTTTCACCACATACCTAGGTATGCTTGCTGCTGTCACACACATATAGGTTTATTCGCACAAGGTGTCATTGCTCATCAAACGTTCATTATCCATTTATATCGTTGCACATGATGCGGAACTGACGCGCTGTTGTAATGCCAGCCCGAACATCTGGTACAGCCGCAGGCATTATGCGCGGCAAGACATGCTCCTCTGTCTCCTTCCAGTAGACCGGCTTCTCCATGTCGGCAGGCCACCAGTCAAACAGAAGAAAGGCTTCGTCCTCGGTCCAAGGTCCTGTGGACCCTTTGGTGCCCTCTTCGGTCAATCCTTCCATAAGGTGGTTGTCTGTGTCCAACGCGTTGGTGTCGGATGCGCACCGCTGAAGTGTGCTTGGACTCTTGGACTTGAGAGGACTCTTCCTCGCCGCTAGGTTGCCTAGCACTCCTAGGGGACTTCTCGCTTGCGGTGCTGCAGGCTCAGGTCTCAGAGTGAATGCGTCATCTGCCACCGCATCATTTTCAGAAAAGACTCGTCGGAATTGACGTATATCAGAACTATTGGATCGTCCCGGTGAAAGGTCGGGTTGGTAGGGAACTTGGGGATGGACCACTAAGGGGGCCTGTGGGCGCGGGCACTCGTCATTCGCCGACGGTCGTGCATCCTTGTCAAGCTGCGGTGCAGGTATAGATACCGGCTGAGCTTGGGCGGACGAGACCACACTGGGGTTTGGTGGACTTTGAGGCAGCTCGCTGTTGTCAGACCCGGGAAGGGGAAATTCTTCCTGGGTTGGGAGTGGTCTAGGAGAGGGTGAATTGGGTTTCGGTGGACTTTGAGATAGCTGGCTCTTGTCAGACCCGGGAATGGGAAATTCCTCCTGGGTTGGGAGTGGTCTAGGAGAGGGTGAATTGCTCTCAGGATTCTCCTCTGGTATAAATAGAGGGCTGAAACTGCCGTTTTCTTCCTGCACCGAGCCATGCACGCTCGACTGACCGGAGCATGATACCTGAATTGGTTGCACACAGTCATCGACGTTGGCATTGACGGCCTGTCTTGGTAGCAACGACACGTCTTCATCAAAAGGGGATGATGCCCGTACTTGAGGCGACCGTGGGCACGAACTTCTCAACGTCTGCGATCTTGATGTACCTTTAGAAAATGGCAGCACACAGGTCAACTTTGGCCTGGGCCTTGGCTGGCCGATCAGCAGTCGTGAAGTGCGAGCGACTTGTGGACGGAGATTCGAAGAGTCGTCATTGGCTGTTGTCTTCGGTTTTTGGGGGGCATTTGATTTCTTCTGTCTCTCCTTGCCCATTCTCCCTTTGCTGCCATTGTCTTCCGGTTGAGGGAGTAGCGACGACCTCGCACGTGCCAATGCAGGAGTCAGCCTCTGCTCCTCCGGGGTTAAACCTGTTTGATTTTCCACCACTCCAGAGCCCAGCCTTGTTGACTTCTTAGGCTGTTGTTTAGGCTCTTCGCCTGACGACAATTCGATGAACTCTTCGAATCCCACTGGGGATCCCGCGCGGCGAGGGGTTTGCGGGACGGTCTTACTTGGCTGCATGGGCTGAGGTAAGCGAGGCCTTGCTGGCCGGACTGGTTGGTGGACCTGATCGAATTGGTTTTCCTTGTCACAGTCAAGTCTCTGCCGTTTCCGAGGCGATCCCACCAGCGCTGCGCGACTAGATGACCATCTTTGCTCATAAGGAGAGTTTGCAGGTAACCTTGCACGTCCCAGTCGACCTTGAGAAGGGCCCAGCACTTCTAACAGCGACTTGGGTCTCTGCGAGGGGCCAGCGGACAGGGGACGATTTGCCATGGCTGTCGGCTGTTGGGGTGGTGGAGGCTTCTCTGGTCGTGATCTTTCGAGAATCGGGGCCAAATCTGTTTGGGTCTCACCGAGACGCTCTCCGACTTCCACCAAAACACCACGGTCTAGCTGGATCTCAACGCCCTCCGCAAACTCCTCCTCTTGCCTGTAGTGGAGGTCTCCAATATAATTTTTCGCGTCGTCGTAGACCATGACGCGTCGATTGAAGGTGTGGAACCGCAAGGAGCCATCGTGCCATTTCTTTGCTTTCTTGTGCAGGTCGCGGGTGTAGAGACAGCGGAACTCATGGACGGGGGCGGTGTTTTGGGTGGGAGCGACGGTCAAGCTGGCAGAACCGAACCCGCGGTGAGTCGAAGTGAGGGTTGCCATCGTCACATTTACAGCTGCACCTGGAAGCAGTGGGAGGAGCTGAGGCTGAACTGGTTGTCAGCGACATCCTGCACGGAGACGACCAATGGAGACGTTGGCGGAAGAAGCTGCGTCGGTCATCAGTCGATAAGGCAAGGGAAGTCTCATGTGGTGATGGGAGCCAGTGAGAGCATGTCATTGATTGATGGTGAGTGGATTGATGGGTGGGTGGGAAACGCGCGTCAACTAAGGCTGGAACTCGGGTGAAGAGCAAGTCAAGTGGGTGACAAGGAAACCGCAGGCAACGCAGGGCTAAGGCCAGGGAGGCCCAGGCTTCATCCGCCCCCGTTAAAGCCCTAAGCCCCCCCCTCGCCCCCTCCCGTTGATCCCCTTAGCTAAACCCTGCCTATGATACGAGACCCTGCAAGCCTACGTACCCTATTACTGCGTATGGCTTCCCTGGCTTGAACTTACCACCCCCCTACAAGTCGCTGCTTGACTTTATTTACTACTGTCCAACTAATTTTCTCGCATTCTCCTCGTGTACTTCACTCACATGAGGTAAGGGTAAACCTTTTAGACTGCTGGTCAGTTGGCTACATACCGATTTTAATACACGTTTCTCTCCTTACCGTACCCGGCGTTCGTTTCCTCCAAGCCTGGCCGAGCCTCTTACAACGTCGATCGACCGGGTAGCAGACTTGGTGGTAGCGGCAGTGGCAGCGGCAGCGATCTTGTGCCACCAAGCCTCAAGGGCACCTGCGCTCTGCTCTTTCTCGAGGGGACTAGGGTCCGTCAGCTGGAAATCACATCCGCATCCTCTTGTCTCGACACCCTCACTCTGGCCTCCTCAAGAGAAATTCCTCAGGCCACTGTGCTTGTGACGGTCTCGCCCTTGCCCAGTACTCAGCAAGCCAGCAGCCACCATGCACAGTGTCCAGCGGCATTTTGGCAAGTACATGAAAAGGTCGGCCGATGAACAACAAGTCTCGGTGTTGCTCAAGGACTTTGAAGAGGCCGATAAGTTGTTGACAAAAGTATGTCTTTCAAATATTCTGTCCGCCACTGACTGACTTCTGGCAAGATTATCGAGGCCTCCAAAGCATGGCGAGAGTCCTGGATTTCCATCCTCACCCACCAACATCGTGTATTCGACGAGTTCAGCCTCCTGTACGGTCCGATTGTGGGGGCCAGCGACGATTACCACGGCCATGTCCCCGTCCAGACCCCCGACCACATTGTCCGCAGGACCGCGAGGATTAAGAGCGAGTACGAGGACTTGAAGAGAGATCTCACCGAGGACCTGGCTCAGGTTGAGGAGAGGCTCATCCGGCCGGCGCAAAATGCAAAGGACAGCCTGCACACCATGAAGAAGACCATCAAAAAGCGCGAGGACCGGAAACTCGACTTTGAAAGATACCAAAGCAGGGTCGACTCCCACCTGAAAAAGACAAAACGGTCGGAACGAGACACTGCGGCCCTCGTCAAAGCCCAATCCGAGCTGGAAGCGGCTACCGAAGCATACCACGCCGCCGATGATAACTTGAGAGGTTGTCTTCCTCGCCTCTTGACGTCGGTGTTTTCGCTGCTCCCCCACTTTCTGGCTGCTCAAATCCAGATCCAGAACAACCTGCTAGGACATTATTACACCCTACTGCACACTTACTGCACAGAGGAAGGTTTCCCTTCTCCAGCTCCGCCGATGGATGAAGTAATCCGACTGTGGAACGACTCATTCAAACCCGTGCAACGCGAGGCTGAGTCATTGGCGATCTTGGCCAATGGAAAGGCAGCAAGGACGTCCATGGAGAATGGTAATCACTCGGTCAATGGCTACCGCCGCCCAAGTGCCTCAGCCTTCAGTGCACACCGCCAGCAGTCGGTCTCCCCGGCCAGGGCTCTTCCACCTTCCCCAACTTTTGAGCCAAAGTCCAAGTTGTCATCCTCGCCCGCCGCGTCGTCTATGCTTGGAGCAACCACCCCACAGGAATTTATCGCCAGCCCGTCGCCCTCACAGTCAGTCTATCAGACGCCGATGGCGTACTCGCCAGCAGGGCCGAACACAGACTATTTCTCTCGTGATCGACAGCCCTCTGGTGTATCGGCCGTCTCTGCTGCCACGGCGGCATCCATTGCACAAAAGAAGCGACCTCCACCTCCTCCACCGCCGAGGTTACCCTCCCAGCAAACCATTTTTGTAACAGCACTGTACGATTTTGACGGCCAAAGTGAGGGGGATCTTGCATTCCGAGAAGGTGATCGGATTCGAGTCATCAAGAAAACTGAGAGTACCGACGACTGGTGGCAGGGGGAGCTCAGGGGAATGAAGGGACCATTTCCCGCAAATTACTGCCAATGAAATCCCAGCCTAATGGAAACGACTGTGGAGGGTTCGGTTGAACATCTAGTCGAGTGGGCTTGGCTTGGGTGTATTTTGATGTCTTTGCTTTTTGACAACACACAAGGGTGCGGACGGAGCTGAAAAGGCAGGGAACAAGCCTCTAATAATAGCAAGCGAACCAGCATAGAAGTGGGCAAGCGAGCGTGCAAAGCATGATTTGAACACAGGCAGCCTGCATGGCATTGGAGCATAGCAGAGCGTATGGAATAGGTTCTAGTTTGCGGCAGAAAAGGTCTTATATATACCCAACAATCAGGAGCAACGGTTTCTTCGATCGCGGGCAGTCACGCAGTTCTCAATTCGCCGTAGTCAGATGGACGATATGGATGCCCGTCCTCCGATGCCTCTCGTCTTGTACAGGCTGTATAAGAGAAGGAATCGAGAATCGTCGGCGGAAGGCGGGAGAAATCCAGGTCGTCAAGAACTGGATACAAACTGACGTCTGCACTGATTGGTTGGATCAGAGCCGCACTTTTTGATCCAATATTTAGGGATATCAAAACATAACATCATTCGAATCTTCCATCTTCCCGCCCACACATTCACCCTCACCACCTTGTTGGGAAGAGCAAAAACAAGAATGCCGTCTCAGGAGTCCCAAAGCACGCCTACGGCCGTACACGAGCCAAAGCCCGACATCATCGTGCGCGGGCTGAACTACAAGTTTCCCGACGGCTCGTGGGGCTTGCAAGACATCAACCTCGAGCTCCCCGCGGGGTCGCGGACGTTGCTGATCGGGGCCAACGGGGCGGGCAAGACGACGCTCCTGCGGCTCCTGTCGGGCAAGAAGCTGGCGCCGTCGCGGTCCGTGTTCATCGCGGGCGTGGACCCGTTCGCGAGCGGGCTCGAGGGCGTCACGTACCTGGGCCTGGAGTGGGTTCTCAACCCGATCGTGCGCACCGACATGGCCGTCCCCGTCCTGCTGGATTCCGTGGGCGGGACGCATTTCCCGCAGCGGAGGGATGAGCTGGTGAGGATCCTGGACATCGATCTCGCGTGGCGCATGCACATGGTCTCGGACGGCGAGCGGCGGCGCGTCCAGCTCGCCATGGGCCTGATCCGGCCCTGGGACGTGCTCCTGCTGGACGAGATCACCGTGGACTTGGACCTGCTGAGCCGCAGCAACTTTCTGGCCTGGTTGAGGGGCGAGACTCAGCGCAGGGGCGCCACCATCGTGTACGCGACGCACATCCTGGATAACTTGGCCGGGTGGCCCACGCATCTCGTGCACATGCACCTCGGCCGCGTCAAGGAGTGGGGGCCCATGGCCGAGTTCGAGGACCACCACCACCATCACGCTGAGGGCGAGGGCGATGCCAGCGGCGCCGGCGCCGGCTCTGGGAATAGCAGGCTAGGCGAGCTGGTCCTCAAGTGGTTAAAGGACGACCTGGCCGAGAGGGGTCCCAGAGGCAACACCGCGCCAGACAAAACTCAGGGCAAGACGTACGAGAGTTACGAGGGCAAGGGCGGGTACGGGGTCGAGAAACCGCCGGGGCTGTGATACGACGGCCACGACCACGACCACGACGACAAATAACACACACATACCCACAACGAGCGTGAATGAAAGACTTCAACATTGAAAAAGCCCTGTTCGAAAACATAGAGCAGGTGACGACAACCAGCGGAGAGAGAAAGAGAGAATATGGGATCTATTCTGGATGCATTCTAGGAGGGTACTACTGCATTGCTGCGTGGACGTATATGTCATCTGGATACCCCGTCTGATCTTCAACAAGATCATTGAGCGCATCTGTCTCGCATTTGCCAGGCGCTTGCAGGAGGGAGATAATTTTCCGGGGCGCGAAGGTTGGCCGGCAAAGAAGCCATTCTGGTCTTAACACCATTATCCGCAGAAAGAGAGGGTGTGTTTGTGTGTGTGAGAGAGCTGGCGGTTTTTCTCATTCCCGCATACAGCTGTCCCTTGCTTTCTGACCCCAACCGCTGATAAGAGGTAGATTGGGATCAATGAAATCCGGCATATGGCAGCACTTCAGATATGTTTGTCTCCATTCCGAGCCCTCACTGTGCAATGTGTGCGACACGGTGAAGTTTCTAAACAGTTTGCCCGCACGAGTTCGCGGGTCTGCGAAAAGAACAAGAGTGAGGCTCTTCGTTCGCTGTGAGAAAAGGGGGAAAGGCAAAAACCTCCTGCGAACGCGGGACTTTGTCGTGCATTTTCGACGGCTTTCATCCAGGCTCCCTTTCCGGACTGGAAGTTGTGTTGTCTGGATAAAAACCTGCCACCGACCTCGATCTCTGAAGGAGGGCGCTCGATCTGCCTGCCCATGTCCGGGCATCAAATTCCGCTCTGGCTCTGACTCTGACTCTCAGGCGTCATGTTGTGTGTCTCGACGTCTCTCTGGCTGACACATTTGATCGTCGTGGAGGAAGGGCGAGATGAATCGTTTGGATCATGCTCCCTGCCTTTCCCGCCGTGAAAGGGGTCATATGTAACAAACAAGTAGAACCCGCTTACCCAACCCCACCCTTGCAGGTTGGTCTCTCATTCTGCCTCCTCGCGACACAGATATTCTCTTGCCGCAGGTGCTTCTTCCCCACGTGTCGTGCCACGGGCCAACAAAGCAGAATCCGCCCTGTAGATGATCATCTCAAACACGGAGCACAATCCCCACTGTCCGATGAGGCTCATTCGCCAAAGGCCGCGATATTTATCCGCAGGATTCGCACTGATCCGTCCGCCGAGGCCACCGCCAATAGCTGGTAGTCTCCATCATCCTGATCGCTGCTGTCTTCGTGTCCGGTTGGCCGCCAGGCTAGTCGATTGACTGACCTTGAGGGGCAGAGATGTCTTGGGACTTCGACAGTGTGTAATACCTTGAGGTCGCCGTTCACGTCGACACTGTGTAGTGAGATGGTCCCATCGTCCTCGCCAGCCGCGAGGACACCGCGGAATCCGTCGGAGGTGGTGATAGAGGTGGCAGAGACGGCTGTGACGGGACCCTTTCGAGTGATCGAGGAGCGCATTGTGAAGCTGGTCTCATTCTCGCTGCCGGCATTGCTTGACCACAGCTTGACAAGTTTGTCCCTGCCGGCTGTGGCGAAGCTTGGATTTGCAGTCGTGCCTATAAGCCACGTAGCGTCGAGAATCATCCGCGAATGCGCCTTGGCGTTTATGGCGATACGGCCCCAGCTTCTTGGATTCTCACTTGATCGCTTGAACACCGCCCATTGCCGATCTCGTCCTACACTCAGCAGGAACTCTGGACTCTGTGGGGAGAATGCAAGTCTCGTGACCGTGAGCGAGTGCGCCGACAGAGGCGGTCTGATCTCGTTCCAGTCCCTCGTGTCGTACAGGCGGATCACCGCGTGGTCGAGCGAGCTCGCCCTGCAGGCCGTGGCGAGGACACTGCCGTCCGCGGGTGTCGCTGCTTCAGAGATTTCCGAACCGTGGCCGTACAGTTTCTCGTGCTCGGGCCACAGCGTGTGGCGCGCCAGCAGGTCCTCGGTCGGTGGTTCTTGGATGTCAAGCAGCGAAGGCCCGAGTCCGTTAGACGTAGCGGTTGTCTCCAGGGCGTCGTTCGCAGCATCGCCCCCCATCTCCTCGCTGTCGTCCATAGCCTTATTCGACAGACCCAGCACAGGAATCGCAGCAGTGTCGGGCATTTCGGCCAATTCCAGGGGCAATGCGATCCGACATAGTCGATGGAGCATGTTGGCGATATCCCTTGGTTCGTTGAAAATGCGCAACAGCTTCTCATCCGCGCCGGAAGAGAACTGATACGGTGTCGTGCTCGCGATGCAGTTGAGGTCGTATCCGTGGATCTGAGGCCGCGAGAATTCGTGCCAGCTCCGTTTCGCGCCCCTTTTCCACTCTGCGTGAAGCCTGGTTGTCTGATCGGAACTGGTGGAAAGGAGATAGCTTCCGTCAGGGGCCCAGCAGATCCCGTTGACCGAGTTGGTGTGTCCGCTGATACCAAACCTTTGTGTCCAGAACTGCGACGTCTCGTCGTACTGCCACAGTCGCCAGCTGCCCGTCCGGCCGAGACAAGTGACAGTCTTGCCGTCAGGTCCCCATAGCCCAGTCCAGAAGCCGCCGGCAGAGCCGGTCGCAGTAGTGGCCCCCTTTGCCGCACTGATCTCTCCCAGCCGAGACATGCTGATCCATATTCCGGACGACGGCTCCGGCTCCCATATCGAAAGAGATCCGTCGGCCGACGCGGTGAGGAGTTGGGAGCTAGTGGGGCTCCATGCAGCGGAATAGATCCAGTCTTCGTGGCCGAGAAGTAATGCCTCAAACGTGATGGAGTATTTGTGTTCCCCAGCGGCCACGGTCTGGGTCTTTGCTGATAACGTACCACTTACGGCAGAGACTCCGTTCAGCTCGGCGAGTTGATTTGTGGGTTTGCTGCCTCCCAGTTGAAAGCGCCAGAGACGGACATATTTGTCCTGGCTTGCAGAAGCAAGCAGGGCACCGCCGTCTGGAGCTTGTGTGAGTGCCAGAGACCGCACCCACGCTTCGTGTCCAGTGAGAGTGGCATGGTGATGGAACTTGGGGGTCGAGGACAGACCTTCGATGGCGTATACTTGGATATCGTTCCGAGTGCCTCCGGCGACCAAGTAAGCATGCTCGGGAGAAGACGTGGAAGGAAAGGGACTGATGGCGAGAGCCAAGGGAATGAACCTGGGTTTGAGGGAGAGGGTGGCCAAGGCTTCGATTTCTGTCTCGTGGACTTTCCAGAGTTTCACTTTTGCGTCGGCTCCGCCAGTTGCCAGGATATTGCTCCCACTGAAGGAAGCGATGGCGTTGGCAGCGCCTTCATGCGCCGCGGTCTTCACCAGGCATCTCCATTCCTGATTTGCAGTCTCTTTTCTCCATACTGCGATCTCTCCATTCGCACTGCCCGAGACCAACAGCTCGGCAGAGGCACCTTGGGCTGGGCTCAGAAACTTCACAGTCGTCACTTTGCCCGTATGCCCGGAGAGCAGGGCGGAGATGCCGTGTCCAGAGTCATTCAGCGGCGACCATATGCCCACATTTTGGTCGGCGCCAAAGGCGAGCAATCCTGAGCTTGTTGACCAGTCGGCTGCTGTGCTATGTCTGTTTCCGCCGACGCTGAGGTACTCGTCCTGGACGAGAGGAGGAGACATTGATCAAGAAAGCAGAAGTGGAATGGACCAGAAACTGGAGGATGCAGAAAAAACCACGCCAAGACTTGTAACCATCCAGCAGTTTAAGCCTCGCAGGCTATTTGGGAAAGAGAATGACGCTGCCCTGTACGTCCTTTCCAGTCTAGCCCATAGTATGAGTGAATCTCCTATAATTCTAGTTGCCAGTATAAGCAGCCGTCAAGCTACTAACCCGGTCCGCTTGAATACTAACGCCTCTGATAACAACTCGTCCTGCATACAAGAACTTGACGCTTCTGTGGAAGTCTACTGGTATCTAGAAGTGTCCGGGAACTAGCTACCTAGATCGATCTGTCTCCAGAGTTACCATCGCCTTGGCTGTAATCCACACATTCCATTCACAGGACGGATCTTGTACAACTCCTCAGTTCCTCCTGGAAAAAGGGTACGAGAGGAGAACAAAAGGGCGCGTGATGATCTCCTATCGAATATCCGAAATTGTGGAAACAGGCTGGGCACAGGATGATAGCGGTGAGAGACCAGTCGGGTCTGTTTCGAGACTTGACAGAGGAGACATCCCGGCAAGGCTGGTAAGATATTGCTGAACGGAAAGGGAGCCCCTCTAGCGCCCGTCAGTTATCTCGACGATATCGGTTTTCTGTGTTGTTATGTATCCCCTGACACACTCCAACAAACCGGAAGCCTGAAAGGGCTGCGAAATGGGTTAGGCTTGATGGCTTGTATGCGGGGTTGCCTAGTACGTCTCTTCTCATATCTGGAGTTTCGACAAGGCTTCTCCCCTTCTTCGGCCCAGGCTTTGAAGATGGGACGCAGATATTCGCCTTCCTAGCTAATTCCGACAACAAAGACATGGGGAATCTATTCAGTACTCGTTCAAGGGAAGCGCAAACCCATCCGGGTTTTCAGCAGAAAGCACTTGCCCCGGGTGGAAGACATTCATGACGACCAAGGCGAAGAACATCGGCACGCCGTCAAAGACATACTCGCACCACTCGTGCTTGTTGATGTATGTGTTGATGCTGCTTCCCTGGCCGGAAGAGAACTGGACGATCCGGTAGACGATGCGGTACTGTGTGTGGCAAGTCTCTTAGTCCCAGAATCGAGGCATTGGTCCCAATAGTCATGGATGGTGGCGATACATACCGTGATCAAGGCCAGTGAGATCTGCACTCCGTGGATTCGGAGTTTGACGTCTTTGGATATCCGGCTGTGCGGCATGACCCAGTCAAGCTTTTGCGTCAACCGCACAGTCAAGGCGAAGAAGAAGACGATCAGTACTTCCTGGAACACCACACCAAACGTCACAATATGAATGCCCGTCTTGGCCGAGCTTGGTGTCTTGCTGAGAGTCATAAGGCCGCCGCCGATCTGGATGATGAAGGATCTGGAACGTGTAAAGTGTCAGCCAGAACTCGAACTCCCACACAGATTGAGATCTCAGTACATTATATCGCAGCAGACGAAGATCTTTCCCATTATGTTGCCTCCCAGACCAAAGACTTTGGTCTTCCGCAGGAAACAACGGACCAGCCGAGAGATAATCATGTAATCAAAGGCGTTGACGAAGATCGGAGCAAGTAGATTCAGCAGGAAAGACGCATCATACGCTCCCTTTTGGCTAGGGTTTTTGGCCGACGAGAACCGGAAAGCAAAGGCGGCCGTCTCCATGAGCGCACCAATGATGACGACCAGACAGAAGAGTTGTCGGTGGCGGACGGCTTGATATATGTGTGCGACGGTCGTGCCCAGGAAGAGGAGTGCGAGAATCACTGCCGCGGCGATAGATGGGCAATACGGCCACGGATTCGAAGCGTTGTCTTGGGCTAAAGAAGATTTCGTGGTTCAGCTAATCTTGCAACAACTGAGAGCGAACGGATCACCACTTACAGGAACATGTGGACGACACCATCTCGAAATGACCTGCTGTATGGCAGAGAGTTTGTGAGGCGGCAGATCTGGTAGCAGGTAGATAGGTACCTAGGTAGGTAAGTAGGCAAGCGATCGCTTAAATGATTTTATCCAAATTCAAAGAGAATGTCCATGGTTCCCAGCATCGACGGGGCTCTTTTATAAGGAATCTTCCCCTTCTGTCTCTCCTGAGACACGGCGACGGCCACAGGCTGGGTCATTGGAAGGAAGCGACAACATCGTCGGCCTTATTCTTCCAATGAGCTAGTGAGTCGAGGGTCAAACTGCTGATAACAGCTGATCCAAACTCCCGAGCCCCGTCAGAGAATATGACCAGGACCCCATCAAATCCAGTGGTTCAAGTCCAAGTGCTATCAAGTCACAGCAGGCGCGCTCCTGGGAGGCTGTGCAGGTGAAAAAAGAGGAGTAAACAAAGCCCTTTGAGGAATGAGTTCCGAGATACGACTGTCTCGGATTTTCTCCTGGTCAAGTACAGAGGGAAAAGGGGAAAAGGGGCTGGGGCGGTGGATATAAGGGACGGGGGGGTTGTCGAGTTCGAGTAAAGGATCAATCCATTATTCGATATGCATTCCCGGTCTGGATAACTGCTGCCTGCAGGACAAGGCCAGGCCGTTTTGATGCCGAATGTAGCCCGTTTTGCGGTGGAGAGTCCGGTTCGGTACGTCCAGGGACGGCGCCTATTATGGCTTGTTGGCTTCCTTTCCGGTTGGCTAGTATCGTGGCAGTGCATCTCTTTGTACCGGAGGGTGGCATCTGGGGGCCATAATAATAATCACCACCTTCGGAATGTCCACTCGGCGAGCGGTAGACCTGCTGTAGGGTTGTCGCTTCCACCAGTTTTAATTCTTTGCTTTCTCTCCCAGACTCGGACGCAGCTTTTTGTTGGCTTTCCATGGCGCTTCCTGAAACTGGAGATCGATCAGACGTTTCTTTTCTTCCTCTGAGGGGACGACAGCGATGTTGAATCAATAACGGACACTTCCTTGAAGGAGGAAACCCGCAGGACCCCATAATGCTGTTCAAGGAAAGGACGATCGCGACATGAAACAAGTTCAAACATTTGAAGAAAGGAACGCTACCAGCATTTGTTTTCGGTGCTATGATATTGCATGCGGCAAGCTTGAAGAAACGACCACACTTGAAACAAGGCTTCAGGAAACGTCACCACGAACACATCTCTGCTTCTGTCTTCCCCTCTTCAAAACCGTTACCAGGATGGTCGAGATCCCCTTCTAAGGAATCGAGGATCGTAAAGAGATTGCTTCCTCGGTGAGATTTGAACGAGTCGCTTTGTTGGTAATCCAAAGACCGCCACCTCCCTCCGAGCTCCCTCCGAAATGCCAGTTCTTTAGATGAGCAGTCTTGACTTCAACAGGCCGTGGTCGTTGAGACTCTCTCACAGCCTGTGCCATCCACTCGAAGTTTCCGATCGGCGTATTCTCTTGAATCCATTCCGCGTCTGCAGCATCTGTGCCGCCGCTCAGTATCTTTATCCGTATACTCAGCCCAAACCAAAAGAGGAGCAGGAAAGCTAAGAGAAGGAGGGTTAGACCGGCAAGCATGATGAGCTCCCAGAAAATGTGCGTGCGTTGAGTAAGGCATCCCTGTGTCTCTGAAGAGTGACTGGTGTCGAGAAGGTAGTTGTCGCCTCCCGCAACCATGGTCATTGAGTTGAGAACTTGTTCCAGGATCCCACCGGTGTTGTTGGATGCAGGGGTGCCTGTGCCCTCGTATACCGCACCTTGGAAGACTTCAGCCCAGTTCTTGAGAGTGTCATGAGAATGTATCATTTCTTGAACCGGCTGAAGCTCTCCGTACGTGTCATTCAGAGAGCATTCGTAACTTTGCATGTGTTTCGTCTCGTTGCCATATGCAGTGGTATCGACCGAGAACCGAACATCGAAGACGGCGCCAACATTATCTCCAACGGACGTATCAACGATCACTAAATGAGATATGTTGCCGATCGAGGCGGAGACAGCGTACGGGGTGTCATAAAGAAGATCATGTTGTTGCAGACTGACCACTATGTCGTCGACTGATACATCCCAGGGATAATCCAGTTCAAGAGAATTTCTGACGCAGTGCCAGTTGCCCAGTAAGTCAGTGGCATCGGCACTGAAGTCAACGGCTCGGTTTGCCTTTCTGTAGACTCCCTGCAGGCCGTCATTGAGCAAACTGGTGGTTTGCGCTTGTGAAACGACCGTGTACGGCGCTCCATTCCAAGGGACACCTTCGATGAGCGCACTTTGGACCACCAGGCCCGTGCCGAACTGGCAGCGGTCGTGGACAAGCACCGACTTGATAAGAGCCGAGGTAAAATCCGAGCCCAGGTTCAAGAGATAGGCAAAGATCATCAGCAAGCTCAGCCATCCTCCTGGCAGTGTCTTTACCACAAGCAAGGCATACAATGAGTCGAAGCTGCCCAACCAAGAAGTCATGTACGGTAGTGGAACAGTGTGTCGCTGGAAAAGCCTCAGTTTAGCGCGTGCTGCCAGACATTTGGTTCCCACAAGATTGATAAGGATGAATGCAACAACAAAGAAGATTCGGAAAAAAAGCCGCACATCGGAGCCAGAATAATCGAGAAGAATTCTTGCCATCTTGACTGAGAGACCTTGCGTGGTCGGGATGAGAAGCCTGATTGAAAATATCCGGCTAGGAGGAAGGCGAATGCACCACCTTTTCTAGGTGGGCCGGCACGACGCCCAAGAGGCTCTGCGGACATAAAATCAAAAAGGGATGCATAAATCTCCCGATCTCGTGGAGGCTCCAGAAACCGCCAAAGTCCCTCCTGTGTCTGGACCAAATGTGGCTGGCTGAGTCTCTGTTCTGGGCTACTTTTAGCGAGCAACCGACCAATTTGGCGAGCAGCCTTGTTGTTGGGTGGGCCTATCGTGGTCTATCTAGTGAGTAGCGACCTACCATTAGTACAAATTTGGCCACGGTTCGCAGGCAGTCGAGTCAGCCGGCCACGCCGTCTGTCTCGCTGAGCGCAGCTTGGCGTGGATAGCAAAGCACGGCGTGAACCTGTTGGTGCCGTAGCTTTGGGCCTTTGAGACAAGCCGCACTCGCTTGGAACAAAAGTGCCGAGCTGAAGTATAAATGCTGGATCGCCTCCTCTGGTCGTGATCCAGCCTGATCCTGAAAGCGACCAAATTCCTGCCCACATTCCCTTGCAAATCTGACGATGGCTTTTGCTCTCTTGTCAAGCGTTGTTTTGGGTGGGCTTGCAGGCTCTGCTGCTGCCAATGCGAATGTCTTCCATGCCAGGCAGGATGCAACGACCACATCGGACCTTTCGTATTCAGCCTTGTATGCGTCCTGCACCAACTATGCTGCCACATGTCCGCCTATTTTGAGCTGTAAGGGGATCGGGCCATTCCTTTTCGAGAATTGTCTGTCGGATGCTAACTGTGGGATAGCTTGCGTCGGCAATTTCTGTAATTCCTGTGCTTCTCTAGGGGGCAGCGACTTCATCTCATGTTGCAGTCAGACCACGGCGGCTGATTGCTTCTCAACGCTGTTGCTTGGTACCACGACCACGGCCGCAAACATGTCTTCGGGAACCGGGACCATGTCGATCACAAGCACAGCATCAATGGCCACCGACTCGAACTCGGCCAGCTGTTGGAGTGCCTTTTCAATGATTGAGTCATGTGCTGCCGCGACTTCAGGGTTCACCACATTAGATGATGGCGGTCAAGCCAGCTGCCTTTGTTACGCAGGCACCGCAACCTATGACCCAGGGCCATTCGACCAGCTCCAGAGTGCGTGCATTCCTTGGGCGTCCACTGCGGATCCAACTGGTGTTTCAGTATATTCGGCGGCCGCGGGGCTCTGTACTCGGGTTGGGAATGTGAGGAGCGCCACAGCAACAATCAGCATCACAGAGGCGCCCGCCCCAGCTCCAACCACATCGATCCCCGTGGCCACCCATACGCTGCCTTCAGTCACCACCAGTACTGCATCGACATCAATCCCAGCTGCAAGTGGTGCCTCCTCCAGACAAAATGTGAGTACTGCTCCAGAGGGATAAGCGTCTGCTAACCGAGTGTTCAGGTCCCGGCTGGCTGGCTATTGCTTCAGTTACTTTGGTTGCTCTGAAGTTCCTTCAAGAGTCCGGCTGTTCGGGGGTGCTCCAACAAACAAATTGTGGAATGTGGCTGGATGAAGTTGGCTCTAATCGATTCAGAGTGTAATTAGCCGATATGCAATGGCATGACGGATTGGAACCTCATTTGATGAACCTCTCGCTCAACGTAGGATGCTGGGGACGGCACGCCGCCAAATAGGGACGAAAACGGTGAAGATGAACATAACGAAGTAACAAGTCTATCTTCCCGCCGATCAGATAATGAGATACACATTTGACGTTGGAAAAGCCAAGAGCGAGTACGAGCGCCGAGAAGTAATTAATTACCTGACATGCTTTACGAATCTGATACTCGGCGCTGATGCCACCGTCATACAAATGCCAAGATAGGTTTAGCCTGCTAATATCTCGGAAAATATATATCCCGCTATGGACATGTGGAAGCAGGTGATGAAAACACACTCACCCCGACAGCACCCAGCGCATCCCTATCCACGGCTGCTCTCACAAGACTTGCGAGCCTACAGCGTTACTTTGTCTTCGAAATATGTCCGAAACGGTCGATATCACGGTTGAATTCACGTGGGTGTACCTTTCCTGCGCCTATTGATTAGCGTGACTGATGAAGCACAAAGTGGTGGCCTGGAGATGCTTTTTGACAATGTATCAAAGCACTCATTGTCACTGGCCAAAGACGCAGACGACGGGAAACCCCCAACGGTCGGATATCTGGTCAAGTACCTCTGCAGTAATTTGATGAAGGACTCGAGAAAAGAGCTGTTCGTTCTCGACGGCAATGTGTAAGTGAACTAGGCTGTGTTCGCTGAGCCAATGCACTAATGTTGCCGCTGGAAGTCGACCAGGCATTCTCGTCTTGATCAACGACTCTGACTGGGAACTCGAGGGCGAAGACAAATACGAACTAGTCAACAAAGATACTATTCTATTCGTGTCTACTCTTCACGGTGGCTGACAGTGCATGCTGACCCGACCGCGGTACCGTTGCCACACTACTGAGTCTATGACATGTCGGATGGATACCATACATTGAAGATATGACCGCGAAACTTTCAGGGCGTCTGTCCGACAATGCTTTGCAGCAGCCCCCATTGTTGCTTTCACACCACGTCGTGCATTCTCACGGAAAGATTCTCAGAGTCTTCTGGGGTCTTGTAACCAGAACCTGGGTCCGGCGTGCTTGCCCCGGTTCTAGGACTGGCAAGGCCACTACCCAGGCCAGGCACAGGAGTAACAAATCCGCTGGGCGGTGCGGGCACCTTGATGCCTTCTGGTGAAGCAGGAATGATCTCTGGAGGGAGGTTGGGGATCTTTATCCGCTTCGCTTCGTTGTTGTAGCTGGCGGGAATGATCTGGGAGGTGTCAGTGTCGGTCGCCAAATGCTAACCTCGGGAGATTACCTCGATTATCTCGTCTCGGGGGAATGATAAGAAGGGAATGTCTGCAGCATTACATGCCATCAGATACCCATAAAGCACACGGAGGACGCTTTCGTGGGCAATGATGAGAAGATCGTTCTGCTCCCTTTCCAATTCAAGAATGATGGGTTCCAGCCGGACTGCAACATCGTGGTACGACTGTCATTGTCAGCGCCGCCAACTAGCATCTAGACAGAGTCCTGCCTCACCTCTGCTCTGGGGAACCTGTGGTGGTATGGATCTAGATCATGCTTCAACACCTCTTCCGGGTATTCCTGTCGAATTCTGCGCTCTGACTTCTTTTCGCACACGCCGGGGTTGAGCTGGCTCATCTGGGACCTCTGCCTCACTTTGAAGCCTTTGTCTTCTAAGAATGCCGCTGTTTCCACGGTCCTCCGTCTCGTCGAAGTCCACACGATGAGCGGTTTTAGCGGCGTGTCAATCCCTCCCTTCTCGATCAGAGTCCGTCTCTCCTCTTCTCGGTGCTTGAGCAGTGTCTCACTCATTTTCTTGGCATAGTCCTTGCCCTTGGGTGATAGACGCGCATCAGCCTTGAAGGACTCCTCTTCCAAAGTGGTGCCCGCACGAGCAAAATAGGTGTGCCGAGATTTGATGTGGAGGTTTAACAGATAGAACACAATCCGATGTGACAGATAACCGAAGCTCGTGTTGTTGACCACCAGTCGCTCTCCCGCATTGATCATCTTGATCCAGTCAAGATCTGGTTCCTCCATGGTTTCGAAGTGCGGGATCTTTGCAGATACTCTGTTCAGGTAATGTTTGACCGCCTCAGCCTCGGACCAGCCTATGTAGTCGGGCGAAGAGATTTTGACACTGCGGACGTTCTCTTCGATGATGCGCTGGTCGTCACAGCTTGACTCGATGAAGAGACATTTGATGTCGTGTTTCGCGAATTCTTTGGCTAGTGACCTGCGGCCAGCAGACAGAGGATTGACTGCATCGTAGATGGCAATCTGGCCGTTTTCATGGTTGAGGAAGTGATAAATATCCTCTCTGCACTTTTTGAGGATCTTCTGCCTCAGCAACACCGACGACGCCGAGGCGTTGACAAAGAAATAATCATCAGGAACATCCTTTCCCGGACCTACGATGGCTCTGCGATAGTCGCCCAGGTGAAAGATCCTGGTTTTCACACCCAGCCATCGTAGATAGCGAGCCAATGCCACCGAGATGTGGGTCTTGCCGCGAGCAGGCAACCCTACTGTGGTAATGGCGATCCGACCTGCGTGGAACAGTCGCCCCGACTCAGTACTGTAGAGCTGGGCAGGTGCCATTTCGCTCTTCTCTGGGAGATCATGGATTGCATCAACAAATGTGCTCGACTTGCGTCGGTAGCGAGGAGACATGACCGCCGATTCGGCGGTTAGTAGAGTGTCCATTGTGGACGACGAGGCTCGCTAGACAAATCTAAACAAGAGGGTAAGTCACAAGCTGGGACAGGCGTATCGAAAGTCGACCACAGTTGACCAAACGGATAAGGAGTCCGAGCTGCTCAAACGCACGGGCTTGCGGATGTCGTTGACCCAGGTTACGCTCGGTCCCAGCTCAGTTGTGTTCGTGAAAGGCTGTGTGTCGAAGACCGCGATAATTCTTCTTATTGTGTCTGAACATCCACCGCCAGATACTGTCTGGATATTATCATCAATGCCGCAACCTGGTCTAAACAAGCACTTTGAAAAGATGAATGACTGACTGCCTGTCGGGGCATTACCGAGTACTGAGGAGCAGAGTTGATAAGGCGGGAAGAAAATATGGGGTTGAGGCCGAGGTTGTCGCCGCCTGGTCGCTCATTCTCGTCCACCGTCTTTCATTGGCTATAGTGCTCCATGGCTATATTAAAGCAGCAGCTACTTTGAGGGAGTTGAAACCCAATCTCCCATTGGCCAATCCCTTCCCTTGGCACGGGCTACGTACGGAGCACTTGCCTCCTACGGAGTTACTGGCCATTTCTTCATAGATTTCCCTGCGCCTGCAAAAGTCAAGCTCCAACAGACAGCCGATCAGCGCAGTCACGAGAGCATCTTTCAGCTCCTCAATCCTCTTCCTCTTCCTCCTCCACTAGCCTGCTCGGTCGTCCCATCTCGAGTCCCGAAATCAGACGGTTGTTGGTGCTTGCCAAAGTGCTGCACTTCAATCCGAAAAGATGGCGGTCGTGGTCGAGGAGAAGTCATCATCGACATCTGTGTTGTCTTTTTTAACAGACAACGCCATCGCCGCCACCATCGCAGACTCCTACTCTAGTCTCTCGGCGAGGAGGAAGTTATTGGGCCTCGAGAATCCCGGGACGGTCGATAATATCGCGCGCGAGGTCCAAAAGGATGTTCTCCTGTCTAATTTCATGTTCTCCGGCTTGCGCTGCGACTTGCAAAAGGTCTTCAGTATAAACCCTCTATTCCGCCTACAACATGGCTTTGCCATGGGCTCCCAAGCTCTGCCACCCTGGCAGCTAATGGCCTTGTATGGCAATTCTGATGTATGTGTCCCTTTCCAATCCATTTTGCGATAAAGAGCATGTATCCGGACTCATCGTTTCAATAGATTTTCATGCAAGCTGCCTACTCGAGCGACCGATCTCTGACGGCCTGGGGAAACCTGAGATGGTCCCCGCGATTCGTGACCAAGACGCAGACCTCAATTGACCCGCGACAGAGCCAGACAATGGTACAAATTGAGAACGAGTACACTGGTAGTGATTTCTCGGCGTCAGTCAAGGCCCTCAGTCCATCGATTCTGGATGGTGGCGTCACGGGCATCTTCATCGGAAGCTACCTGCAATCAATTACGCCAAAGCTTGCATTGGGGCTCGAGGGTGTATGGCAGCGACCCGCGTTGAACAGCAAACCCGAGACCGCGTTGTCGTACTGTGCGAGATACAAGAGCACCGATTGGATTGCTAGTGCACAATGGCTGAGCCAAGGCTCATTGGGAGCTTCATACTGGAGACGGTTGACGGACAAGGTCGAGGCCGGTGTTGATTGTCAATTGCAATTTGCACCTGGCATGGGGGCCAGCATGTTCGGAGGTCCACGACGGGAAGGCACAACGACGGTTGGCCTCAAATACAGCTTCACCAACTCGGTCTATCGTGCGCAAGTCGACAGCACTGGCAAATTCGGTGTTGTACTAGAAAGGCGGGTTGCACCTCCGGTGACATTGACTTTTGCAGCCGAGATCGATCAGTGGAAGGTGAGTTTTGACGATTCCTCCTTGGGTTCATTCCGCCTTCTTTGCAGGACGGTCGCTGATTTCTTGCAGAATACACACAAGCTTGGTGTCGCTGTCTCGCTTGAAGGGGCTCCGGAAGAACTGCAAGAGATCGCGGAGCGTCCAGAGAATCAGAGCGCGATGCCACCGCCAATCTAGCGCATGCGTGTGGTATAACCTCAACACCCTCTTCGAAAATGTTTTACTACCTCTCCTCTTCACTCTCAAGCAAGTACCTTCGACAAGGCCAGACACCTCAAGGGTTTCATACATGGGCTTGGGGAGCAGATCACGGAGACACAACCAAGACCTGCCCATAACCACCGGACCTGTTCACGACCGGCCGCTCTGTCTCTGCCGTGTTTGGATTCTTCCCTACTGTTCAAGGGACAAAAGAGGAGTGTTCGACTTGCTCAATTTTCTCTATGTATCTGTATGTATGGGTAGAAAGACCATGACGAAGTTGGTGTGCGAGCCGCGTTTGGTCTGGGATGGCCACCCTCGCCGGATGACATTCGACCACGACATCTATCAATACTGCATAATAGAAGAAAAGGGAAGGCCTGTATCAATAAAATCAGATGCTGGAGTTTTGTGACGGTTTTTCAAAGTTGCTTTTGCTGAATAACCTGATATTTTCTGTTGTTCGTGATCTTTACCTGGCGAAAGGCATACTTTTGTCCGCTGACTCCCGCAAGTGTGCTCGCCAGTGACCCCATGGCACATCTAACCATGCATGTATGCCTTGGACTTCTGTCGTCAGGAGGAATTCTGGGTTAGATAATTGCTGACAATTGTACAGCCTTACCTTAGCGCTCGGAGTCTGCTTCACCCTTTCAATGGCATGTGCTCACCATCGGCAGGGCTCCTTGATGCCTCTCGAGGGCCAGTTAACCCAGGGGGAAAAGACCAGTGGGTGAACAGCGTTCTCAGAACAAAAAGACTTGGAACATGCTCAATTCGGCTCGCAATGGATGTGGCTTCTCCCCCTGGCTGGAGAGCAACAAGGCCAATGCTGAGCATGACGGGAGCAAGACAATCAAGGGGGCTGAGAAAGGGGAGAAAAAGAGAGATGCAGACCGCCTTTCTCACATGCGACAGATATTGCAGCCTAGTTTTAGGTGGGCAATTGCCATTTTGCGAGGCCTCGTCGGGAGAGCCTGATCGATGCAGTTCAGGAGGTGATGTTGCCCCCCTTCGCGCCGACACTCTTTCAGGATTTGAGGCAAGGGACAACCCTGGTGTCCGGGCTGTAGAATACGAGGGCAGTAAGTCTGAATAATCCACTCCAATCTAGACTCATCATGCCAAC